GTCTCAAAATTGACTGAAAGACTGAACATGACGTGATAGTTTACCGTTCAGTCTTTCAAGAGCTGTTCAGATTAAAATGACTGTTTCAGTTCAAAATTTGTTAACTAGTATATCACACGATATGCATATAGTACAAAGGCAATGATTACTTTATCTCCATCTTGTTCACAATGAGTTAACGTAACAGCCTCTTCTATATGGCGATCCAATTCTGCCACAAGTCAACCACACTCTTCATATATTCAAATGCAGATTTTTAACACTATAACTTCATTGAGTTGCCACTAGCTTTGAAAGTCGTATGTTGAATCGAATGTTGAAAAGCAAATGCAATTAGAAAAAAAGTGAGGTTACAACACATTTGAATACAAAAAAATCAAGGACTTGATTAAAAACATATGTTAAGTCACGTGAAATAAATAACTTAAAAGATATAAATATTTGAAATATGTAATCTGTAATACCATAACACATGACCGGGTTTTTTTTATATTTTGTCTTTAATGACCAGATTAAGTTATCAGTACGACTTTGTGTCCTACAACTTACATGGACTGTGTTGTTTATAATCTTCACTTTGTATTAAACAGTCTAGATAAGCTTCTAGAAGGCTTTGAAAAAAATTATATAAATTATTGAAAGATGCATCAATAATACTGAATTATTGAACCAAAGCCTTTGATTGTCCATTAAATTGTAAAAGATAAAAAGTTTCTGAGAAAAGGAAATATAAGTTATTTCTAAGTAATGAATTTCTCTTTAATTGATTCAATCAAAAATGGTAATGAGATAGTTATTTAATCCTTTTGAACTTACTGTAAGGAAATGTAACAACATCATCACACATTCCTATTCGTTCATACCAAGATCTTCTAATGCCTCCATACTGTCTGTCCAATCGTTGTCATACATGTCTGTGAATTTTTCAGCTATTTTCATTGGTTTATTAGGATCAGAAAGATCTGTGATTCCAGGGTTATCATTTCGAAGCCTATCTCCAGCAATAGAACGTGAACTGCATTGGTTCGTCTTATAATGCTTTATTCCCTCAGAATAAAAACAGGTTTAAAAAAAACACAACATTTATCTACTCTATTCCAGCCAATATAAGTATGTCAATTTAAATATTAAAAAGATTAAGACCAAACAGGGAAACATCATCTTCAAAGCTGAAAGCAATTGTCTGACCTTGCCAGACCCTCGTCCTTTTGCTTTCTTTCGCCTTCTTTTGTAGCTTTTCCTCTTCTCGTTGTTTCAGCAGTTGCTGAATTGTGTTATCTTTACTCTGGAAATCTACTTGTATTCTAATAATACGAAATTTAAAAATTATTCTTTTTAACCAATAATTTATTTTGAGTATTTTGCAAGAATCCATTTTTAGAATCTCTATTTGTCTTAGATGTCTTTGTTAGCATCAACCATCTTAAAATATGTACATGCTCGGAAAAGAGAAAATATATTTTATAATTAGACGGATGTTTTAGAAAGATTTAATATACATTTCATCGACAGCAACATAATTTATAACGTAAGTGTTGATGGAGTATTTTTGATAGTCCCCTGTTAAAAATACTTGCATCCACAACTTTTTTAAGTCTTGGATCGATAATTTAAAGAGCTTGACATACAGTATATGCATCTCTCCATTGTTGATGACCATATGTTGACGTCTATATGTCTTTTGATTTAAAGTGTCCACCATTTATCTCAGATCTCTTTTACGACACGTGAAAAAAACAAATGGTGACATGTGATATGATTTAGTATATAAATATAAAAATACTATAAAGATAATAAAGTGAATTTAAATTTAAATACACCTTTTCATTCCTTCTTCCTCCCTTTTTCTTCTTTCCTCTAATATATGGCTTAACGATGATCTATTTCGGTACCGGTTTCTTAGATATCTAACTGATCTTTTTTGTACCATAATTTGTGTTTGTCTTTTTCGAGATACGGATCCTATAAAGCGCTCGTAAACTCAACTGCTGGTCTTACAAGGGAGATGTAGACATTTTCCTTGATATCGGTGTTAGAGATATTGAGATTTTTTTTGAGGAATGCAATTGTTTTATTTGCTTTAAGATATGTTTCTGATGTGAAACTGTTAAGTAGGATGTGATTGTTACTCCGAGGTATTTGGTTGATGTTACATGTTCCAGGTGGTGGCTATGGAGAGAGTATTTCTTCATGTGTGATTTGTTCTCAACCCTGACCAATAAACCATGAAAAGGAGGCCAAGGTCAGATGAACCGAGTCATATGGAATTGTACACCTTACAGTTATTCAATACACCAAGTATGGTTGATAAATTGCTAACATTATCAGAGATATTGGCCATACCGCAAAAACTGAATGTTGACCAATGAAATATGAAATTTGGATAAGGTCAGATGAACCATGCCAGGTAGACATGTACACCTTACAATCAGTTCAAACACCAAATATAGTTGCCCGATACAGCGTATAGTATCTGACATATGGACTAAGAGAACTGAGCATTAATTACAGATCCATGAAATAAGATCAAGGCCATGTGAACCCTTAGACTGTCTGACGGACATGAAGACGATGCTAGGATCCCATTTACAAAATAAATTTATCCAGTTATTCATAATAAACGAGAAATGCAGAGTTAAAAAAACCTATACAGGTTTTTTTATACTGTAAAATTTCATCAAAAATCCGAATTCCAACTCCAAAAGAGAGGCGAAGGATACAACAGGGACATTTAAACTCATATGAGTCGAAAATAAACTGACAAAGCCATGGCTAAAAAGAAAAAGACAAACAAACAGTACACAAAACACAACATAGAAAACAAAAGACTGAACAACACGAACCCCACCAAAAACTGGGAGTGATCTCAGGTCCTCCGGAAGTGTAAGCAAATCCTGCTCTACATGTGGCACCCGTCGTGTTGTTCATGTTAGTACAAAACCGGTGATTAGTCTAATTCAGTAGGGCACATTGGGGAAAAAGGAGGGGGACAGTATTGTAATTACGACAATTGGAACATATATGTTTTCATCTGTGAAACGGATATTCCGTAACGGTCAACCAACTCGTGATTGCGTCCGAAAAAAAACGAAGGGACGATTTCAACTTCACCACTTGGAACTCTTGGTTTGAGCACTTTGCCATGATGACATTTTTTTCAATATTAAGGTTTTTGTTAATCACCTCGAAATTTATATAAAAGATAAACAGAAACTGTATACAGCTAACATGATCAGAAATATATATAAGCTCTAAGAAAATGACAATTTAATGAAACCATCAGTCTACTTCATATAGAAAAATTGCTCTGACATGTAAATGAAGGTTATGACCAATTTTTAAGATAAATCTAAATTCTATACACTAAAAATTATCAGCAACACTGAATCTACAATAGTGCTTGTATGATTCTAGCAATCAGTTGACTCCTTATAGGAGGTATTGTCCTTGAACGACAATATTAGTTTAATTTTAGTTCTAAAGCCTATTATCTTGATTTTTTTTAGATTAATGGAAACTGAAAACAATAAATTGAAACTGCAAAACCAGTAACAAGAAATGAGCTGTCAAACTGACAAACAGGTTTTTCTGTATTTTGAAACTTTCAGGGTTGTTTGACCTGCCACATTCTGTACCTAATTTTTAATCTTTTCAAGGACCATAACTCATGAACAGCAAAAGTGAAAATCATCAATTTATAATTGACCTCTATTTTGTCTTCAGTAACTACATATTAAAATTTGAACGGCATTGATTGAACTGTTCATAGATTATTACACAGAAATGACAAAGTGCAATTTTAAAATATTTCAAGGACCATAACTCCTGAACGGTAAAAGTGAAAATCATCAATATTTAACTTGACCTCCATTTTGTAATCACTCACAATATATTAATAATTGAAATGCGTTGGTTGAACTGTTCAAGATTTATTGTACGGAAACATCATAAAGTGACATATTCCAATCTATCAACCCTTGAAAGACAAAAGTGAAAATCGACAATATCGAATTTAACCTCAATCTTGTGATCAGTAACAACATATCAAAATTTGAAAAGCATTGGTTGAATGGTTCATAAATCATATCACTGAAATAAGTCCGCCACCAACTTAGGAAAATCCGGTTAAAAGTTATCTTTAAAGCAGAATATACCAATAAGAAGTCGGATGACTGATAGTGGTAGCTATTTCTCTTTGTGGATAATTTTATCAACTTTTAACATTTTAGATATTCTCCTTAAAATAATAATAGACAGAGAGACAGTTAACAACAAAATATGATAAACAAGAGAAATGGAGATATACAACCATTTCATAGGTCTTTAATATTGTGATAACTGCTCAGTGGAGGTCCATTTGACCAGTTGAAGAGATGTGGCTGACAACACAAATTAAACCTGATGTTCAATCATCAAAATGTATTTTGCCATGTAAGAGATTCAATATGTTTTAAATTTAACATTTTCACACGGGGTATCATCCCTCAATGAACATTAAACATCATTGTTTGTTTACTTATTTTATTACACTTCACATTTAAAGTGTTTGAATCACTGAGTTTTTTTTTATAAATGCTTTCAATAATATATGAATAATAAATGGCTATAAAAAGTATACAATCTGGATATAGAATATTTTTAAATAAATGCCGTCATTTTTTATACAAAATACATAAGGTTTTTTTTTAAATTCTGTATGTTTTCCTACCAAGAGTTGTGGTTTAATCAAGATAACTTTGGCTTCCTCCACCAAAAAACCCTAACTACCATGAAATAACCAATAGTGATGAAAGTGGCCATAAACACCAATCAATTAATCATTTAATTCTGTATGCATTTACACTGGTAGTGCCCAGTTTGATAAATTTTGATAAACCACACCTTGAATAAATTTGTCTTGTGTAAATGTTTGCCATTTCCGGTTAGTACATTGCACTCGGCATCCTCTATTGAATCAATAGTGCAACAGATTCTATCACTTTACCCTGTAGACTACTAAATTTATCCAGGTCCTAATTTTATTTTCAAAATATCCTGATACAAGTACATATACAAATTTCTCAAATCCATTTAGTTCTACAAACAGAACGATATCAAGCAGGGAATATAATGAAAACTGTAACAGTAGGGCAAATAGTCAATAGCTGTATAAAACACTATAACTACAGTAGTTTTTAAGACCATATAAAACTTTAATCATTCACTATAAAATATTTAAATCAATGCCATTTGCATTATGCTAATCATTTGAAATCTGATCAGAGCTACTGCATTTACATGCCATTGTCACAAAATATATAAACTGCCATGTTGATTATCTTAATTTTAATATTTGATTAAGAAGAAAACAAGAGATGAAAATCAGCAAATAAATGTATCTTGATATCCAATGGCTTGGGAGGTTGAAAATTAAACAGTGGCATTATTGATAGTGAGTTATAGACTAGTTTTTTTATCCATTCACTAGTATCGGAAGTTTTTCAGATGGCGATGTCTTATGGTAAGGACAAGGTTCATGATTGACAAGTAGTTCTGAGAGAAAAGTAAAATGACCTGTTCATAAGTTCATTATAAAGGTAACCTTCTTTCAAAGATTCAATGAAATTTCGGAGATAAAATAGAAATATGAGGTCTGCATATATGATAGACAGAAAATATGAAAAGAAAACAATTATTAAAATAAGAATTTAGAGGGTACAGTAAAAATCTTTTCCTCAGCTATCCATTATGTGAATGAAACCATGATTTCATGTTTTTATATTTAGCAAGCAAACTATGGTATATAATCACAACCAAAACATAATCTGATGTAATAGCCACTCAAAAATGAATATATTACAAATATATAAACACTGACTGAATTCATCCCACTTTTCTATTAATTACAAATATTCTATGCCATTCTTGACTTATATATATGAGATATATAAAATAACTGATTAATATGAAAGATGAAAAATATACATGAAATGAAACATTGAAGTTTGTAATTGCATGCACCTTTATTCTTTACGGTACCCATTCATTCAGTTGGAAATGCATTTTAGCGTCAATTAAAAACATGAGGATTTAAGTTTGATATTATCTATCTAAATCATCCTTTGTATTCTATTAATAAGGGATAAATATTTATAATGTTAAAAAGTAGATCTCAAACCTTATCATATAACTACTAAAACAAGTCATTATAGAATCTCTTAAATGACATCTTTTTCTAACTACTGACTGTGATATAGCCTTTTGCGCTGATATGGCGTAAAGCAAACACCAATCAATCTATTGCAACTATGACAAAAACATTTACACAATAACTACTATTTTTTTTTTTATACTTTACATTGCATATGGTTTGGATATCAAACTTTTTTTGACACATTTGATCTTTTTCCTATATATTTTACTACAAGCATTCCTTTACTGATGGAAAACCATCAAACCAATTTCAAGTTGTGCACAATGAATCATAGCAAAATCTGTTATCTCTGAACTCAATCACTAAAATAATTTTTTAGTACAAACCAAAATAATTCCAACAATTTTTTTTAAAATTTACACATCATTCGCTTGAGTAAGACATTTTTTTAAAATAGTTTTAGACATACAATATGCAGTACACAACATTCAGCCATTACAACACCTTAAATCTTCAAAAATATATAAACATTAAAGTATGAAATGAAAGGAATGGTTCGTAAGGTTCTTTGAAAGTATGTATAAGTACCCGTCCACGTCCACTTTGTGTTTTTGTTAGATGTATTTCTATTTGTATCCATCTGATGAGTAAAGCCTTTTTCAACTGATTTTTATAGTTTGTTCTTATGTTGTACTGTTACACCACTGTCCCAGATTAGGGGGAGGATTGAGCAATCACAAACATGTTTAACCCCGCCACATTCTTTATGTGCCTGTCCTAAGTCGGGAGCCTTTAGTTCAGTGGTTGTCATTGGTTTATGTCCGTCATATTTGTTTTTCGTAAACTGTTTTGTTATAAATTAGGCTGTTAGTTTTCTCAATTGAATTGTTTCATATTTTTCATGTCGGTGCCTTTTATAGCCGACCATAAGGTATGGGATTTTCTCATTGTTGAAGGCCGTACAGTTGCCTTTAATTGCTTACATCCACTTCATATGAACTTTGGTGGATAGTTGTCTCATTGGCAATCATACCACATCTCCTTACTTTTATATTGTCATCAATTACTGATTTGTTGACTTTGGCAATTATATATTCTAAAAATGTTCCTTCAGTTGGAAATTGTGTATGTATTTAATTTGTTGTTTCATTTATTAACTGTATGAGGATCTTATTTTAATTTACTACATAAATCATTCTTCTGAATTTGATTAATATATGATAAAAATATATACAACTAAATAATAAAATTTATACCATATTTTTTAATTACTTAAACAGGCCCTTTAAAGGAATGTCTAAAATAGCATCTCTTTTTCCAAATAGTGTACAAGATCAGAGCTCTGGGCTGTGATATAGTCTTTTCACAGGTGCAACGGAAAACAGAAACCAATCAATCTTTTTTCAACTATGACATACCAAATTTCCACATAAATACTATTTTATATAATTAACAGTATACATGGTTTGTATATCAAACTGTTTTTGATACATTTGACCATTTCTTATGTATTTTACAACAAGCATTGAACTTTACGGATGGAAAACCCTCAAAAAAATTTCAAGTTGTCTACAAGGAATAATAATACAACCATAAGATTATCTTTACTTAATAAGCTAAAAACTTCTTTTATATGACAAAGATTCCTACAGAAGGTCAGTGGTTCTCTCCGGGGACTTCAGCTTTCTCAACCAATAAAAACTTACCACAGTAGTGCTGAAAGTGGCATTAAAACACCAATCAATCAATCATTATATTACAACCTGACATAATTTCCACAAATTCTCCATTATTCCCACATAATTCCATCATATTCTGAATAGCTTTATAAACATAACAATATACTGTTAACAACATTTATCGATTACAACACCATAAAACTTTAAAAAGTAGGTATGATTAAAGTATAAACTTTAAGGAATGGTTATTTAAAATGTACGCATTGCTATCATTTACTTATTTGCTGACTTTGGCTGAACAACGCCTTTATTAAGTACAGGGCCATCTTTGTGTAGGTACAACACAGGCCACACTATAAAGTCAACTTGATCTCCAGCCTTTGTGTAGGAGCGTAAGATATTAGTATCTATCTTTGTATCACTAGGGAAATCCCACTCTATGTAAACTGGTGGATCTTGTATCTGCATCATCCAGGCATACTTAATACAATCTTCTACAAACTTAGAACATGCTGATATATGTTCCTCAGATAGGTTTCGTGTTTTCATTAAGTAATCAGGTAGTTTCTGCAAATCGAAATAAGTTAATAATGAACATATAAGACTTAAACCTTAAAATAAAATGTCTAATAAAGTATATTGGTGAAGTAGTAGTTCTATATATGATGCAATTCTAGTCACAAAAAGAGTATGCCTTTGAAAATTTAGAACTACTCACTTGAAAGGACATCATGGCTAAATTAAGTTCCCAAAACAATCAAATTTCAGATAATAACAACCAATCGTGTTAACAGATACAGCAGGTATGTATCAAACACATTGCGTCAATGATCCTTACATATCATAGATTCTCCTTATTTTCGATCAATAGACTATTTTCATATTACCGACTTTTGACTCCGGATTTTATATTTTTTCGACTGGTTACCTTTTCTGTTGTTGGACATCCTGGTACTCAGTCAAGTAAGAGCAACTTAAAAATGTAAGATCAAGGTTACAATTGGTGCAATTGAGGGGGAAAATTATCTGTTTTGTGTTTTCTATACTAAAAAAAATCATCGGAAAACAGTAAACTTTTACCAAACATACTTATTTTGTTTGAGAGCTATGAATTATCTGTTTCAAATGACCACATTTATATTCCATCTGTTGTAGCCATAACCCCTTCCTCTATTCTTCAGATATGACATTACCACATCTTACTTATTACCGCATGTCGACTTTGCAATGAGCAACCCAACATAGTAGTGGAGCAGAAACAGAATATCCTTATAGAGCACCTGTGTTCATCCTTTGTAGGTGTTCATGTTTCTTAATCTTTAGGGCTGTAGTTCGGTTTTTTTGGGGGTCTTTTTTTTCTTTTGGCAATGGTGTTTTGTTTGGCTTATTGTTTTTGATTGGATAGCATAAGACTTTTATTAATATAATTTAAGGCACCAATAAAGCCCTTATAGAACACACTTCATTAAAAAACTTTTGGAAAATTGTTTATAATATACCTTCTGTAATTTTTCAACATTATTTTCAGTCAACTTCCTTCTCAAATCTTTCATTGGTTTCAGTAACTCTGCAGGAATATTTGGGTCTTGTGGTTTATTATCGCCAGACTACAAAAAATGAACCCAAAGTGTTCAATTTCAATAAATCAATACAAACTGGGATATTGATCAACTATGATACAATCTCATATATGCAAAACCCATTTTTGAATTTTACCAATATAGCAAATCCGACAAAGATGAAAAAAACTAAAAAAAAACTTTTAACACACACAAAATGAACAATATGTCAAAAATCAGATCTTTGTTCATATAACTCACCAGGAATCAATGCACATACTAATATTGAGTTTCAACAGTAATTGATTGTTACAGCATTTACATTATTATAAAATTTCTATGAGTTATTTTCCTATGTGACATTTTTGGCACTAAGAAAATTTCAAAATGTAGTAGGTACAATTCTTCATTATAAATTAGATCACCATAGGGTAATACCATACATGCAGGAAATAAATTCTTACTTTCAGAACAGTCTTTAAAGCAAACAAAATGAATTATAAACACTTTTATATTCATAAATAAAGAACTATACATTTACAAATATATTGTTGAATAATCTGTATTTATGAATCCTCATTTCTATAATAGGGGTATTTAAAGTCTTTTCTAATTAGAAGCAATAAATCTTGATTGGCCAATATTTTATATTTTCATGAAATTTTGTTTGCATTTAGAACTTAGTAAACTGCATCTAAAAATAAAACAAGAGACAAGAAATTAAGGGCCATTACTCCTACACAGCTATTTTTGAAATTGTCAAAATAAAACATAACATCCAGTTCGTCATTAGAAACAACATATTCAAATTTGAAAAGGACTGGATCAAACTTTCTCAAGTTATCGCATGGAATCAACATATATTCCCATTATCCAATCTATCAAGAGCAATGTAACTCCTGAATAGCAAGAGTGAAAATCATCAATATTCATCTTTTCCTATATTTTGTCATGACTTAATCTCATATTCAAATTAGAAAACTACTGGTTGAACAGTTCTTAAGTAATTGAACCAATAAGACATAAAGTACCAATTCCCAATCACTCAAGGATCATATCTTCAGAACTACAAAAATGAAAATCGCCAATAGTAACTTGATCTCTATTTTGTCATCACTAACAACACATTAAAATTTAAACAATTCTCAAGCCATTGCACAGTATAGCTGTAGCTGCATGCCTGCCTACTGTTCATGTACTACCACAAATTAATTACCTAAATTTTTAAGTTGGAAAACCAAGTCAATAAAAAAGGATTTATGTAGCATTAATTGTATACCTCCATAGATACTATCATTTCAAAATGTGAAAATGACATATAAATGTATAGAATGCACATAAAAAGGGTCTTCAACATGTGCATCAGGTTTTTCTTCCAGTTTAAATGGTGACTTCTTCTAAATCAGTCCACTTTGACAGTATTTGATTTAAAAATGATGAGTTTTTGCAATGATTTTTTTTCCATTTTAATGATATAAAATTCATATGAGGTCACTGTGTTCATTCTAAAATGATTAAGATAGAAAAAAATTCCAAACTGATTCTGTCTATGGGTTCTAAATGCATTAAATGTTTTTTTAAAAAATCTAAATACTAGATGTCAAATTATAACAATAAATCTCTACAATTTAGAATTGCTGCCATGAAAGCCATAGTGAAGAATCTCTTTCAATGGTAGTTCAGACAATGACCCTGTAAAGTTTGAAAAGATTTTGCCTTGTGGTTTGAGATGAGAATTTTGAACATTGAACAAATACAATCAAGAATCTACTTCTGGATGCCATATTTTTGCCATCGTAAGAAATCCCATCCTTTTTTTAAAAGACAACCCATACATTATGCATGCAAAGTTTTGCCCAAAACTGCCATTTAGTTTCAGAGGTAAATACCAAAACCAAAATTCAAATTGAATATGACCTGTATTGTATGTTTCATAGCATTGTGTTAAAAAACCTAAAAATGTTTTGAAAAATGGTATTTACATTATCAGTTGGAAACCAAAACAAATCTGAGTTTTAAGGTAACTATGGGGAATAACCATTGAACAGTAAATGTAAAAATCATCAAAAGAAAGCACAACCTGTAGTTCATAATCAATAAGATCGTTTTCAAATTTCAAAAGATTTGGTCAAGTGTTATGATCTATGACATTGTGTAAAAGTTTCAAATGATTTGGTTGAGAGGTACTTTAACAATAATGCAAGCATACACAAACTTCTTATTCAAAGTATTGAAAAACAGTAAGTAGATGTCTGATAGATAAAAAAAAAAAAAGCACACAAAATAACAACATCACTGTTGAGTTGCTGACCAAATATGAAGCCATTCTGTTCAGCAGTATTGGAGAAAAAAGTGATGAAAGATTTTAAGTTTATTCAACATATTGAAAAATGTATCCACAAACAGAAAGTAGGCATCTGACAGATCGAAAGAGTGATCACATTTCACACCTCATCACTGTCAAGCTGCTGATCAAATATGAAATCAATCTGTTTAGCAGTTTTTGAGAGAAGTGTGACGAAAATATCTAAAGGACAAACTAAAAGACGAACAGACAGACTAGGTGATCAAAGTATAGCTGTCACTTCAATAATTATGATATGGAAACACAACTTTTGATAGACTGACAGACATGAGTTTTACTATATACCCACCCCCTCTTAGAGGCAGGGCTATCAAAACTTACAAATGTTTAAATTGTCATTTAAATTTGAAGAGCTCAGAACGGCAATGGTACTCCGAACCACGATGGTCATGCTGAAGTACAATGGTTTGACGCTAAAGTGCATTTTTGATCATACTGAAGTGAGAAGGTGGCATTGTGACCCTATCTTGTTGATAGCTATGCCGAAGTGCGTTGGTGGTAACGCTCAAGTGTGATGGGTTTCAAAAACTTTAGTTTATATGTTTTTCCTAGAAGTCAATTTTTTTTAAATTGTAAGATGCAGCTTTTAGTTCATCATCGACATTATAAACCGTGAATATTTAAACAGTGAATCCCATGATAAATAGTTATTTCATTACCAGTCATTACTGTAACACTGTTGTCTACTTTTTAAGTACTAGTAGGCTTGGGCAAAACTAAGACAACATTCATACTATAGTTCATGAATTCATCACTATTATAGTTGCAAAGGATATTTTCCATTAAACAAGTATTAATTACAATGACGTTGTTGTACTTTGAACCGTCAACCTCGTGAGTAGATTTTCAACTGGACAGATGTGTTTATGATGTCTCGTACTATGGTGAAATGACTTCACATGAATCATGCAAAGAACCTACTCTAACTCTACCCGATGATGTTACATCGGTACAAGCTGTAGTGGGAAGAACAACTGCCGACTGGACTTTAACCAGAAGGAATGGACAGTACACTCTAACAGTTAGATGGCCGCCATTAGGAGAGGTTACAACTAAAAAAGAGATGACAAAGAAAAAGAACTCATCGGAAGAACGGACAGAGAGAAAAACTCGCCGCCTTAAAGCTTTCATTCATCAGAAGAAGTATGATACAGATGAAACTTCATCAAACCCAAAGGAGATAGGTACACCCTCTCCAATCAGCATGGGAGACCTGGAAGTACAGGAATTACCGGAAACCACATCAACCGAATGCAGAGATCTACCCCCATCAGTTGGAGCTGTACAAGATCTTCAAAAAGATCCTGCCTGCCCTACAGGTGCCGAGGGTTGATCACCACCCAGCATGACAGGAAAGGAAACGGTACAGCAACAAAGCCATGAGGTAGAAAAGATAGTGATCCACAAAGTACTTACATACTGAAGTTGAAGAGAAAAGACATGTATGTCCTGCTGTATTCAGATACATTACAGGCATACAAAGATGTCAAAAAGAGAAAACACCCTGAATTTTACGCCGAAATCAGTAAAAGCTTCAATATGTGGCCGGACATTAGAGACAAAACGAACTTTCTCTTTAGCGAAAGTAGAAAAGATAACCTGCAAGAACTGTGCCAGAAATACAACTTACATCTTAGTGGTTTAAAATAAAAGGCCAGATAAGCCCCAACCACAAATTACCCTTTGATAATTAAAAAATTTTGTTAAAGGGGGCGAGATAAGCCCCCCCCCCCCCCCACCCCCCCTCAAAAAAAAAATTTTAAAATTACAATGTCGAAAAGTCGTGGTAGTTGATTGAAAAGCATAATGAAACAAAATAAGCCACCAATCTATTTCAACCATACACATCTATACATATTATCAATACGGAAATGCCATAAATGTTAAAGGGCAATATTGAATGCAAATTATATACTAGACAAAAAAAAAATTATCATAATAATTGCACATCTGTAGAATTTAAACTAACTACATGCGTTATATAGACCATCGCACATCAGCGAAAGGACTATCACACTCCGGTGTAGACCATCACACTTCAGTGTGACCATCGCACTTCAGCATCCCCATCGCACCTTCAAGTCCTACAAATTAATATCAGACACCTTAAATATTATAACAATAAATGTCAGGGGCTGCAGAATATTATGCAACTTTTACATTTAGTATATATACTTGATTAATCTAATACTTTGTCCAGAGATTGCATTTCATACCTCATTTGTGTCTTGCTCACAACCAGAAATAATTACAGCTTTTAAAATGTGACTATCTAGTTCAGCTACAAGTCTTCCACACTCTTCATAGGAATCCTTAAAATATATTGGAAGATTTTCAATGAATTCAAAGGTTATTTTTGAATGTATTTGAATATTTTAAAATCTTTGTATAATGAACACAGAAATACATCCTCAGAATTTTAAATATGTAATCTGTTAAACAGTTGTGTGAGTAGTAACATAAATAGAACATGAAGATGTTTTGTTGTAAGACATGATGACCTGCCTTGAAATGCTATGTGAGAAAGCAATCAGTGGTCATTCTGCTGTTTTATTAAATCATTCCTATTTAACTTAATGACCTCATCTGTTTTAAATACTGGTAAATGGGTGTTGAACACAGAAAATTCAGCTAAAAAATATTTGAAATATATGTTTTAAATATGTTCAAAAAAGCTTTAGTCATATAGCCAATATAAAGAATAGAACTGGACTCTTTTGTCAGTTTTTATGGACTTCTCCCATTTTTGGATTCACGTTGGAGTTCGATAATTTTGTTATACTTTTTTTCTCGTACAGATCTTTTGAGTTAAGCCAATTGCAATTGATTTTTACTGTTTATTCTTATGTTGTGCTCACTAACATGTTTAACCACGCCTGTCCCAAGTCAGGAGCTTGTAATTCAGTGGTTGTCTTTGGTTCATGTCTGTCATATGTGTTTTTCGAAAATGTTTTCATAGAAATTAGGCCATTAGTTTTCTCCTTTGGATTGTTTGACAATTTTCATGTCTGGGCCTTTTAAAGCAGACTTTACGTTATGAGTTTTCTCATTGTTGCAGGCCGTAAGGTTGTCTTTAATTGCCTACATCCACTTCATTTGAACTTTGGTGGATAGTTGTCTCATTAACAATCATTCCACATCTTTTTATTTTATACTGTTTAGATAATTTGGAGATATGCTTAATAACAATAATGTTTGCTGTCCAATCCCATCAAAATCTACATTAAGTTCCTTGTTTTTAATGTTAATGTTTTGCGACATTAGGATAATAAGCCTGTGCTTTAAAGAAGGATGCATTTTTTTAATGTCTTAAATATAACTAAGCCTAATTGATGAACCCAACTGACACTGTACATGATGATTCTAAATGCCTATCAATCTACTATAAAACAAAAATGCAATATTACTGTTAAAAAATGCAGTAATATCTTGACACAATCTTCTTCCCCAAGATCAAGTTCCTCTAAGGCTTCCATACTGTCTGTCCAATCATTGTCATACATTTCTGTAAATTTTTCAGCTATTTTCATTGGTCTGTTAGGGTCAGACAGGTCAGTGATTCCTGGGTTATTATTTCTCAGTCTGTCTCCAGCAATGGCACTTAACCTACAACATTTAGATGATGTCGATTATTTATACAAATCTTACTAGCTACTTTATACAGAAGTTTGCTTGAGAGCAAAATCATATATAAAAAAAAACACTCTAAGTTTTAAAATGATATAGACTCCAATAGACTGATTCAAATTACTGGTACAAGTAAAATGACTTAAGGTCTTGCCTAGAGGTCATAAAAATTTCGAGGAAGATTATAGGACTCAGATTCAGAAACCAACCAATTGAAATACTGGATTTGGTGTTAAAATTTTGCAGTCCGAGTACAGAGAAAAGTTTTAAGACCATAGTCCCAGGTGTCACAGGAAAATAAAGCGTAACATTTTATTAAGTTCAATCAAAATCGTTAAGAAAATTATAACTGTTCACAGACTCATACAATATTCCAAATAAAAAGTAACTCCCAATTTCCTTAAAAAATGGAGTTCTCATGTTTCTTTATACACTCTAGGCTTTATGTTCATTAACTACAATCAAATTAAATTTGAAAGAAATTACATAAATATTCAAAACAAAACTGAGGTTTATAGTATAATACATGAAGTCATGTATTATTTTTACTAAGACCATCTCAAAATAGCGCTCCAGTTATCTGTAATTTATCAAATTCAGGTATTCTTGTGCTTTTATTACATGAAATATGAAAAAAATAAATGGAGAATGTGTCCCCATGGACACAGATGATGCCCCCGCTTGCATACAACATTATAAAGGGACATAACTCAAGAACTATAAAAGTGACGCTACCCAAATTTGTACTTGATCTGAGTTTTAAGGTAATAAGTATTGTGTATAGTTTTCATAATGTTTGGTTGGGGCAAACTTAAGTTACAGAACGGAAACTTATTTTTGCAATTTTTCAATTTATTAAGGACATAACTTGATAATGATTAAAGTGACGCTACCAAAATTCAACTTGATCTGTGTTTTGTGGTTAAAAGCATTGTGTATAATTTTCATAACATTTGGTTGAGGCAACTTAAGTTAGAGAACGGAAACTAAAAATTTGGCATTTTTTTCCATTTATAAAGGGGCATAACTCGAGAACGGTTAAAGTGACAACACAGAAATTCAAATTTGATCTGTGTTTTGTGGTAATAAGCATTGTGTATAAGTTTCATAACATTTGGTTGAGGCAAACTTAGGTTAGAGAATGGAAACTAAAAATTTTGTAATTTTTCCCTTTATAAAGGAGCATAACTCTAGAATGGTTAGAGTGATGCTACCTAAATTCAAACTTGATCTGTATTTGGTGGTAATAAGCATTGTGTATAAGTTTCATCACATTTGGTTGAGGCAAACTTAAGTTAGAGAATGGACACTAAACATTTTGCAATTTTTCCACTTATAAAGGAAAATAACTCTAGATCAGTTAAAGTGACGCCACCAAAATTCAACCTTGATCTGTGTTTTGTGGTAATAAGCATTGTGTATAAGTTTCATAACATTTGGTTGAGGCAAACTTAAGTTAGAGAACGGAAACCAAATATTTTTGTAATTTTGCCATTTATAAAGGGGCATAACTCTAGAACGGTTAGAGTAACCCTACCAAAATTCAAACTTGATCTGTATTTGGTTGTAATAAGCATTGTGTTTAGGTTTCATAACATTTGGTGGAGGCAAACTTAAGTAAGAGAACGGAAACTAAATATTTTGCAATTTTTCCTATAAAGGGGAATAACTCTAGAATGGTTAAAGTGACGACACCAAAATTCAACCTTGATCTGTGTTTTGTGATAATTAGCATTGTGCATAAGTTTCATAACATTTAGTTAAGGCGAACTCAAGTTAGAGAACGGAAACCAATTTTTGGACGTATGGACGTACAGACGGACAAGGGTAAAAACTTAATGTCCCCTCCGCTATGGCGGGGGCATAAAAATATAAGCATAGATGTGTTTACCTTCAAATTATGTATTATTATAAATGATAACAGATTCACTGCTGGTTTTGTGTCCTAAAAGTAGGATTTTTGTACAAACTATTTTGAATCAGCTGTTTCAATGTTTTGTCATCCTCATAGATGAATTACTGTCAACTAAGCTGAACAAAAACTGTTCATTCATTTGCTAATCAAAAGAAAGGTTACCTGTCAAAAAAGGACAGCACCAATATCATTGATCCCAAAACACCAATTATATTCATTGTGAATTCATCATACTGCAATTATCTGCATGTAGCAATTGATTGATTGTTGTTTGCTTTACATGCAGTGGCTAATATTTCATGAATGTTCAGGATGAGAACAAAATATAAATAAATACAAAAGGTAGGTCCTACAATAGGGGGTCAACTGGAATGATATTAGGGGCTACTGTGGATTCATTATTATTCGTTGGATACCAATTTTCGTGGATTTCGTGGTTCATACTCGGGAACCACAAATTCCAATGTACAACGAATTACAAATTTTCTATAAGAATGTATGCAGACTTTGGCAAAACCATGAAATCAAATATCCACGAAAATGCAAGTTTTCCTCAATCCACGAAAATTGGTACCCACGAAAATAAATGAATCCACAGTATTTGGAATGTGACTGGTAAATGAGAATATTTATTGGATAGCATAGAAAGTTAGCCCTGAAACAATCCATCTATGGACCCCTCAAAGAGTATGTAAAGCATCTTAACGTGCAAAAAGAGCAGCATCAGATATAAAGTCCCTCTTTCGACTGGACATGGCTGCAAATTTTTAACATCCTGCACAGCCAAGCAGATGCCCAATTTGATTGGGTTTTACTCTTGGTTGGAAAAAGACACAGGGATGACCATATTTCTATACCCAGCCCACCTGGATTTTTTTCTTTCTTTTTTTGATCTACATAGATAAAAATTCATAAACAAACATTGAAAAAAACCTGGCCTACTGGACCTCATAACAAACTTTCAACAAAATTATATGAAATTTTAAATGTCCCCCAACAAAAATCAGATGCCATATTTCAAATCTATTTGATAAATGGACCCATTCAATGTGTAATATAGATTATGGTGTTTACCTGGAAGAATTTATATCTTTATTTATACCTTGTCAAAGCTTCATCTTTCTGTTTCCTTTCATCTTCCTTCAATGTTCTTTCTTCATCTCTTTGTTTGACAACTGTCTGCAGAGTGTTTTCTTTCCTTTCCAGCTCTGACTTAAAACTTCAATTTACATAAAATAATTTATCCAAACAGTAAAGTGATTGTCTCAAATTTCACAGTATTCTGATTTCAATTGCATCATTTTGTTTTGCATCATCTCTTTTTGAGACACAAGAGATGATTACCTTTATATAACCACAGTTTGATTGAAATGTGTTGGTATATTCGTATACTAAAGCTTAGTTTCTTAAGGTTGCATGTTCCAAAACAAAATTTCCTTTGCTCATAAAAACACATTTATTTTTACTTGGCTGCTGTGTTACAACTTGGTTGAACTTTCAGATAATTTTTGACATTCTTTTTTTTAAGTCTTAAGAATGAATTGTATTATTTTTACAATAAATTTGATTTTTGAACATCAGAAATATAAATATCATAAATGGATGATTGGTATAAATCAATGAGACAGAATCCCAATGATACAAACAATCAAATGGCTTGTTAGCTCTAGGGGAAAGAGAGGTCATTGCTCCCTTGATTTCAGTACTTTGTCCAAAAATATTTCACATATATTCCTCATTACAGAAAATATTTATTCCATATATTTATGATATCTAAATCTAATTATGATTCTTTCAAAATAGCATCCGAACATTCTGAAATTCATATAAAAATGGAAGTCAAGCTGCATATCTCAGCCCCAGATTAAAGTTGATAGTATTAATTCAGAAGACACCATACAAAATTAATAACACCATCTGTTAATATATAATGTAAGCTGTAATACAAGTATTAACTTCTTATAAAAAATACTAAATTAAAGCAATATTTCTCTAGTTACTAGAAAACCAAAAAACAATTTTCCCCATGTGTTAGCTACATATCAATTTCATGATCCTATCTAATATGGTGTGAGAGGAGTTCAAGATAACTCATTTTTTTTGCTTTTTAGACCCAATGAAGAAGATCATTCACCATGGAGTCACATGAAAATTCCTACACCATTAGTAATGTTTATATTAGTAATGTGACCACTGATTCAATTTTTAACTTCGAATGCAAGATTTCCCTTTTACTGGATAGCCCAAAAATACATTTTGGCTTTGTATATTTGATTACAAAATGTCAATCAATCATTGAATAATCTAGACACATTAATTTGACACCTTTAAAGTTCATAAATTAGTGAATAATGAGTAATGATTAAAACTAACATAGTTTTTGTGAGGGAGAAGCATTGTTCATTCACCAAATTTTGTTTAAACATTAGAATTTGTTTAAAATTTGCATAATTTTATTATAGCAAAGCATATATTATATTTGCATCAAGTGTTAAATATCTTGCAGATTGATGAAGTTAATTTCAGTTTTTCATATAGTGTTAATGCATATTTATTTAAGGTGCATTGTATCACTACATTATACTGGTGGTTCTAGGAAAAACATTATTTCAATTATCCCTAAGACTGTGGTAAACTAAACATAAGAAAATTTCTTTGTTTGAAACTGATAATTCATACAAATTGGCAAACTTCCCAATAAGCAGACATTATCTGGGATCTACTGTTTACATCCATTCTCAGGAATTTGAGCATCTGTATATAGAATGTACGCAAAGTACAAACAATATTTAATATTTCCAAATGACATACCTTTGCAGTTCTTGTTGAGTTTGCCTACAGAACTCGTCATACTGTGCATTGTTTTCTGATAATTGCCTGATTTGTCCATTTAATCTTTTTTCCAAAAAAATATATAAATATAATGGCGAAACTTGTCTTTGAAAGCTATTTTTGGGATGAATTTTTTTTTGGTTTAGTCCTAATAGCTTTTGATCCAGTTTATATTAATATTGCCTAACTCTACTATTTGCATGTATAAATTAGATTCTCATTACAATCCATTTTTATCTGTTGGCTTTAAAACAAGTTCCTTGTTTCTTTAAACATTCCATTGCAGGTAATAGACTATTACTAAATGAATAAATTACTTTCAGATGAAGAGTAGCAATAAAAACACTTCTTTGCTTTGTATTGATTTTTTATGTGTGCATAGCCGACTATTTGGTATGGATTTTTCTCATTTTTGAAGGCCGTACAGGTGCCTATAATTGCTTACATCCCCTTTATTTGAACTTTGGTGGATAGTTGTCTCATTGGCAATAATACCTCATCTTTTATATAGTGATTATGCCATGATTGGATATATCATATCCTTTCTTTCAATCAAAGTAAACTTAAACTCTGTAACTCCAACTCTATTGATGAAGAAAAACATTTCCTATTGGACTGTCATCAAATACACTGAACTCAAAAATGAATTTGTAGTTAGTTGTTATACCCAAAATACAATCAGTTGTGATGACACTGCAAAAACCAAATTTCTTAATCTGTGTTTTTAGTTAAGATCAAGGGTTAATATGAACAAAGCTTTACATAAAATTGATTAGTTGTACAAAAGTGAAATGAACTACTGTGCCAGAATAGAAGATAGGCCTGCCAAGTGCATATTAAAATTGTTGCAATAATAAAACAGATGCCACATGTGGAGCAGGATCTGTTTACCCTTCCAGTGCATCTGAGGACACTCCCTGGTTTTTGGTGGAGTTTGTGTTGCTCAATTTTTTCGTTTTCTATATAGTATTTTGTAGAATATTGTGTGAAATTTCTTTAATTCTTCTGTTTACCATGGTGTGTTCTCAGTTTCTTTTCGATTAGAAAATTTTGATTGGAAATTTCTACCTCCTTTTTGAAGAAGGCATCAAATCAGGAGTCAGTAAATTGGACCTATATAAAAAGTCCCAGGATGATATCCTTAGGCCTATAAAAATTAGCTTATATTAGGTCCAGAGACATAGTTATCGTCCTTTGATTTTCGTTGTCTACAGTATAGTCCCTATTGTGAACAATGGATAACTTGCAAATTTTTTTCATACACCTTCCAAAATCATTTCTTTATATTCATGATATTTCAAGCATAAATTGTGAGTAGGAAGATTAAATTACATGTAAAAAATTGGTCATGAATTTTTAGGTAAAGGAGTGATTTGCTCTAGTTGCAAAAGGTAAAAATTAAATTGTCTGAAGCTGTCAAACTGAATTATAGACCCCCTTAACAAAAAATTGTCCATATTTTGAGTTAGAGCCGATTGACTTTTTTAAGAATTTTGATAAAGTTTGTCCCAAAAGTAGTTCACTACACAGTAAAAAAAATTTTGAGAAACAGCAGGTGAGATTTTTTTAATTTGTATTTATTGTCTTCAAGAAATACACTATGAAATAACTGTATTCTCAGGCCAAATTTGATGGTCAAAGTCCAATAAGTCTGAGAGCTTACTTTTAACAATCTGGCTAGTGAGTGTCACTTGAAAATTGCCTTAAATTTTACAGGTAAAGTTCCATAACTCTTAAATGATGAATCACATAATTTTCAAAATTGAAAATGAGACTACTCTCAACTGTATCATAAGTACCTGAGTTTGATGAATGCACAATTTGGTGTAAATAGACTTTGCACTTTTATTCTCAGCCAGTTTGGTTATGTAATAACAATGATATGCCCTAAATTTGGACAATGAACATCACTTGAAGCCAGACAAATGAACTATTGTGTGATTTTAATGAAAAACTACCATGTGCAAAATTTTTTGGTTGACCAGGTGTAATATAGTGGTGTGAAGGTGAAAAATGGAATTTTTTTTCTAATAAAAGTAAGTTACTCCCTTCTGACAGGTGACTGGTCTTAAAAAGAAATAATTCCATTTTTTAATACTCAAAGTAAACGATTACCGAAACGGTACACCATTGCTTTAAATATATATGGTACCACAGGAAGGTAATTTGAAAATTGAGTAACCATCTATAGAGGCAATTCTAGAATTTCTTTAAGATTTTCACTGTACAAAAAAGTCTTTAATACATGTATTACATCAATCAAAGTGCCTTTCCTAGATCCCATTTATATTTTATGAAACAGCCCTCAACATAGTAATTTGTGATATATGTTAATGAGTTCGCAATCTAACAGCATGCAACCTACATGTACCTCTGAATTTCATTGTCTCTACTCTGGACTTGTTGTTTGTAATGGTCTATAGCTAGCTGTTTCTCATTTTTCAACTTATTAACATTACTAAAAATAAAATTAAAAATAATTAAATATTCAGTTCATATGTCAGATGATAATGATAATGATGGATGGCTGCTTAACGTCCAACGGCAAATTAATATGCATATTCAGGACAAGAACATGTTAATGTAAAATGAATATTTACCCTGCTTTGTACTAGGCCGACACGCTGAGCCGGATTTTTAACGTTTTAGCTCACAAGGTAACAGTCTGCAGGAAGACATGCCACCTTACCTAGACACATTATTCTGACTCCGAGCTGACCAGTCTTTGCTGGTACTCCTAGATGCTTGGCGGAGAAGCAGCAAATACCAATTTTAAAGTCTTTTGTTTGACCCGTCTGGGGTTTGAACCCACGATATCCCGCACTTGAGGCAAACACACTAGCACAAGACCACACAGGTGTTCATATGTCAGTTGAGAATAAATTCATAATTCACACAATAATTCCAGTTATCATATTGATATAAAAATTGGAGTCTATGGAAAAGTTGTACAAAAGTATTTTTTGACAAATAACTTTAATTGAGTAGTACAAAAGATTTCGTTCAGTTCATAAAACCTAAACTGTTTTTCATTGTTACAAATCTTACCTTATTGCATCTTCTTTTTCTTTTTTTAACTTCTGTTCAAGGACATATGCTTCATGCTGCAAGGATTTTATTCTGAAATCAAATAGTAAAGTTTGTCTATATAAATAAACATTATTTCACACACATCTTAAATCTTCTTGCCAAATGGTAAATATTAAAATGGTCTATTCAAACCTCAGAAAATTTTATTGATTGCTGTTTGCTTTAAGTCAAGGGGCAAAATACTTCACTGGGGTAAAGCTTAAGACCGTAATTCGATTCACGGTCATCCCAAGATGGTGGATGCAGAATTAGGTCAGAATCTATATTGTCTGTTAAAGTGTTTCTATGATATATTCTATATAAAGCATACATTGGTATGATCTAAATTTATAAAAGTTTCACACGGAAATCACAAATTACTACCGAGAAATGTATATGAAACAGGAAATTCGATTTGAAAAAATTGCTAAGATGACCGTAATTCACAATCGAGATGACCGTAACAGTACCAGCGATTCAAAACAGGGATGACCCTAATTGGTAAAAGATGACCGCAATTAATTATAAAGGAAAAAAAGAAAACTACTTATTTGATTTGAAATTTTCCTAAATGAATGTTATAAATAATCAATATTATTTAGTTTCATCAGAAATATCAATTATGGACTATTTTTTCTAAACAAACGACACAAATGAAAACTCGTGAATAATGAACCAAAAAACAACATTTAAATGTAGTCAGAAGGTTTATCACTGAGCATGTTGCAAATGTTATACCCTTGGAGTACTTAAAGTTCATTTTTATATAAAATCCAGATAATTTCAAATTATAGTCTGGCTAAATAACAAAGATGTGTTCTGTTCAGGGTTGATGCATGAATTTCCCGAACAATTAAATATTGAAATTTTGCAAACTTTTTCAGGTAACGGAACGATCATTTGATTCTGAGGTGAGGGCCTGGTAGATTTGTTTGAGTCAGAATATTTATTTTAAAAATTGTGAGGGTCAGAAAATTTATTTCAACCACTTTAGAGCAAGATTCTTTATTTTTTTTATTTTTTTACTAAAAAATATACATGGCGGTAAGAATAAATTTTCTAGGAAGTTAAGCCAGAATATTTATTTTCAACTTTATCGAGGTAAGAAATTTTTTATGAAAAATCTGCCAGTCCCCACTGGAGTTTTACCAAGAAATGTACTTTGCAAAAACAATGTAAATTGCTGAGGATGAAAATACCAATAGACCATAACTCCTAAATGAATATGTCTCAGGCACTTTCACTATGACATGTATGAAAAAAAGGTTCATAATAGAAAACCAACAGAGTGAGTCAAAATTTTACAATGACTCAAATCATGAAGTTTACATCCTCAGAGTGATACTGAACAAATGATATCAAAAATAAAATTGTTAAAATTATGAATGGTTCATGTCTTCATATGTGTAAGTGCCCAGACACAAAATGTTTTAAAAATTTCAAGTAACTTGGTTTTATTAAACTATATATACCATCAATACTGTTATATCCTTAAAAAGTAATAATACCTCAATTAAATAGAACAAATCTTTTAAAAACAAATAATCGTTTTTTTTTATGAAAAGGAATACTAATTGATTACTGTTCAGTTGTCGTGATCCAGTGCATGCTCTTCGCAACTTAATTTATAGAGAATTAAATAATTTGAAAAGTACATCAAACATGTAAGAATTATTTCAATAAAATATTAAAGGGGCATTAGCTACGAGATATCGAAAAAATAAAATATTATTTTTTTTTTCAATCATTAATGAAAGTGAAATAGTGAAATAATAATTCGCTTTTGGCAGCCTGAGTTTGGTTCAGTTTTGTCAAAATAAGCAAAGAGACATCATTAATGAATTATTCATTTGCAAGTGAATAATTTGACTTCATCAAATCCGTATTCATGTGAACTTAAATTGAACCCCTTAGCTAGAGATGGGTTACGCATGAACTAGTTGTGTTCTGTTATTGAAAGGAAAAGAATGTCAACATTGGAAGTGAAACAAGGGTAAACCATTTGGTTGACTGATTAGATCTACTAAAACTCATTCTTATACAGGTAAAAACGATTATTAACATATTGTCATGATTGTTTTAACTTACAATATGAAATAAAAATCGATTTTCCTGTTTCATATACATTTCTCTGTAGTAATTTGTGATTTCCGTGTGAATCTTTTATAGATTTATATCATACCAATGTATGCTTTATATAGAATATATCATAGAAACACTTTACAGACAATACCAATTCTGACCTAATTCTGCATCCGCCATCTTGGGATGACTGTGAATCGAAAATCATTTTTGGCCTGTGTTTCTTAAAATTTAATAGCGTGCGCCTACTTGACCCGAAGAAAATTATGGCGATTTAGACAGCAAAAACAGTGATAATGACATTGGAATAAAAAAATTCCTGGGTCATGTTGGCGCAGGCACTTAAAAACAAAAAATTGTTGTAGGGAACACCTCCAAAGTGAATAATAATTACAATATTTAAATAATAACGGAAAGTTAACCCCCCTCACCTCACCCAGTGTCTGAAATTAATGGTTTTGAAGTTCATCCAAACAAACTTCAAACCTCAGGGAATAATTTAACATGATAAGTAGCTTTCCAAAACAAAACTTGAAAAATGAGAAAATAGGGGGGCCAAAACGGGTGCTTATCGTACCTTGTCCTTTGTTCATTTATTAACACAAATGCTTGCATAGAGATTAACCTGGATGTAATAATAAAACAAGGAAGAGAGAGAATTTCTGAATCTACAAAATAAGAACATTAATTTAGAACTTTGTGATATGAATGAAAAACACAAGAAGTGATATAGACAAAAGGTAAGTCAACAGAATTAAAACCATCCTTAATAAGCTAAATGTAATAATAATCACCTGAAATATTGTTAGGTAATTTTGTAATTTTATTAAATCTGCATGTACATATATAATTTCTGTGAAATACCAAAATTCTGCAATGTATAACTGAGTTAACAATTGGGGTTGAATTTAGCAATTAAAATATTATTCAATAGTTAATACTATTATTTTACTTTGTTGTCATAACTTATACAGTGCTTGAAAATATCTATCATCAAGTAAAAAAGTTTCCCTTTGACAACAATGTTTGAAGAATTAAAAGAAAAGAAAAAAGTCTCTAAAATTTGAGTTATTTAATTCTGCAACCTATTGCTAAATTCAGCAACGTTACTGAATTGTGAGACTGTCAGAACTTTTATAAATATTACATGTACATAATTTAGTAATTAAAAAAAACCATTATTTTGACATTATGGATCTTTAGGAAATGTAAAAAAATGCAGAAGAGAACTAAAATGAATTAATAAAAATGTGCTCCACATGGAGCAGCTGGATAAGACTGCAGAGGTCGAACTCTGAACAGTTTGTGCAAGTATGGACACAATATTCAAGCTTGATACAGCTCTGAATTTGAATAGTGATTAAATATTTGACACATTATAGATTTCTGACACAGAATAAATGTGATCAGATAACTTAAAAATTTGAAATGGGACATTTAATCTTCTTAATGGTCCAATATCCAAAATCTAATTCCATGCTTAGATTCAGCATATAAAAAAAAACATGAATTCAAACAAAAGTTTAATTTTTGACCCTTTGGACCTTAATATCGACTAATTTGAAAACAGGGCCCAAAATTAACAAGAGTGCACACGCTGAAATGTCTCGCCTTCTTTACTAATCATTGATATTATGTTGATAGTCCTAAATATAAAGCTTTATTACAACTGTCACATAAACTTAACATTAACCAAGTAAACTAAACATTGACCAATGAACCATGAAAATGAGGTCAAGGTCAGATGAACCATGCTAGGCAGGCATGTACAGCTACCAATTCTTCCATACAACAAATATAATTGACCTATTGCTTATAGTTTAAGAAAAACAGACCAAAACACAAAAACTTAACACTGAGCAATGAACCTTGAAAATGAGGTCAAGGTCAAATAAAACCTGTGTGACTGCCAAATAGATCATAAAATATTTCCATACACCAAATATAGTTGAACTATTGCATATAGTATTAGAAAAAAGGATCAAAACTCAAAAAACTTAACTTTGACCACTGAACCATGAAAATGAGGTCAAGGTCAGATGACACCTGCCCGCTAGACATGTACACCTTACAATCATTCCATACACCAAATATAGTAGACCTATGGCATACAGTATAAGAAAAACAAACCAAAACACAAAAACTTAACTATAACCACTGAACCATGAAAATGAGGTCAAGGTCAGATGACACCTGCCAGTTGGACATGTACACCTTACAGTCCTTCCATACACCGAATATACTAGACCTATTGCTTATAGTATCTGAGATATGGACTTGACCACCAAAACTTAACCTTGTTCACTGATCCATGAAATGAGGTCGAGGTCAAGTGAAAACTGTCTGACGGCCATGAGGACCTTGCAAGGTACGCACATACCAAATATAGTTATCCTATTACTTATAATAAGAGAGAATCTAACATTACAAAAAATCTTAACTTTTTTTTCAAGTAGTCACTGAACCATGAAAATGAGGTCAAGGACATTGGACATGTGACTGACGGAAACTTCGTAACATGAGGCATCCATATACAAAGTATGAAGCATCCAGACCTTCCACCTTCTAAAATATAAAGCTTTTAAGAAGTTAGCTAACGCCGCCGCCGCCGTAGCCGCCGCCGCCGCCGGATCACTATCCCTATGTCGAGCTTTCTGGGACAAAAGTCGCAGGCTCGACAAAAATCTGAATGCACAGTTATATTCAGCATATCATCAGTTTTTGATGAAATCAAACAAAGTCTAATTTTGGACCCTTTGGACCTCAATGTAGACCTATTTAAAAATGTCCAAATATCCAATATAGTAATACATGGTAAAAACCTCAAACAATTCAAGACTTTAAATTAATCCTCATGGAAATTGGTTAAAAGATTTGCATTTATTTTCAATTGAAGAATTCTTGCTGTTGACCAATACTTTGCTGTTGCGCAATACTTAGTAAATCTGTTTACAAACTAAATATAATAATTTACACACCCTGTTTGGTGTGTATCTCCTGCCATATCAGTATTTGTTGTTTCTTTATATAGATCAGAAATAATTTATGTTAGAACCAGCTTAGCCAGTATTAGAAAAGTCTTGTTTTTGGCCCCTATTTGGCCTCTAGTTTCTTAATGATTAAAGCCACAACCCACAAAATCAACCCCAACCTTCTGTGTGTGGTATGAAACTTTGTGGTACAATTTCATAGAGATCCATTGACTAATACCTAAGAATTTGTGTGGAAACCAGAAAAACCTTGTTCCTTCCCCCCCCCCCCCCCCTTTTTTCCCCTTTTCCCCTTATTCCTGAACGGTTTGAGCCATAACCCCCAAAGTCAAACCAAACCTTCCCTTTATGGTATGGAACCTTGTGTTTCAATTTCATAGAGATCCATAGACTAATACATAAGTAATTGTCCATCAACCAGAAAAACCTTGTTTCCCCCCCCCCCCCCCCCCCCCCTTTTTTGCCCCTAATTCCTGAACAGTTTGGGCCATAACCCCCAAAGTCAATCCCAACCTTCCCTTTGTAGTATGGAACCTTGTGGTAAAATTTCATAGAGATCCATACACTTATACACAAGTTATTGTCTGGAAACTAGAAAAATGCCTTTTTTGACCCCGAATTCCTAAACAGTCGGAACCATAACCCCCAAAATCAATCCCAACCTTCCTTTTGTGGTATTAAACCTTGTTTTTAAATTTCATAGAGATCCATTCACCACAACGACGACATGATAGCAATATACGAACGCAAATTTTTTGCGGTTATATAAAAATTAAGCTTTGAACAACAAATATATTTGATATAATAAATGTTTTCCCTCTTCACATGTCTTTTTAGTCTGATAATACCTGCTTGCATATAAAACTATAACTAGAGAACTGTATAAGTGACCCCACCATAATTTAAACTTGAACTGCGTTTTATTGTAATGAGCATTGTGTATAAGTTTCAAAACATTTGGTTGAGTCAAACTAAAGTTAGAGAACAAAAACGAAAAATTCAGAATTTTTTCTATTTATAAAGGAGCAGAACTCAAGAATGGAAAAGTGAGGCAAACCCAAATTCATACTTAATCTGTGTTTTGTGGTAATAAACATTGTGTATAAGTGTCATAACATTTGGTTGAGGCAAACTTAAGTTAGAGAACGGAAAAGATGAACAGACGTACGATAGATGTACAGACCGACAAGGGTAACACTTATACCCCTCCCCTGCAATGTCACAAAAACGTGGCAGAAATGTGAAACACAGATAGATGAGACAAGTATAAATTCTCCTTCTTTGAAGAGAACAGTATATAAATATAAAAGAAAATGTAAGCTATAAAATATGTTGTTTAATGTGTAATGTATTAGAAATTTCAATTTCATTGAGTTAAACTTGTGCATACAGAGGCAGCAGAGCTTATATATCTTTAGAAGTAAGGGGCAAACTATCAAAGATATTATGGTCTATATTCTAAGAGTCAAAATTACTTCAAAAGAAAGTCAACTTGAACAAAAAAAAACAATGAATATGTACAAACTTATACATGTACAAACAATACAATATATAACAGCTAAATATTGCATTTCTATTTAAATTATATATTATATACAGTAAATCTAGCTGTTTTCTCCTTTGAAGTGTTTCATATTTTATCATGCCATTGCTTTTTACAGCTTACAAAATGTACAGGTTTTGCTCATATTTGAAGGCAGGTTAGTGCCCTATAGTTCAGTCAGGATTCTACTTAGTCAAAATCATCTCCCCATTACGCCATCTAATTTTTAAATTCGTTAAATGGAAGCCATTATAAAGATGACGCGCTGTCAATTTAGCTCTTGAAAACTGATAAATGTATTCACATAGCATAATTACAATCCTTATATGCCAGTTGTATTTTAAAAGACAAATGTATCTACTAGCTATTTAGCATCATTTAATATACTTTCATGCATTTAGATAACTTAAAACTATTGTCTGATCGGTTGTCAGGAGGAATTTATGAAAGTTCAAAATCTAAAAAAAAACATCTAATTAAATATTTCTTGGGAGGGCAGACTTAACATTTTTAGAGGTTGAAGACTAATAATCCATGATAACACACACAAAAAATGAAGTTTATGCATTTTTTAAATTCACTTGTAAAGTCTGTCATCAAGTACTTTCAGTAAAAATTTGTTTTTCAAATTAAAACACCTATTCTGTTGTTATGACTCATTAGAAAGGTATTTCACTTGACCCTTATATTTCATTTTTTAGTACTGTGAATTTTTAATGATATTAATTATATCAACCTGTAGCCTAAATATGTAATATTAATAGAATCTGAAGCGAGATGATGTGTCAAATATTTTTGCTTTATACGTTTTCAAGAATAGTCAACCCAAACACGCCTGAACATAAAAAGGTGTATTCGACTTTCTCTTTTCGATGAAACTGTTGCCCATTTTTAGGATTTTTTTCCAAAAAACTGTTGCCAGGGGCAGAGATGCAAATTAATGCTTTAAAAAGATCAATCAATTATCTTTCTGTGGAAATTTTTTGGTGGAGTTTATGCTTATGCACAAAAAGATCTAGAAACAGATGTAAACAATTCAACTATACCAACTTGGCCTTTTTTACCTTCTCTAATAAAATATAAAGAGTTCCATTTCTTTTGTTTAATTTCAACTGGGTATCTGCCTGTAGTTGTTTACATCTTTGTCCATTAGCCTCTTTTGTATAGTTGTCTCATTGGCAATCATACCACCTCAGAGAAGTATAAAATAGTTATAAAAGCTAAGTATGAAATATGATTTATAATTAAGATTTATGAATACTTTCTGGGTTTCATTGGAAGAATCAAACCACATAACTCATTTCTAGTGAAAAATAATTCCATGTAACTTGTTTCTAGTAGATTTTCATCCTTGAAATCTACTAAATAAAATAAAAGAACTCAAATTTATTTACAGCTGAAAGTATCAATAAACTGTTGACACAGAGATATGTCTCGCCTTTCGGCATAAAATTCAGAAAAAGACAATCTAAATGACAGCAACATTGCTTATCAATTCAAAGTCGCTGGACCATGATCTAGTGGGAAGGGCCTGAAAATGGTTGACAAACTAAAATGTACAGACAGTAATGTAACTTTATAGAAAATATTGTTATCTATTGTAAGTGATCCTATCAATCGAACTTAAGCAGAAAACTTAACATTAAAAATTGCTTATTAATTGAAAGTGGCTTGACCATGACCTAGGGGGCAGGGCCTGATAATAGTTGTCAAACTGATATGTACTGATAGTAATGCAACTTCATACAAAATATCATTGATCTATCTCAGGTAGATCCTATCAAACTAACTTAAGCAGAAAACTTAACATTTGTTGACGCCAACATCGTCATCATTGTCACCTGAAAAGCAATCCCTATGTCTCACTTTTCGCGACTTTCGTCGCAGGCAAGACAAAACCCATAAAAATACCTTACGTGTTTTCATTTTCTCCTTGTAGACCTGCCACTTGTTTTTCCAATGTATTAATGGCTTTCTGCCTGAAGAAGAAATATATTGAACATTCTTATTACTACTTTGACTTTTACAACATGTCTGACATTACTGTACAGTCTTAACTCTTATGAGTATTCTTTTTAGGTTAAATGGATTGTAAAGGATAAGAGGATAAAATCATGATGCACTGGAAAGGTCTCATCATCGCAATTTAGGTAACTATGAGAGGGAATCTGATCAGTTTTTGATATATTTAAATATTACAATGTAAGAGACAGGAGAACAATGCATAAAGATAAAACCGATGGTGCACTGTTAGGTAGTCATCTGCATCTCAATCATGCAGTTTATTAAAAATGTGAATCACCAGAAAAAGGCTTCATATTTTTTTATTTTGATATTTTACAAGCTAAGTGTCTAACATACTGAAATAGATAAATAATTCTTCCCATACTGCCTGATCATGAAAGAAAATTTACTTTATATACACAATAAAATGTACTCTGTAGATTATTGAGTTATTTCCCTTTTAAGACATTTCATATACATTGTTATTCATATCTGCCATGTATTTGACCACAATTAATAGTTGAAGTTACTGGAAGTTGTTAATATAACTTTGCATTATAAATAGTAAAACAAAAATATGTCGGTTTTCCATCCCTGAATCCCATTTTGCATGATTCTTAGATGTAGTGGTACTTAAAGTCTTGTTACAACAATTACATGGTACTAATAATTATGAATAAGTGGTTTTGATCTGAACAGCTTTCCAGGTATTTAATATGGGATGCTCCTCTTGCCCTAGAACAAAACCTGTGCTGCAATACTCATGCTACCAGAAAAGTGCTACCATGGCTGAGAATTAAGCATATAAATGGTTCAGTGGTGTGGATCTGAACTATTTCTATTTTGAACAAGAGGCTGTCAGAGAGACAGCAAACCGGATTTTCCTGCAGAGGTCGAACCCTGAACAGTTGAGCAAGTATGGACACTACATTTAAACTTAAAACAGCTCTGAATTTGGATTGTGATTGAATATGTGACACAAAATGAATGTAGTCAAAGAACTGATATATTTGAAATTGGACATTTAAATACCTATTATGGTCCAATATCCAAAATCTCAGTACATATTAGAATCAGCATATCAAAGAACCCCAAGAATTCAATTTTTGATGAAATAAGACAAAAGTTTAATCTAGGACACTTTGGACCTCAATGTGGACCAATTTGATAAAGGAGCCCACAATACAAGAATATATATGGATTAGGGGTGGGGATCTCGACCGTTTACAAGTTCTCAAACAGGAGGGGACGGGGTGACCCCAGGGGACTCGCCTTTTATTTCATTTGATTTGTTTTATTGTCCCATACAAGAATATATATGGTTTCGGGGTGGGGATCTTGACCGTTTACAAGTTTTCAAAAAAAAGGGGGGTGGGGGTGACCCCCCCTGGACTTCCCCTATATTTCATTTGATTTGTTTTATTGTCCCATACAAGAATATATATGTTTTCAGGGTGGGGATCTTGACTGTTTACAAGTTTTCAAAAAGAAGTGGGGTGGAGATGGTCCCGGGGACTCCCCAAATATTTCATTTGATTTGTTTTAATGTCCCATATAAGAATATATATGGTTTAGGGGTGGGGATCTCGACCGTTTACAAGATAAAAGCACATTCTCTAATTGAAGGGGGTGGGGGTAAGAATATATATGGTTTAGGGAGACTTAATTATCTACAAAATGTCTAATAATGAACAGTAAATTTCAAACTTCATTTATACAGTCCTACTAGTAAATTTAAAACTTTATATATACTGTCCTACAGATTTTATCAGGAAACAGAAATTTTTCAAATAAATCTGTCACTCCAATGATTATCATATGCTAAAATATTTCCAAGTTCTAATTAATAATGAAAATAAATCATTATCATATGCTAAAATATTTCTAATATCTAATTGAACAGAACTATGGTTGTTTAACATAGTACTCTAACATAATTAATAATGTAATAATCTTCAAAATGTCTAATGATATAGCTTATAATCACTTAGGAAATAGATAATTTTCAAATAAATCTGTCACTCCAATTTTTATTCTGAGATAAGACAAATCATAACATGATAACAAGAGTAAAATATTTAAAAATTCTACTTTTGATTATAAAAAATTGTGATAACTCACAAAGGAGATATACTAAAATCTTGAAAATTGAACTAGACCTTCATTAAGTCCCAGGAAACAACATACTTAAATTTGAATAAAATGCTTCGCTGGGGCGCAGCTTGATACGACCGCAGAGGTCGAACCCTGAACAGTTGGGGCAAGTATGGACACAAAATTCAAGCTTGATACAGCTATGACTTTGGATTGTCATTAAATATTTGACACAGCATAGGTTTCTGACACAGGATGAATGTGGTGTAAGAACTGGAAAAAATTTAATTTACCTATTATGGTGGAATATCCATAAACTAAATTGTTTGTTAATTTCAATATATCAAAGAATATGTAGAATTCAATGTTTGATGTAATGTAATAAAGTTGAAATTTGGACCGTTTTTGTTCAATGTGGACCAATTTGGTAACATGTATAAATAATCAAAAATCTAAATACATGGGAGCCCATTTAAATACATCATAAAGGTATTAAAATAGAAAGTGACATCATAGTCATGACTAAAAATAAACAAAAATCCTTAATCAGCAATATTTAAAGTAATATCTAAAAATAAAATTCCTTTGTAACCATAAAAGCCCATTTAAATACATCATAAAGATATTAAAATAGAAAATGACATCATAGTCATGGCTAAACATAGCAAAAAACCCTTAATCAGCATCATTTAACAGTAATATCTAAAAATGGAAATTACATCATAAAGGTATTAAAATAGAAAATGACATCATAGTCATGGCTAAAAATAAACAAAATCCTTAATCAGCATCAGCAACATTTTATAGTAATATCTAAAAATAAAATTCCTTTGTAACCATAAAAGCCCATTTAAATACATCATAACAGATATTAAAATAGAAAATGACATCATAGTCATGGCTAAACATAGCAAAAACCTTAATCAGCATCATTTAACAGTAATATCTAAAAATAAAAATTTCTTTGCAACCATAAAAGTAAAATAGAAAATGACATCATAATCATAGCTAAAAATAAACAAAAAATTTTTTTATTGGCAAATTTTAAATGGAGTTTATTATACTAAAACAATAAATTTGCAACCATAAACATGATAAAACCCCATTTAAACACATCATAAAAGTATTAAATAATTCAACTACATCATAAGGCTATAAAAATAGAAAATGACTTCATAGTCAAGGCTAAAGGTAAACAAAAAACCTTCATCAGCAAAATTTTATATTGGCAAATTTCCAATGAAGTTTATTACACTAAAATTGTTGGCAAATTTCCAATGCATTTATTAACAATAAAGTTATTGGCAAATTTCCAATTTACATAATTTAAAAGCAGTGTAGATGAGATATTTAAATGAGTTTGAATTACCAACCTTACACTGCTTTTAAATAATGTTCTTTACTCAATTATTTGTCTATTAAAATGGAAACCCTTGTTTTTTAACCTTTTTTCCCCTTATTCCTTAAACATTAGAGCCATATACCCCCCCCCCCCCCCCCCCCCCCCCCAAAGCCAATTATTACTTTCCAATGTAACCTAAATTTCCAATATACATAATTTTAAATTTCAGTTCCTCATGATATATAACCGTATCATTATTATTTTCTTTCATATATAAATCTGAAACAACCATCTTTAAATGGAAAATTTTAAAGAAAAAAAAAAGGAAAAAAAAAAATCCTACCCCCCACACATTTTTTCAACCCCCTTTTGATTCATCATCCTCCACCTCAATCACAACCTTCAATTTGTGGTATGGTACATTGCAATACAATTTCACAGAGATCCATACACTTGAACACAAGTTTTTGTTGCAAACTAAAAAAATCCTTATTTTCGACCAATATTTGGCCCCTTATTCATAAATGTTTGAGCAATTAACCCCAAAACTCAATTCCTACTTTCTCTTCGTGATAAAAAATAACTAACTTAAAATGTAAATTTTAAACAAAAAAAAAAGGAAAAAAAAAATTACCCCTTTTTTGACCCCCGCCCCCCTTATGATTCATCACCCCCACCCCCCTTTCCCCCCAAACCAAGCTCAATAACAGCCTTGCCTTTGTGGTATGGTACCTTGTAATACAATTTTAGAGAGATCCATACACTTGAACACAAGTTATTGTCTAGAAACTAAAAACTGCTTATTTTAAACCCCTTTTTAGGCCCCTTATTACTAAACGTTTTGGGCAATTACCACAACACTCAATTCCAGCTTTCCCTTTGTGAAATGGAACCTTGTAGTAAAATTTCAGAAAGATCCATACACTTACACACAAGTTATTGTCATGAAACTAGAAAAATGCTTGTTTTTTGCCCCCTTTTGGCCCCTTATTCCTAAAATTTTGAGGCAATTAACCCCAAAATCAATCCCAGCATTGACCCTTTGTGATATGGAATCTTGTGGTACAATGTCAAAGAGATCCATATGCTAACACACAAGTTATGTCTGGAAGTTACAAAAATGCTTATTTTCGGCCCCTTTTTGGCCCCTAATTCCTTAACTGTTGGTACCATAACCCCTAAAATCAATCCCCACCTTCCTATTGTGGTATTGAACCTTATGGTAAAATTTCATAGAGATCCATTCACTTAAACTAAAGTTAGAGTGCGAAAACCATTGTGTATTCGGACGACGACGCCGGACGACGACGACGACGACGACGACGCCAACGTCATACCAATATACGACCTCAAAATTTTTTTGCGGTCGTATAAAAAATTTGTTAAAGCGTTTTCATGTTATTGTGCTGACACTGTTTGGCAGCCGCCCGTAGATCCGCCCAGCCGCCCGTCATACATCACCATTTTAATAACCGATATTTCCTTCGAAAATCCGGTTAAAAATGTTAAGTATTGTTTATGGCACTGGGAAGGTCTTGCCATTACGAGCAATAACATATGGTTTTGGGGTGGACATGAAAATGTTTCTTGAGGTAAACTAGAGACTCTAAAGAGCCTGTGTCGCTTACATACTGTGTATGTGCATATATTCAACAATGGACTCTCTGCAACATTGTGGACTAAAATAGAATTCATTACAAAAATATCTTTTTTGTTGAATATATTGTATTGCTGATAAATTTTTCTGATTGCAATTTCTATCTATCTTCTTTAATTTTTGCAAAAAACACAAAAAAGGGTTAAAAAAATTGTCAAATAAGAGCAATCACTCCTTTAAAGAGTCTACTAAAGATTTCTGGCTAATTTTTTGCTCTTGTGTGACTTCATTTTTGCTATTTAATATGTCTATCTATCTTTAGATCTACAAGATAATAGGCAAAAACGTAAAATATTTGTTCAAATCATCATTAATAAGCAAGAACTCCAATAAGAAGTTTACTGACAATTTCGGATATGTTAACTTATTTGTAGATATTGTCTTGCTAATCATTTTTGCTATTCAAAGTGGCTATCTATCTATCTATAATAGCTTTCTAGATAATACCGGTAAGAGACAGAACACTAAAATTGGGAAAAAATTGAGCAATAACTCCAATAAGAAATGAACTGGCGATTTTGGCCAGTACACTTATTTGTAGATCTTGTCATGCTGATAATTTTTGATTATTTAAGTTTCTTTCAATCTATTTTAGTTTTCTAGATAAAAACGCCAACAAAGGGTAAAAATCGTCATTAAAGGGTATGTTACAACTGAGCTGTGTCGGATAGAAATTTACCTTACCGGTATGCAAGTATATGTATGCATGTACATGTAAAAGACTCTAGTTGATTTTGGAACATTCATATACGAAAATAAATGGGGAACGTTTCCATGGGACACAGATGATGCCCCCGCTTGCATATAACGTTATAAAGGGACATAACTCAAGAGCTGTAAAAGTGATGCTACCCAAATTTGTACTTGATCTGAGTTTTGTGGTAATAAGCATTGTGTATAAGTTTCATAACATTTAGTTGAGGCAAACTTAAGTTAGAGAACGGAAACTAAAAATTCAGCAATTTTTATACGACCGCAAAAAAATTTTGTGGTCGTATATTGGTATGACGTTGGCGTCGTCGTCGTCGTCGTCGTCGTCCGGCGTCGTCGTCGTCGTCCGGCGTCGTCGTCCGAATACATATTGGTTTTCGCACTCTAACTTTAGTTTAAGTGAATGGATCTTTTTGAAATTTGACCATAAGGTTAAATACCACAAAAGGAAGGTTGGGATTGATTTTGGGGGTTATGGTACCAACAGTTAAGGAATTAGAGGCCAAAAAGGGGCCAAAAAGGGGCCAAAAATGAGCATTTTCTAGTTTCCAGACAATAACTGTGGAACGGTGTATGGATCTCTCTGAAATTATACTAGAAGTTTCCATACCACAAAGGGATGGTTAGGATTTGCTTTTGGGGGTTATGGCTCAAACCGTTTAGGAATTAGGGGCAAAATAGGGGGAAAAACAAGGTTGTCCTGGTTAATGGACAAATACTTTAGTACAAAACATAATTTAAAGCAGTGTAAGGGAGATAAATCAAATACATCATTGAAATTATCTCCCTTACACTGCTTTTAAATTATGTATAAAGTAATGGTTAATGAACAATAAAGATAATCTAAAACAGTGTAAGGGAGGTAATCCAAATACAACGTTTTGGTTACTTCCCTTACACTGCTTTTAAATTATGTTTAAAGAAATGCATATTTATAAAGGAAGACCAGTAAAAATATCTGCAAATGTTTTCATCTTTTTTTTTTACAAAAAAATCCATATGAAAGATTTGACACTATATTTTTATTAATTCTATTATAAAATAGATTAAGTTAGCACTATGGTAAATTTAAATGGGTAATTATGGTTGCCAACTCCATTGGAAATTTGAATTGAGATTATGACCATATCTTGAGGGAAAGAATTTTTTGGGGGGAAAAAGGGGGGGGGGGGATAAAAAGAAATTGTGGGTGGCCAATTTTTTCTCATTTCAGATTTCAGAAATTAAAAAGAATTATTCTTCAAATATTATTTTTTTTTCAAATTTCAAATATTGAAAAATTTCAAGAAGTAATCTTTAATTGCACAGTATGGCGCATTAGATTTGTAAAATCTTTGATCACATTTATTTATTTGTTATGCCGAATCTAACAGTGTATTTAGATTTTTAATTTTGGGTCCAGTTTTCAAATTGGTCTACATTAATGTCCAAAGGGTCCAAAATTAAACTTTGTTTGATTTTAGCAAAAATTGAATATATGAGGTTCTTTGATATGCTGAATCTAAACATGTATTTAGATTTTTGATTTTTGGCCCAGTTTTCAAGTTGGTCCAAATTGGGGTCCAAAATTAAACTTTGTTTGATTTCAACAAAAATTGAATATATGGGGTCCTTTGATATGCTGAATCTAACCATGTATTTAGATTTTTTATTTGTGGACCCCGTTATCTAATTGGTTCATATTGAGGTCAAAAGGGTCCAAAATTAAACTTTGTTTGATTTCATCTAAAATTGAATTATTGGGGTTCTTTGATATTCCAAATCTAACCGTGTATTTAGGTTTTTAATTTTGGGTCCTGTTTTTTAAATTGGTCTACATTGAGGTCCAAAGGGTCAAAAATTAAACTTAGTTTGATTTTGACAAAAATTGAATTCTTGGGGTTCTTTGATTTGCTGAATCTAAACATGTGTTTAGATTTTTTATTATGGGCCCAGTTTTCAAGTTGGTCCAAGATAGGGTCCAGTATTTAAACTTTGTTTGATTTCAACAAAAATTGAATATATGGGGTTCTTTGATATGCTGAATCTAAACATGTATTTAGATTTTTGATTATGGGCCCAGTTTTCAAGTTGGTCCAAATTGGGGTCCAAAATTAAACTTTGTTTGATTTCAACAAAAATTGAATATATGAGGTTCTTTGATATGCTGAATCTAACCATGTATTTAGATTTTTTATTTGTAGGCCCCTCTATCAAATTGGTTCATATTGAGGTCAAAAGGGTCCAAAATTAAACTTTGTTTGATTTCATCGAAAATTGAATTATTGGGGTTCTTTGATATGCCAAATCTAACCGTGTTTTTAGATTTTTAATTTGGGTCCCGTTTTTTAAATTGGTCTTCATTGAGGTCCAAAGGGTCCAAAATTAAACTTAGTTTGATTTTAACAAAAATTGAATTCTTGGCGTTCTTTGATATGCTGAATCTAATCATGTCTTTAGATTTTTGATTATGGGCCCAGTTTTCAAGTTGGTCCAAGTTGGGGTCCAAAATTAAACTTTTTTTGATTTCAACAAAAATTGAATATATGGGGTTCTTTGATATGCTGAATCTAACCATGTATTTAGATTTTTTATTTGTGGGCCCCGCTATCAAATTGGTTCATATTGAGGTCAAAAGGGTCCAAAATTAAACTTTGTTTGATTTCATCAAAAATTGAATTATTGGGGTTCTTTGATATTCCAAATCTAACCATGTATTTAGATTTTTTATTTTAAGTCCCGTTTTTTAAATTGGTCTACATTAAGGTCCAAAGGGTCCAAAATTAAACTTAGTTTGATTTTAGCAAAAATTGAATTCTTGGGGTTCTTTGATATGCTGAATCTAAACATGTGTTTAGATTTTTGATTATGGGCCCAGTTTTCAAGGTTGTCCAAGTTGGGGTCCAAAATTAAACTTTTTGTTTGATTTTAACAAAAATTGAATATATGGGGTTCTTTGATATGCTGAACCTAACCATGTATTTTGATTTTGGACATTGGACCATAATAGGTAAATTAAGAAAATTCAAGTTCTTAAACCACATTCATTCTGTGTCAGAAACCTATGCTGTGTCAAATATTTAATAACAATCCAAATTCAGAGCTGTATCAAGCTTGAATGTTGTGTCCATACTTGCCCCAACTGTTCAGGGTTCGACCTCTGCGGTCGTATCAAGCTGCGCCCCAGCGAAGCATTTTATTCCATTTGTAAAGGGGCATAACTCTAGAACGGTAAAAGTGACACCACCAAAATTCAAACTTGATCTGTGTTTTGTGGTAATAAGCATTGTGTATAAGTTTCATAACATTTGGTTGAGGCAAACTCAAGTTAGAGAACGGAAACCAATTTTTGGACGTACGGACAAACAGACGGACAAGGGTAAAACTTAATGCCCCCTCTGCTATGGCGGGGGCATAAAAAGAAAGAATGCACTCCCCCAAAAAAAAATTGAAAAAAAAACCTGAAATAATTTGAAATTTAAAAATTTTTGAAGAAAAAAAATATGAACCCCCAAAATTATTTGAAAAAAAATCCCCCCCAATTTTTTTTGAAATTTAAAGATTATTTTCTTTTCAGGAAAAATGTACAATTTCAGAGAGTTCCATCAACTTTAACACAAGTTATTGTCTGGAAACTAGAAAAATCCTTGTTTTTAGACCCTTTTTTGCCCCCAATTTCTAAACATTAGGGGCAATTACCCCCAAACTCAATCCCAGCATGGAACCTTGTAGTATAATTTCAGAGATCCATACACATAAACACAAGTTATTGTCTGGAAACTAGAAATATGCTTGTTTTTGGCCCCTTTTTTGCTCCTAATTCCTTAACTTTTGGGGCAATTAACCAAACTCAATCCCAGCCGTCCCTTTGTGATATGGAATCTTGTGGTACAATTTCAGAGAGATTCATACACTTACACACAAGTTATTGTCCGGAAACAACACAAATGCTTGTTTTTGGTCCCTAATTCCTAAACTGTTGGTACCATAACCCCCAAAATCAATCCCAACCTTCCTTTTGAGGTATTGAACCTTCTGGTAAAATTTCATAGTCTACATTCACTTAAACTAAAGTTATTGTACGGAAACCAAATGTGTCTTTGGACAACAACGCCATGATAGCATTATACGATAGCGAATTTTTTGCGGTCGTATAAAAATTGGTTATTAAAGGGCAATGACTCCAATAAGAGGTTCACTGACAATTTCAACAATGAAATTTATTCTAAGATCTTTTCTTATTGATCTTTTTTGATTATTTAAGTTTCTATTTGTCTATTATAGTTTTCAGATATTAGACAAAAAGGCAAAACATTCGTAAAAATTTGCCTTAAAAGGTCAATATCTCCAATTACTTCTTTTAAATTTGTATATTTGATTCTGCATGTTTTTGAGAAAAGGCTTTTAAAATTTTGGGCCTTTGACACCATATTAGATGTTTTAACAGAACTAAAGTAACAACACAATGCTAGGTACAATCTAAATAACATTTCTGCTGCTTACTTAATGTCTGATTTTTGAGAAATTTATATTAAAATTAAGTTTATATATTAGCAAAGGTCTTCAGAGAGTATGCTAATTGTGCTGATCAGCTATTTTTACAAGAGTTATGTCTCATGGAAATAAAAATAATATGAAAAAAATATAAATCAATTGCTTTAAAAAAGCAATTGTAAACGGTCTTTCCCCCCTTCTGAAACATGATTGATTGATATGTGTGTGTGTGTTTGTTTGTTTGTTTCTTTCTTTCTTTAAAGGGTCCATATTAGTGTGTTGGTTAAGTTTCTATATTTAGTTTGGAAAGTTTTTATTCTATTTTAGGTCCCGCGCGCGTCTTTGTCTCGCGCCAGATTGTGACGTCACGTGACGAAGCTTTATAATAGCGAAAACTTAGTATTTTTATTTCTTTTTAGGTGGAGACGTTGGACAGATAACATGTATAGCGACGGAATACACACAATGTATTTCTTTTGTCATTGTAGGTAATTGACGTTTCGATCACAGTTCACGAGCAGTGCATGCTTTGGATTTAATTGATCCTGTGTAACTTTAAAACACGTTTATCGATTATTTTCATACAATGTACATTTTTCAGCAGCAGTTTGTAACACAGATTTGTATTTCAATCTAGGAGCGGACATTTTATTGTAGGATTTCACTGAGATTTACGGAACTAGCAAGCGATTTTTACGGCATTGCAATTTCTTTTCTCTAGGAGAATTCTTGAGAGATATCTGCACCACGTTGTTTTATGAAGATGTAATGCATGTATACCCTGCTGACTGCAAATTTTAGGGTCAATTGGACATGTAGTTTCCCAGAACATCTGGTAACAAGCATGTGGATTTTTTTTTTTTCAGAAGAGATGTAAATACAATATTACACACATGAGACGGAAACATGCATACAATGAATGATTGATTGGTTGGTTGGTTGGTTTATTGATTTATTGATTAATTAATTAATTGGTTGGTTGATTGATTTGTTGATTGGTTGGTTGGTTGATTAAACACGTGGGATAGGGTCTCTTGAAACAAGCGAAAAAAGAAACAAAGGAAATCTTGGACCCCGTATTAAACACATGAGACGGAAACATGCACACAATGAATGATTGCTTGGTTGGTTGGTTGGTTTATGGATTGATTGATTGGTTGGTTGGTTGGTTGGTTAGTTAATTTAACATGTGGGATATGGTCTCTTGAAACAAGCGAAAAAGAAACAAATGAGATCTTGGACCCCATATTAAACACATGAGACAGAAACATGCATGCAATGATTGATTGATTGATTGATTGATTAATTGGTTGGTTGGTTAACACAGAGAACGGATTCACTTTGATCATGCAAAAACGGAATAGAAAGGCCTAAATACTATATCTTCACACATGGGATTTATCTTTTGAGAGATCACTTAACAAGTAGTAAGGTTAAAGGTCAATGTCAACCTACAAAAGCATTAAAACACACATCAAACTCTTTAAATAGTGCCAAAAAAACATAATTTGCCTCTTTGTACATGACCTTGACATTTGACCTTGACCTATATTTTCAAGTTATGGTCCAATGATTTCAAATCAAAAGACCCTAGGTCTTTATAACTTACGGTTCATGAGATTCATATGCATATTGAAAAGTAAAATATTCAAGGGGAAATAACTCCTATAAGAAGTCACTGGATCGCTTCGATTAAAATTATTTAAAGTTGCGACATGTGGCAAGGAACATTTCAAAAAAAAAACATTTGCCGGTAACTCTTATAGTTTATGAAGAGTAGCGATAACAATGATTTTTATAATTGGGGAGATAACTCCTATAAGGTAAATAGTACACTTTGGTGCTCCTAATACAAGATAGATTTTATTAACTTGATACTTAATACTAAAGATCATTTGGATCTGTCGCATACTTTTTTTGACTTTTGACTTTGAAATCAGACGAGGAAAAAGAATAATAATAAAAAATATAAATCAATTGCTTTAAAAAGCAATTGTAAACGGTCTTTCCCCCCTTCTGAAACATGATTGATTGATATATGTGTATGTTTGTTTCTTTCTTTCTTTAAAAGGCCCATATTAGTGTGTTGGTTAAGTTTCTATATTTAGTTTGGAAAGTTTTTATTCTATTTTAGGTCCCGCGCGCGTCTTTGTCTCGCGCCAGATTGTGGCGTCACGTGACGAAGCTTTATAATAGCGAAAACTTAGTATTTTTATTTCTTTTTAGGTGGGGACGTTGGACAGACAACATGTATAGCGACGGAAGACACACAATGTATTTCTTTTGTCATTGTAGGTAATTGACGTTTCGATCACAGTTCACGAGCAGTGCATGCTTTGGATTTAATTGATCCTGTGTAACTTTAAAACACGTTTATCGATTATTTTCATACAATGTACATTTTTCAGCAGCAGTTTGTAACACAGATTTGTATTTCAATCTAGGAGCGGACATTTTATTGTAGGATTTCACTGAGATTTACGGAACTAGCAAGCGATTTTTACGGCATTGCAATTTCTTTTCTCTAGGAGAATTCTTGAGAGATATCTGCACCACGTTGTTTTATGAAGATGTAATGCATGTATACCCTGCTGACTGCAAATTTTTAGGGTCAATTGGACATGTAGTTTCCCAGAACAACTGATAACAAGCATGTGGATTTTTTTTTTCAGAAGAGATGTAAATACAATATTACACACATGAGATGGAAACATGCATACAATGAATGATTGATTGGTTGGTTGGTTGGTTGGTTTATTGATTGATTGATTGATTGATTTGTTGATTGGTTGGTTGGTTGATTAAACACGTGCGATAGGGTCTCTTGAAACAAGCGAAAAAAGAAACAAAGGAAATCTTGGACCCCGTATTAAACACATGAGACGGAAACATGCACACAATGAATGAATGCATGATTTGATTGCTTGGTTGGTTGGTTGGTTTGTTTGTTTATTGGTTGGTTGGTTGATTGATTGATTGATTGATTAGTTGATTAATTAAACATGTGGGATAGGGTCTCTTGAAACAAGCGAAAAAGAAACAAAGGAGATCTTGGACCCCGTATTAAACACATAAGACGGAAACATGCATACAATGAATGAATGAATGAATGAATGAATGAATGAATGATTGATTGGTTGGTTGGTTGGTTGATTGGTTTGTTGGTTTATTGATTGGTTGGTTGGTTGGTTGGTTTGTTTATAAATTTAACATGTGGAATATGGTGGTCTCTTGAAACAAGCGGAAAAAAAACAACAAATGAGACGGAAACATGTATGCATGCAATGAATGATTGATTGAATGGTTTGTTGGTTGGTTGGTTGATTGATTGATTGGTTGGTTGCTTGATTGATTGATTGATTGATCAATTAATTAAACACGTGGGATATGCTCTCTTTAAACAATCGAAATAGAAACAAATAAGATCTTGGTCCCCATATTAAACACATGAGACAGAAACATGCATGCAATGATTGACTGACTGACTGACTGACTGATTGATTGATTGATTGATTGATTGATTGGTTGGTTGGTTGGTTGGTTAGTTGGTTGGTTGGTTGGTTGGTTAACACAGAGAACGGATCCACTTTGATCATGCAAAGACGGAATAGAAAGCCTAAATACTATATCTAAACACATGGGATTTATCTTTTGAGAGATCACTTAACAAGTAGTAAGGTTAAAGGTCAATGTCAACCTACAAAAGCACTAAACCACACATAAAACTCTTTAAATAGTGCCAAAAACACACAATTTGCCTTTTTTACATGACCTTGACCTATGACCTTGACCTATATTTTCAAGTTATGGTCCAATGATCTCAAATCAAAAGACCCTAGGTCTTTACAACTTACGGTTCATGAGATTCATATGCATATTGAAAAGTAAAATATTCAAGGGGTAATAACTCCTATAAGAAGTCACTGGATCGCTTCGGTTGAAATTATTTAAAGTTGCGACATGTGGCAAGGAACATTTTAAAAAAAACCATTTGCCGCTAACTCTTATAGTTTATGAAGAGTAGCGATAACAATGGTTTTTGTAATTGGGGAGATAACTCCTATAAGGTAAATAGTACACTTTGGTGCCCCTAATACAAGATAGCTTTTATTAACCCGATACTTGGTACTAAAGATCATTTTGATATGTTGCGTACTTTTCTTGACTTTTGACTTTGAAAACGGCGGAAGAAAAAGAATAATAATAATAATAATAATAATAATAAACAAACGAAATACAGTAAGGTCTTTCCATTAAGAAAGGAAAGACCTTAATAAACAAACGAAATACAGTAAGGTCTTTCCATTAAGAAAGGAAAGACCTTAATAAACAAACGAAATACAGTAAGGTCTTTCCATTAAGAAAGGAAAGACCTTAAAAACACTGTTCAAGTGATCTCATGCCATTTCTTGAAGGATATTTATATGAAATGGCTAAAAAGAAAGAAAAAAAATTGTAAGGATTGCCTTTGGATAGATAAAACACATGCATCAACAGGGGACATTGGAAATTTTTTTTCTTCATTTAACAGTATGAACAACTGCATCATCTCTACAGGTCTCTATTTCCAATCTATTTTTTTTTCTAAGTTGAAACATTGACTGTGTTTAAATACTTTAAAGAGACTTACTCCTATGAAGAAGTTACCATACCTCTTCTGATTTTTTCTATAATCTATCTTCTATTTAAAAAGTCTACATGACATACCTGGACTCTACCTCAATAGCTTTTGTTTCTTGTATTCTTCTTGCTTCTTCACTGTAATAGAGATGAACATCTCATCAATTTTAACAAAATGCTCTACAGGTTGCAGCTTTATGTGACCACAGAGGTCGAACCCTGAACATTTGGGGCAAACATTCAAGTTTGATACAGCTCTGAATTTGGCTTGTGATTAATACTTGACAAAGCATAGGTTATTGACACAAAGGGCACAGAATTGAAAAAATTGACTTTTACCTATTATGGTCCAATATCCAAATTCTAAATACACAGTTATATTCAGCATATCAAACAGTTACAAACCTACCATGGAGTTCTTAAAATAAATGGGGATGATGAATGTGTCCATGGGACACAGATGATGAACGCTTGCATATAACATTATAAAGGAACATAACTCAAGAGCGGTAAATTGACGCTAATCAAATTTGTACTTGATCTGAGTTTTGTGGTAATAAGCATTGTGTATAAGTTTCATAACATTTGAATGAGGCAAAATTAAGTTAGGGAACGGAAACAAAAAGTTCTGCAATTTTTCCAGTTGTATAGGGGCATAACTCAAGAACGGTAAAAGTGAGGACACCAAAATTCAAACTTGATCTGTGTTTTGTGGTAATAAGCATAGTGTATAAGTTTCATAACATTTGAATGAGGCAAACTTAAGTTAGAGAATGGAAACAAAAAGTTCAGCAATTTTTCCAGTTGTATAGGGGCATAACTCAAGAACAGTAAAAGTGACGACACCAAAATTTAAACTTGATCTGTGTTTTGTGGTAATAAGCATTGTGTATAAGTTTCATAACTAAAGTAAGAGAACGGAAACCAATTTTGGGACATACCGGACGTACAGACAGACAAGGGTAAAACTTAATGCCCCCTTTGCTATTGCGGGGCATAAAAATTTACAAAACAAACGAAAAAAACAATTTCCAAAATATCATTCATCATTAATACAATTTATATTTTTTTTTAAATCTATAAAACTTACCTTAATATATTTTTCAAATATCTAATAATGAATAGTAAATTTCAAACTATACCTATATATAATTTTTTCTCCAAAACTAGAACTTGAAGCTGTATCTATTTTAACTATTAATCTACTTATCGTTGCAGTACCCAAATAGCACCAATTTAGCAAAAATAGCAACGGAAATCTTAGTCGTATAGACTAAATAATTTGTATTTCCATGATTTGACATTATGCAAGTCTTTCAACTTAGCTAAACTTATTTAAATATACACAAAGAGTTCACTGTATATGTCAATAGATATAGCGTTCACTCCAAAAAGTAAAATCTACAAAATCGTCCCCATGCAATGTTCACAAAAAGTCATCTTTTAAAAATGAGATATTAAAATGTGTAATACAGGCATTCATTCCTTAAATAAAATGCTTCGCTGAGCGCAGCCTGATACGACCGCAGAGGTGGAACCCTGAACAGTTGGGGCAAGTTTTTGACACAATATTCAAGCTTGATACTGTCTGAATTTGGATTGTGATCAAATTTTTGACATAATATAGGTTTCTGACACAAAATAAATGTGGTCAAAGATCTTTGAAATTTGAAATAGGACATTTAATTTACCTAGAATGGTCTGTTATCGAAAATCTAACAACATGATTAGATTCAGCATATAAAAAAAACACAAAAAATTTAATTTTAGTTGAAACAAAACAAAGTTTAATTTTGGACCCTTCAAACCTTAATATGGACTAATTTGAAAACAGGGCCCAAAATAAATAAAATGCTTCCCTGAGCGCAGCCTGATAAGACCGCAGTGGTCCAACCCTGAATAGTTGGGGCAAAAATGGACGCAATATTCGTGCTTGATACAGGTCTGAATTTGGATTGTAATTAAATATTTGACACATAAAAGGTTTCTGACACAGAATAACTGTAGTCAAAGAACTTAGAATTGGTTATATGATTTGAATTTATATTCAATTTTTTGCTTTTGTGCAATACACTTTGCTGTTGCGAATTGACTCACCCTCCCCCCACAAAAAAATAAATAAATTTACCCCCCCTTTTTTTTGGCTTTTGTGCACGATACACTATGCTGTTGTGTATTAACCCCACACACACTTTTTTTTTGCAAAAAAAATAATATTTGAAGAATTTTTCTTTTTAATTTCTAAAATCTGAAATGAGAAAAAAATTTCTTTTTACCCCCCCCCCCCCCCCTTTTCCCCCCAAAAAATAAAAAATTCTTTCCCTCAAGATATGGTCATAATCTCAATTCAAATTTCTTATGGAGTTTGCAACCATAATTACCCATTTAAATTTACCATAGTGCTAACTTAATCTATTTTATAATAGAATTTATGGTGTCAAATCTTTCATATGGATTTTTTTGTAAAAAAAAAAGATGCAACATTTGCAGATATTTTTACTGGTCTTCCTTTATAAATATGCATTTCTTTAAACATAATTTAAAAGCAGTGTAAGGGAGGTAATCAAAATGTTGTATTTGGATAACCTCCCTTACACTGCTTTTAAATTGTCTTAATTGTTCATTAACCATTACTTTATACATAATTTAAAAGCAGTGTAAGGGAGGTAATTCAAATGATGTATTTTAATTACCTCCCTTACACTGCTTTAAATTATGTTTTGTACTAAAGTATTTGTCCATTAACCAGGACACCCTTGTTTTTCCCCCTTTTTTCCCCCTAATTCCTAAACAGTTTGAGCCATAACCCCCCAAAGCAAATCCTAACCATCCCTTTGTGGTATGGAAACTTGTGGTCTAATTTCGGAGAGATCCATACACTGTTCCACAAGTTATTGTCTGGAAACTAGAAAAGTACTTATTTTTGGCCCCTAATTCCTTAACTGTTGGTACCATAACCCCCAAAATCAATCCCAACCTTCCTTTTGTGGTATTGAACCTTATGGTAAAATTTCATAGAGATTCATTCACTTTAACTAAAGTTATTGTGCGAAAACCTATGTGTCTTCGGACGACGACGACGCTAACGTCATACCAATATTTTTTGCAGTCGTATAAAAAAATTGGAAACCCCCCTTCCTCCCAAACTTTTTGAATCCCCCTTTTAGTATTAACCATCAAACTCAATTGCAGTTTTTCCTTTGTAGTATGGAACCTTGTAGTTCAATTTTAGAGAGATCCATACACTTAATTACAAGTTACTGTCTGGAAACTAGAACTGCTGAACAATGCTTTTTTTCAACCATAAAAGCCCATTTAAATACATCATAAAAGTATTAAAATAGAAAATGACATCATAGTCATGGCTAAAATTAAAAAACTCTCATCAGCAACTTTTAATAGTAATATCTAATCAAAGTGATGGATAGCACCTGTGGAAAGTTTGCAACGGTAGATGTGTATTAGTTCAAATAGGTTGTAGATGTGTATTATTTCAAATAGGTTGTAGATGCGTATTATTTCAAATATGTATTTAATCACAACTTTGGTGTTTTCCCTAAACCATTGTCTCATCAGCAATTATCAAAAATCACTTTTTTCATATGTTTGTCATGTAAAATTTTTATAAAAATTTCTATTGCAACCTTAAACTGTTGATTTAAAATAATCAAATATACAGAAAGCTCTGTTAATTTCTTTTTGTGTCCATCCCATGTAAAGGGCCTGTGATTAAGTATTTTTTATTGATTAAGGTCCTTCATATTTGTTTTTAGTAAATTGTATTATTACTATTTAAGCAGTTAGTTTTCTTGTTTGAATTGTTATATATTGAACAAACTCGGACTACGATTAGTAGATTGTGTGGTTAACGGTTTTTTCTGACTTTTAAAATGTTTTACTTAATACAAGAAATTATTGTAACAGGATGCTGTTACAAGGTCTCCCAAACAAAGCTCCCATAATTAGTCATTCCCATGGTCGCCTGACATTGGGCAAAGTCCAGTACAAATTGGTTTGGTCTAGTAAAGTGATATGCATAAGTGACGCCTAGGGGTGGGGATCTCTACCGTTTACAAGTTCTCAAACAGGATGGGGTGGGAGTGACCCGAAGGGACTCCCCCTATATTTCATTTGATTAGTTTTATTTTCCCATACAAGAAAATATATGGTTTAGGGGTGGGGATCTCAACTGTTTACTAGTTCTCAAACAGGAAGGGGTGGGGGTGACCCCCAGGGACTCCCCCTCAATTTCATTTGATTTGTTTTATTGTCCTGTACAAGAATATACATGGTTTTGGGGTGGGGATCTCGACCGTTTACAAATTTTCAAAAAGGAGGGGGCTGGGGGTGACCCCCGTTAACTTCCCCTATATTTCATTTGATTAGTTTTATTTTCCCATACAAGAATATATATGGTTTAGGGGTGGGGATCTCAACTGTTTTCAAGTTCTCAAACAGGAGGGGGTGGGGGTGACCCCCAAAGGACTCCCCCTATGTTTCATTTGATTTGTTTTATTGTCCCATACAAGAATATATATGGTTTCAAGGTAGGGATCTCGACCGTTTACAAGTTCTCAAACAGGAGGGGTTGGGGGTGACCCAGAGGGACTCCTGTATATTTCATTTGATTTGTTTTATAATTACACCTTATGTAAGAATCCTGGGTTTTGATTGGTTGATAGCCAGTGTATTTTTCACCAATTTACTGTTATCAAATGAATATCGTTCATTTTTTAACGCCGCCAGGGTATATGCAAAAAGGATATGCTTTTTTTACCCTCTCTGCCGTGGTATTTGCCAAAAAATACTCTATCCGACTGGACGCTTGTAATGTCCCGATCATCAATGCGTTTTTGAACATTAACATTCGGTGTAATTAAACAGATATAGTATGTTCTTGAGGGGTATTTGTGAAAAATACCAGTCTTGAGAATGAATTTCCCTCGCCTTACGGCTCGCGAAATTTAACATTCTCTCGACTTGTAATTTTCGCAAATACCTCTCCTTAACATGATATATCTGTTCATTATCCCATACATGAATATATATGGTTTAGGTGTGGGGATCTCGACTCTTTACAAGATAAAAGCCCATTCTCAAATTGAAGAGGGGGGGGGGGGGGGGGGTGACCCCAGGGACTCAACCTATATTTTATTTTATTTGTTTTATTGTCCTGTGATCATTACTGAAGACTGTGTGTGTCTGTCACTTACTGTTTTCAAGTCATAGTCATTTGAAAATTTTATAGTCATAAAATCCCATAGGGTTCTTTAGTAAATCCCTCCCTTTTATAGGCCCCTTAAAATACCCATAAATAGACCCCGAGAAGAAAAATAATAAGAACTGAGCAAAAACAATAAGTCTCCAAACTTTGTTTGGCAGACTTAATAACAAATACTATATACGAATTTTGTTATAGTCCGATGTTGTAATAGGAAACAAAAAACACTTTCATCAGCAACATTAAATAGTAATATCTAAAAATAAAATTCCTTCACATACATAACCATGGCTAATTTAAATAATTTTTAAAATAGAAAATGACATCATAATCATGCTTAAAATTAATAAACTGCTTCGCTGAGCGCAGCTGGATACGCCTGCAGAGGTCCAATGCTGAACAGTTGGGGCAAAAATGGACACAATATTCAAGCTTGATACAGGTCTGAATTTGGATTGTAATTAAATATTTGACATATTATAGGTTTCTGAATAAATGTAGTCAAAGAACTTGAAATTGGTTATATGAATTGAATTTATATTCAATTAAAGATTTCTTGCTGTTGTGCAATACACTGTGCTGTTGCGCAATACTTAGTAAATCTGTTGTCAGACTATAAACAAATAAAGTTCAGTTAATTCTCAAAGTCATATTAGAAATTTATGAAAATGTAAAGGGAGCTTACATCAATAGATATAAACAATTCACCAAAGTTTCATGAGAATTGCTGACAGCAATTTTGAGTTATTGTCCGAAAACTGGAAACTCCCCCCTTTTTTAATGAATAAAACCCCATAACTCAGAAATGATAAATGAAAAATTTATAAAATTCTAAACAGAGCTTACATCAATAGATATAAACAATTCACCAAAGTTTCATAAGAACTGCTGAAGTTATTGTCCGAAATCTGGAAAATCCCTCCTTTTTTAATGAATAAAACCCCATAACTCAGAAATGATAAATGAAAAATTTATAAAATTCTAAACCAATAAGTCTTCGGATGACTCTTTTGACCTCAAGGTAGACCAATTTAAAAATGGGATTCAATATCCAAAATAGTAATACAAGGTTAGAACCCCCAAAAATTAAAGACTTTAAATTAATCCCATTGAAATTGGTTAAAAGATTTGTATTTATTTTGAAGATTTCTTGCTAAATTTGCGCAATACTGTGCTGTTGCACAATACTGTGCAATTGAAGATTTCTTGCTATTGCGCAATACTGTGCTGTTGCGCAATACTGTGCTATTGCACAATACTGTACAATTGAAAATTTCTTGCTATTGCACAATACTGTGTTATTGTGCAATATTGTTCTATTGGGCAATACTGTGCAACTGAAGATTTCTTGTTATTGCGCAATACTGTGCTGTTGCGCAATAATGTGCTATTGCACAATACTATGCAATTGAAGAATTCTTGCTATTGCGCAATACTGTGCAATTGAAGATTTCTTGCTATTGAGCAATACTGTGCTATTGCAATACTGTCTAATTGAAGATTTCTTCTTGAAATTTTTTTTAAAAATTTTAAATTTCAAAAATTTTGTTTTAGGCCCCTTTTTTACCCCTTATTCCTGAAGGTTTGGGGCATTTGTGGTTGTATATAAAAAGGATGAAAAATTACTTTATGGTAAAATTATATCCATTCTGTTATTATAAAAAATACAGAATGTGGTTAAAAAATGTAATTTTACTGCTTCTGAGAACATATATTTAATCTGTGTAATATTAATTGTTTCTTTGGCAAGTTTTATAATATGCAGAAATAATACCATGTCATTTCTACCTTAAGCATGTTAAGAAATGAAGTTCCATGTTTTTAATTCCATATAACATTTATTCTCCAATTTTAATCTATAATATAACATGTAACTTTGACTTATATTTATTCTTAGATATAGACTGACAAAAAAAGAGGAACTTATGACATCAATTCACATTCTCATACTAAAAAAAATTGCAAGTTCTAAGGTGAATAAAAAGAAGTAGTATATCCACCTCATAAGAGTTGCATAGGAGATAATCTAAAACTTTTGTCCACTCTGTGCTATATATCCTAATGCTGATGGGTAGAAATAACAAAATCCACCTAATCAGTAGAAGTGTATGTACAGAAATTCTTAAAAACTTTCATTTGAATTCAATCATTCAGTTTTAAAAAAGAAATACCAAGGTTGTGGCTATGATCGAAAGCTCCTTTGGTCACAAATAATAAAAATTAAAGAGTATATCATTAAATTTATCATAGTGCAAAAATTGGGTAGCATTGTGAAACTCTGTCCCTTTAGAGGATAGTTCAGAATGTTGTTACTTTATTTTTTGGGCAATGTTAGTAATATTTGGGGAAAATATGTTTTCAACTTTGGGTCCTTGAAAAATAATTCTTAAATCTAACAATAAGATGTTCCCAGTTTCCACCCAAATTGATAGATCTTATATTGCAGATAACTTTTGCAATTAAAAGTTTCTCTCTATCTTCTATAGTTTTCCAATCCAAGATAAAAGAATAAAACAAACAAAAATGGTAAACATCTTCGTCTTCATTCAGTTTCGTGTGGATGATTTTCTCTGATCTATAATGGTTTACAAGATAATAGCATTTACCCCTATCTTCTATATTAAGCCTTGACAGCCATGTTGGTTGGCATGCTGGATCACTAAACCCATATTTTAGACAAGATATGCAAAGGATAATTGTTGCTAAGTTTGGTTTTATCTTTATTTGGCCCAGTAGTTTCAGAGAAGATTTTTGTAAAAGTGAACAGACAAAGAATATAGCAATAGCTGATCCTAGCCCTTTGGGCAAGGTGAGCAAACAAAAGGTAACCTGTAGAACAAGTATAACTATTTAATTGCTATTGATGTTGTAAATTCCTGATTCACCTAACAAAAAAGTAAACTAATAAATGATTAGTACTTACTATACAACACATTCAAATAATTCAGCTGTTACACCTACCTTTCTGATTTGAGTTCTTCAATTTCACTTTCCTTTTGCTGTAATTGCTTAAGTGTCTTTTCATTGTCCTCATATAATTTTGTTTTTTCCTGGGTGATATTTTTACATCTTTCTTCACTTTTTCTCAATAAATCATTTGACTTCTCTATTTCTCCATCAATACGTTCATTTTCCTCCTCACTCTTTTCTAATCTTCTTTTTAAATCTGTGATTGTATCTTCTTCCTGGGTTGTCACAGAAAGTATCTACAGTAGAAATTATAAACAATTCTTACAATAATGCTGACAGAATATATCAGTTTAATAGTTTGCTTATCTACTGTCTTACCTGACTAATTTTCCTGGTTTTTTTTAAGCATTACAAAAAAGGCAATATTAAATTTCATCGATAAAGCTCAACATGAACATAAAGGATATAAATTTGCAGTCAAAGATCTTAAAAAAAAATACAGAGTAAAGAAATATCAAACAACATATCACTCTTCAGAAAAAAATGAGTTAAAATACCTAAAGTAAGTTGCATATATATATTATTTTAAATGAAAAAAACTAGAAACCAATTTAACTTTACCCGACTTTCCCAAAAAGAAGACATAAAACATGACAAACAAAACAACCACAAATAACAACAAACAATAACAAAGACAAATTGATTGGTTTCTGACTTAAAGACCAAACAGCCTATTGTTTATATGTATTAACTAATGTAACTCTATGATGTTGTTTCCAGCTTGGCAAAAAGCATCAAATTATAATGTCCTATTTCACGGAATTCAATTTGATGTATGCTTCAAAATGCATTTTTGGATTGAGCACTGCTAAACGCTAGTGAAAATAACACGCTGAAATGTCTCGCCTTCTTTACTAATCATTGATATTATGTTGATAGTTCTAAAAAGCTTTACTAAAACTATCACATAAACTTAACATGATCCAAGAAAATGAGGTCAAGGTCATATAAACCAAACAAGAAATACATGTACACCTTACAATCATTCAATACACTAAATATAGTTGACCTATTGCTTATAGTTTCTAAGATACAGACTTAACCAAGAAAACTAAACATTGACTAATGTACCATGAAAATGAGGTCAAGGTCAGATGAACCATGCCAGGCAGACATGTACAGCTTGCAATCCTTCCATACAACAAATATATGTGACCTATTGTTGCTTATAGTAATAGAAAAACAGACCAAAACACAAAAACATAACACTGAGCTATGAACCGTGAAAATGAGGTCAAGGTCAAATAAAACTGGCCAGACTGACATGTACATCATAAAATATTTCCATACACCAAATATAGTTGACCTATTGCATATAGTATTAGAAAAAAAGACCAAAACTCAAAAATTTAACATTGACCACTGAACCATGAAAATGAGGTCAAGGTCAGAAGACACCTGCCAGCTAGACATGTACACCTTACAATCATTCCATACACCAAATATAGTAGACCTATTGCATACAGAATAAGAAAAACAGACAAAAACACAAAAACTTAACTATAACCACTGAACCATGAAAATGAGGTCAAGGTCAGATGACACCTGCCAGTTGGACATGTACACCTTACAGTCCTTCCATACACCGAATATGCTAGACCTATTGCTTCTAGTATCTGAGATATGGACTTGACCACCAAAACTTAACCTTGTTCACTGATCCATGAAATGAGGTCGAGGTCAAGTGAAAACTGTCTGACAGGCATGAGGACCTTGCAAGGTACGCACATACCAAATATAGTTATCTTATTACTCATTATAAGAGAGAAATTACCATTACAAAAAACCTTGACTTTTTTTTCAAGTAGTCACCGAACCATGAAAATGAGGTCATGGACAATGGACATGTGACAGACGGAAACTTCATAACATAAGGCATCTATATACAAAATATGAAACATCCAGGTCTTCCACCTTCTAAAATACAAAGCTTTTAAGAAGTTAGCTAACGCCGCCACCGCCGTAGCTTCGCCGGATCACTATCCCTATGTCCAGCTTTCTGCGACAAAAAGTCGCAGGCTCGACAAAAACAATAAATTGCTTCACCGAGAGCAGCTGGATACGACCGCAGAGGTCCGACCCTGAACAGTTGGACACAATATTCGCATTTGATACAGGTCTGAATTTGGATTGTAATTAAATATTTGACACATAAGAGGTTTCTGACACAGAATAACTGTAGTCAAAGAACTATAATTTGAATTTATATTCAATTTTTTGCTTTTGTGCAAAACATTATGCTGATGCGAATTGACCCCCCCCCCCCCCCCAAAACAAAAATTTTTTTTTGCTTTTGTGCAATACACTATGCTGTTGCGAATTGACCCCCCCCAAAAAATTTTTTTTACCCCCCTCCTCTTATTTTGCAAAAAAAAAAAAAATGATATTTGAAGAAATTTTCTTTTTAATTTATGAAATCTGAAATCAGAAAAAAATGTCCCACCCCCCACCCCCCCTTTTAAAAAAAAAATCAAAGCATCGTTGATGTTGTGATCCAGCCATATTCATAGCTAGTCTCATATTTTTTCTGACCATACTTTTTTCTAAATTTTTTTCTCTTTTCATTTCCAATCTTACTGTAAAATTTCTCTGTTACTGTCAAAAGGTAGTGAATTTCGCAATATGGATGCAAATATAGATATATATATTGATCTTTCAACTGTAGACACTGTCAGATTTTATTTTTGACAAGAATGGAAAGGAAAATCGTCAAACAAGTAATATATTTTTTATATGCCATTAATAATGACAGGTTTAATAATTTCCAGAAAGAGGCCTTATAAATGCACTTTCTCAACAAAAAAAATAAAAAAAAATAATAACTATTTTCTATCTAAATTGGCGTTCATTCTTTATTAAGAAAAAATACATTTCCTGTATTCAAATCTGAATGTACAAATACCTAATCCCGAGATATTTCCAATTACTGTTAAATAGCAATATAATGGGATATAAATGTAAAACAAACAAATAAATTTCATTGCAGAAAATGCTCAGGTAAGAGTTATGCAATTTTGTTTAATATTTCAACAAAATTTCTGATAATTGTAACTAATTAATTAGAACTTGACTATTGACTTATGTCAGATGATAATGGCACTGATTTTACAAGTAAAATAAAATTTGCTTGCATTTTTTATACATATTTTTTTTCACTTTAAGTATTTTCTTTGAAAAAGAAAACACATCAGATTAATCATTCAGCTAGCTAGCAAAATTAACAGAATATTTTAATGTAGTGTAGATCAAAATAAATTATACATTTGTAGGTTTACTATTGAGGTCAAGAATGTGTGTATTCAGTTAGGTGTGTGATAAATTGTGTCTATTTAATTATGTAACAGGTCATGAGATATTAACTGTTTTGAATTAAGCCTGGGGTTGTTTCTAATTACTACTTATTTGAAAATCATGACAGTTAATAATCATTCTGACTCTTACTTGCCTATGGAAAGACTTGGACTAATACCATTTCAAAAAAGTGAGGGAATCAACTTAGATATATTAATACACATGTTGACCTACATTTCATTGAACAATAATTTACACAAGCACAAGATACTAATATAATACTTTCAAAATTCTTATCAACTGATTCAATTGATGTACAAATACTTTTTCAAATTAATTCATAAATAGTAAATCATTATAAATTTTGATTTAGAAAGGAACTATATGCAAGTGTATATCTAAAATAAAGTCACTATTAGACCAATCTTTTCTTAATTTAAGGGCAAATAACATGTCAAAAGTTTGCAGTTGATGATTAAAATGGTGTAGAAAGTTTCTGCAAGTCATAAAAACACATAATTAGTTTCATGATATGTCTTCAACTTAGTATTCTGCACCATCTCCAAAACCAGAGTGATCGCATAGATCCAGCATGGAGTTTGCAACCATAATTACCCATTTAAATACATCATAAAAGTCTTAAAATAGAAAATGACATACATAATCATGGCTAAAATTAATATTCCTTAATCAGCATTTTAATAGTAACTTCTAAAAATAAATTGACAGCTAATCACCTCAAGACAATACAACATTTCTTTATATATAATTTAAAAGCAGTGTAAGGGAGGTAATCCTAACATAACATTGCCCATTAACCAGAAAACCCTTGTTTTTCCCCCTTTTTTGCCCCTTATTCCTAAACAGTTTGAGCCATAACCCCCCCCCCCTCCCCAAAGCCAATCCTAACCATCCCTTTGTGGTATGGAAACTTGCTGTCTAATTTCAGAGAGATCCATACACCTTTCACAAGTTACTGTCTGGAAACCCGAAAATGCTTATTTGGGCCCCTTTTTGGCCCCTAATTCCTAAACTGTTAAAACCATAACCCCCAAAATCAATCCCAACCTTCTTTTTGTGGTTATAAACCTTGAGTTTAAATTTCATTGATTTCTATTTACATATACTAAAGTTATTGTCCGGAAACCAAATGTGTTCGGACGACGCTGATGACGACAACGACGACGTGATACCAATATACGACCGCAAAATTTTTTGCAGTCGTATAAAAATGAACACAAAAGATACTACACTATCTGTAACCTAGCGGGACATTGCAAGTTCAACTACAAATTTGGATTTTTTTTTTTACATGTGTATAGTGTGTACATCATTATTAAGTTTAATGACTAAGGTGTAGAATTTAAACTTTTGTTGTTTTAAAAATTGAGCTTTTAAAAGTTTAGGCTGACAAAAAATGGTTTCCATCTACTGGCACCAAATGCATTCTGACTATAACTTATTCTCTAGATGAAATACGTTAACTGATTCCCATAAAAAAATGTCCTAAAGTTCAATTTTATCCATACTGCTCTTTCAGTAAAATTAGAAAAAAATGTTCATTGTCTTTTGTTATAATTTGCTTCATTTAAAATTATCCAAAGGGAAAAATGATATAGATTTCGGTTGCTCTTACTGAAGCTTAAGGGAAAAAAATTGAGGCTCTAAAGAGCCTGTGTCACTCAACTTGGTCTATGTACATATTCAACAAAGAACACTCTCCAACATTGTAGACAAGAATAGAATTCTTGACAAAAATCTCTGTTTTGTTGATCTTGTATTGCTGATCATTAACTCTGTTTAGCTTCTCTATATCTTCTTTAGTTTTTGCTCAAAACACAAAAGAGGGTAAAAAAAATCCTCATTTAAGGGCAATCACTCCTACAAAGAGTGACAGTCTACTACCGTTATCAGCAACATTTGACTTGATAGTAGATCTTGCCTTGATGATCATTTTTGTGATTTAAAGTGTCTATTTATATATTATAATTTTTATCATGTAAGGCAAAACCCCCAAAAAATGGTAAAAATTGTCATTTAAGGACAATAATTCCAAGGAGATGAAGGACTTTTTCCTCTTTATATATAATTGTATTAGTTGTAGACCTTGTCTTGCTGATCATTTTTGCTGATTTAAGTTTCGATCTATCTATTATAATTTTTAAGATATAACGAAGACAAAAACGCAAAAAATTAGTAAAAATCATCATCAAAGGGCAATAACTCTAATAATGAGTCGGCTGACCATTTCTACCATGGACATATTTGTAGAACTTGTCTTGCAGATCATTTTTGCAATTTAATATTTCTCTGTATTTTTTATTGTTTTCAAGATAAAAGGCAAAAATGAAAAAAAATGGTAAAATTTGTCATTTAAGGGCAATAACTCCTATAAGAAGTCATTTGACAAATTTTGACGTATATGGATAATAAGTAGGGATCAACATTCTGAACATTCTGCACCTGTCAGATTTTCTCTATTTATAGATATAGGAAGATGAGGTATGAGTGCCAATGAGACAACTCTCCATCCAAGTTACAATTTATAAAAGTAAACCATTATAGGTCAAGGTACGGCCTTCAACATGGAGCATCGGCTCACATCGAACAGCAAGCTATAAAGGGCCCCAAAAAATTACTAGTGTAAAACCATTCAAACGGAAAAACCAACGGTCATAACAGTTTTCAAAATAATAGACAAAACTTGCATTTTACCCCTGTGTTCTATTTTAAGCCATGTCAGCCATCTTGATAAGCAGGCGGGGTCACCAGACACAATTTTTAAACTATATACCCCAATGATGATTGTGGCAAAGTTTGGTTACATTTTGCCCAGTAGTTTCAGAGGATAACATTTTTGTAAAAGTTAACAGGCGACAACGGAAGACAACAGACGACGCATTGGGCCAGGTGAGCTTATTAAAAAATACTTGAATGTGAATCAAAATCTAAATCTAAGGTGTGTTAAACTAAAAGTTCTGTTGTTATATCATATCTTATTAGAAAAATAATTGCTACGGTAACATCCAACATTAAATTTCTCACTTTCAACAATTCGCAAGCTAGGATGACTGGAAAGATTAAAAACATTTTTGGTGCTTTTAATTGTAGACAATGTTATCATTGTTTTTAATTTCCGAAACTGGTAATTTAGATTCTTAAGATTTTCGTTATACTGTGTATTTCTGGAAAATTAATACTTTTATTTTATTCAAATGAAAATTGTTGAATTTTAAACTAGACGTCTTTTCCAGTTTTTTGTATTTTGTGTTTACTGTCTCATTCATTCATGACCTGTGAAAGTAATAACCAAGATGGTGTTTTATAATTTTCCAAATGCATGTCACATTTTAGAATTAAATACTTACAATTACCTATAATTTCAAGTTCCTTACATTTTGAATATTCAAAAATAATTAATCAACAAATTTGATGAGATAATTTTATATGCTCGTCTTAGTCTGAACATATTATGGTATACCGTAGTCTGTCTGTGCTTCTAACTGTCTGTCAACACTACAGTAGCAAAGGAGTAGACTGAAAAGTGGGTTGGGGCAAACTTCTGAAAATGATGAGAGAAAAAAGAACATATCTTCAGTCTAATTGTCAAGAAATTTAAGTCAGTATCATCTTTGATTTCACTACCTATTTTCAATAATTTTGCTAAAGAGGGAGAGAGGGCAAAAAAAAAAAATCCTCTTTAAAGTTGAGTAGGTTATTAAAATAAAAATCCATTCCAACAACCAAAATTTCTAAAGGCTAATTTTGTGCTGCAACAGCGTGAGATCTGATATTGATGACCCCTATTTTTTCATCATATTTTAATACATTAGTGCCACTTTTGTAACATTTATATAAATTAAGTATATTTTTTTGGTGTTTCATGCAAGTTAGACTATTTTCAACTGTTTTATGACAGGTTAGTTCTTATGTTGTGCTAATACACTGCTGTTTTATGATAAGTTATCAGACTCCCATGCTAGGGAAGGGTTGAGCATCTACAAACATGTCTAACCCTGCCTGTCTTAAGTCAGGAGACTGTAATTCAGTGGTTGTTGCTGATACTGTCTGTCTTTTTTTTCTTTTAAGGTTTTGTCATTAAACAAAATTGTCATTGGAATCCACGAAATGTGATGTTCTTATCTGCCGCATTTTGCCTAGCTGGACACAATGTCATAGAGCTTTCATGTAACAGTCAAATTACATTAGCTAATGCGCATAAACAATAGGCTGTTTGGTCTTAAAAAAATCTCTGGGCTATGCATTATGTGGAGACAATGAAATTTAAGCAAAATGATCCCTTACTGTATTCAATTCATGCATACGAGCATGAGTGTTTCTTTTAAGATGATGTTCTATATCTTGGAAATTTTGCTTGTAGTTTGTGAAGTCTTTCAGTATTTTTTCAAGTGCTTTTATAGACTTTTTTGTTTTTATAACAACAAGTTTCACATCCTCATACTCCACCTGTGTTTGTTCATCTTTTGAAGGAAACTCTAACCTCCTAAAAAGAAATAAAAAAGGAGAAAATGAACCAAACTATAAAACCTTCAAAATATTTCAATTAAAGAATATCACATCACTATATCTTATATTTATGTCTTAATTGCTTTTGTACATGTATAAACAGTCTTTCCCTATTTTATTTTTAGAAATAATTTAGAAATTTACCATGGAATAGTTGATAAATTCGTCTTTGAAACTGAAGTTAAATTTCTGCAACAGAAAAATATCTGGTTTGTGTTGTATATGTACACAGTGATTTAAACATAAAATATTGCAATGGAACATGAACATTTTTTTCATTTTGATTTCAATACTGAACTGGAAAGAGAACAACAGAAGTGTGAAACAAAACATAAATACAGTGCCACTGTGATAATTTTAAATCTGTATCAAATATATAATACAAGTCCTTAAAAGGCATATTATACCCCGTCACGTCCACATGTTTTTGTTATATGTATTTCTATTGGTATCCATCTGATGAGTTAAGCCTTTTTCAACTGATTTTTATAGTTCGTTCTTATGTTGTACTGTTACTCCACTGTCCTAGGTTAGGGGGAGGGTTGGGATCCCGCTAACATGTTTAACCGCGCCACATTCTGTATGTATGTGCCTGTCCCAAGTCAGGAGCCTGTAATTGAGTGGTTATCGTTTGTTGCTGTGTTACATATTTTTTTCCGTTCATTTTTTTGTACATTAATTAGGCTGTTAATTTTCTCATTTGAATTGTTTTACATTTGTGATTTCTGGGCCTTTTATAGCTGAGTATGTGGTATGGGATTTGGTCATTGTTGAAGGCCATATGGTGACCTATCGCTGTTAATTTCTGTGTCATTTGGTCTCTTGTGGAGAGTTGTCTCATTGGCAATTATACCACATCTTCTTTTTTATATATATGTGGTACAAATATATAAACAAAACAAAATGTTTTAAGCAAAAATGTTATAAAACATAGAAGAGTGATTAACCGTTTACACTATAATTATTTCAAAATATATAAATGAATTTCTCAGCAATATTGGTGAATCATAGAAGTGTTTCAAGGAGAAACCCATCACCAACTGATAATACATTTTCTTTAACTATGAGACAATAAACATACAATTTTTTATACATGTTATAAGTTAGCATAGATTTAATTCAATAAAAAAATTTTTTTATATAACCCTGCCATATTCTGTATGTGCCTGTACATGTCCCAAGTCAGGAGCCTGTAATTCAGTGGTTGTCGTTTGTTACTGTGTTATATATTTGTCTTTCGTCAATTATTTGGTACATAAATTAGGCCGTTAGTTTTCTCATTTGAACTGCTTTACATTTGTCATTTCGGGGCCTTTAATTATAGCTGACTATGCAGTATGGGCTTTGCTCATTATATGAAGGCCGTACAGAGACCTATAGTTGTTAATTTCTGTATCATTTGGTCTCTTGTCGAGAGTTGTCTCATTGGCAATCATACCACATCTTCTTTTTATATCACTGAAATAATTGGAAAGACAGAACTCCTTAATTTTGTTTCATAAAATTTTAGCCCAAAATTGTCACGGAACTGATATTCTTATGAGAGTGGTTTAAAATTGAAAATAGTCTTTGGAATGCAACTAACATTACCAGTCATACTAATTAATTTTAATATGCATTTATTTCTAAAAATCATTGGAAAATATTGCTGGTTAACTTAATCTGAAAAAATACCAGTTGCAAAACTGTAATGAGAAGAGTATTTCTCAAGGGTGTGGCATGTCCTTCATTTTTGTGGACAACATTTAAACAGGAGAACCTTGAATTCAAACATTTAATGAAAACAAATCTAATTAAAATTAGTTCTCCTCAAATGGCTCCTCGTTTTCTTTCAGTTGATTACATATGTTGCAGGTGGGACATATAATCAACCTAACAAAAATGAGGAGCAAGTAAGGAGAACTAATTTCAATTAGATTGAATGAAAAACAAATTTCCTTTATGTTTTTTTGTAGAATTTGCCAAAACAAAAAAAATCAAGGACCTATAATACAAAAAAAATACCACAATCCACATAATTTGTACAAAAAAAATTAACTTAAAAAACAGTATATCATTTCTTGCCTGGTGAATTTAAAACATTACAAAAGAAAACGGCTTTCAAGATGTTACAAATTGTTCAAGGTATCATACATTGCATCTTAAACTTTGTTATTTTCCAATAACCAACATCCCCAGTTGATGTTGCTTACCAGGAAGCCTTGGTACTGGCATGATTAAAATGAAACAATTAACCTGTAAATTTCTAATTTATAAAGTTTATACATAATAGCACAAATACTTTGTACTTATACTAATTACGGTAGCAACTCCACTTCTGTTTGGGTCTTTTTATGATTTTTTAATGTTTCTTCCTGCATTTGGTTTTGTGTGTACCTGATGAAGTTTATTCCAAAAAACAATGGTTATGTTTTAATAATAATATCAATGAACATAGCACAGAATTATACTTATCTTTAAACAAAGACCTAAGACTCCCTTTTTTCAGAATAAATGTTTTGGTGGTGAACAGTATGTTAAGACCTTTATAGCAAGCAATGAAATTAATTTCTGAAGATGAAAGTCAATTAAGAACTTCAATTTGAGTTTGATTTTTACCTAAATTTAAACGTCTAAATTGTGATAAAAGGTCTGCTCGCTTATTAAGTATTGTGATTCTCTTCATTCCTTTTCTAAGGTTATAACACAATGTTGACTGCTGTATCCCTATTTTTGACATTTTTAATTATTATGTTTGTCAGTTTTGTTCACACATTGTTGTCAATATAATGGAATTTTTATGCGACTGTCTTACAAGTGAGAGGTTTAGCTAGCTATAAAACCAGGTTCAATCCACCATTTTCTACATAAGGAAATCCCTGTACCAAGTCAGGAATATGACAGTTGTTATATACATGTATACGTTTAACGTGTTTGAGATTTTGATTTTGCCATTTGATTAAGGACTTTCCGTTTTGAATTTTCCTCGGCGTGTTTTACTTTTTTCTTGGCAACTGAAATTAAATTTTGTTATAAGAAAATATATGCCACTGAGATTGTGATCTGTACATAATCAAATGAGTGTGATAAACTCTTTAAATTGCACCAGTCATGGTTTTGTCACAGGTACTCTTACAGTCATGACTTTCAGTGAATTATGACATAAAGCATACATGTATAGACATCTCTAAATCACCAAAACTAGTTATTAAAACCATCATGGAGATCAAATGCATAATAATAAAACCTAATTGATATTATATATATGTATATAATAAGTACGTCTAAACAAGTGACAACTCTACGACAGATCCATCCATAATGGATCACCAGTGAAGGTGATACACGGCTGAAAACACTTATTATATTCATAATTACTCTAAATATCAGCACAACAATGTTAAATCTGCAAATTTGTGAGGGAAGAACAAAAATTTGCTTCCGCAAATTCGCAGATTTAACATTGTTGTGCTGATATTTATATATATATATAAACAAGTCAAAATTGAAAACAACGTTCAACCTATGATTGCGTTGGATAAAAACCGCAATATATATATAAAACATGGAAACAAGTTCTTAAGTTAATGCAGGAAAGCAAAACTTTTGGAATTCTCTTAACTGTGAAATCCACAAAGTATCTCTTCTAATTGCGAAAAAAGAAAGATATGAAAAGAAATACCAAGAAAGTGATTACAGCCTTATCAACAAAGAAATCGACCAAATTTCAATGATCAATGTTGCCGATAAATTGAAGGAGATGGTCGAAAAAAATTTCTGATGAAGAGGTAAAAAATGGCTAGAATCATATGCAGAAAATCATTGAAAGCCAGAATATCGAAAAAACCAGCAACAAAAGTCCAAAAAACATATATATACTTATATAAGTAAATTATAATGTTTGAATAATCTCCCCTTAATTTTCTCAAAAATTTACTTGTATAAGTAATTTTTTTTACAATCCCAAAAAATTCCCAAGTTTTGAGATGTAAAAACATGGCTCTAACAATTTTTCTCAGGTTAGCTCATAATTTTTGATTAGATTTCAATGTTTCATCTCATTAATTCAACAAAGAAACTAATTGCGCAAAGATCTTAAGTATTTGTGCAAGGCCTTCAAAAATTGCCACTTAGGGGCTTGTAAATGAGCAGTGTTCTGAAGATAACAGATAAATGAGATTTTCATTGAGATTTTCATTGTCCATGAAATTACACTTAAATGATTAGTAAAGACATAGATCTGCAAAGGATAGACAATTAAAAATTCTATTAGAGCAAAGAAGTCCTAAGAAATTCAAGAAAAGAAGATAGGATGACTTTTTTACTTGTATAAGTAAAAAAATCTGAATGTCTAATGAACATAACTAAGCCAAAAAATAATTTACCTATACAAGTAAATAAAATACACTTGTATAAGTATCCTACATATTTACTTATATATTAAAGTATATTAATATTTACTTCTTCAAGTAAATAAAAATTACTTTTACAAGTAGCACCCCTGACTGAGAGAGCGAACTACAGAACTTGTTCCCTTTGTTAGCACTCATAACCCATGCAATCCTGACATATTCAACGTCATAAAAGCAAAACAGAAAAATTAAAAATGCTATTCCTACAGAAAAATTCCTGAAAACTAAAAGACAGCCTTGGAATCTAAAAAAACATTTTAACAAGGGCTTAATTTTATGACCCAACTGGAATAAAATACAACGTTTCAAAATGTAATGACCTTAGATGTGGTCATTTGTGAATATATGGAAACCTAGGCCACAATTACTTAACTGCAAAACCATTGTTCCAAATACAGACATAAATTGTAAAACGATAAACCTACTTTACTGTATTGTATGCAGCACTTGCAAGGAATAGTATATCGGACAGACTGGTAATTCAATTTGTGAAAGAGTCCCTGATTCACAGACAACATAATCATGATAATGAGATCCAACCATACAAATGCTAGTTGTGAGTGAACATTTAGAATCGTGCAGCAGTGGAAAATTTACCGTATTTTTTTCCATTCTATAAAATGAACGAATCTAATAAATATAAAAGACTGGCAAAGGAAGCACACTTTATAAAGGTCTTTCATATTCAGCCAAAATTAAACCGATCAATGTATGCATTTTAGATTTATCTCCCTTTACTATTATTGTAACGTAGTGAACGTTAGTGTCGTCAAGGACATTGTTAAATTGTCGCCTGATGATTGCCAGAAGGCACGAAAGCACTAGTGACGTTATTATAACGAACTGTTATTATTTGATGTGAAATGTAGTCTTTCAGAATTACAAATTTTAATATATTTAAAAAATGTCACATGTTCAGACATGTATATATATATTTAAAGGGGCACTAGCTACGAGATATGAACAAAATTAGAATATGATTTTGTTTGGTTCAATCATTAATAAAAGTGAAATAATGAAATAATAATTAATTTTTAGCAGCTAATTTGGTTCAATTTTGTCAAAATAAGCAAAGAAATACGATCGCTGATGAATTATGTTATCACTGTAACTGTAAGAACCAATTGGTTGACAGAGTTGTTTACGCCTATTGACCTTGGGTCAACCTGTGTATCTCAATCATAAAAAAACAACTCAAAATTGGTATCCGTTCATCCACCACCACCACCGGTATAACTAATTCATAAAAAACTCGAGATTGGTGTCCCCCCTTTTTTTACATTTTTTATTTCATTTGACGTAAGTTTGCACCGATATAAAAGTTATAAATTTAAAATTGTTATCATCGTACAAATGTTAACTGTCTGTAGGTCAGAAAATTTAGGCTCTTACCCCTACTCCATAAACCGATGTTTTTATGAATTTACTTTCGTTTTTGAATTCTTTCAAGTTCCATTCTTTATTTTCTGTTTTGTTTATTTTTTAATAAAATATCTCAAATAATTACCTCCTCTTTCGTCCTGATGCACACTTCAATGAACTCATGTCTGTTTATATATTATTATTAATGGAAACAAGAAAAATATGGCCCGAAAATGTTCTACTTGCACAGGGAACTAAAACTGAGAAAAATCTAAACTTATGGCGGATTCATTCCGGAATTGTAGTCTACCCGTTCTTGGTTTTCATGTTATAAAAATCGCACCAAAACGAAAGTTGATGAAGTTACTAGTCAACACACTATATGTATTAAGCATGATGCATAGGCAAAAAAGGTGTTTAAACACATAGTTTGTTAGATTAGTGCAAACACAACCACTTTTCAAAAGGTAACATTGCATCTTTTAACTGAATATTTAAGGGTTGAAAGTTCAAGTTTATTGTTATATTTCTTGGTATCTGACGTTCCTGTTCAAGGAAGGTCAGAATAATGATCGTATGTTGGAAATCGAAAAAGTAAAACTTTTAACTTTAAACGTACGATTTGAACAATTTTATAGATTAAGTTATCTTTTCATATGAATTATTGTAAAGTGTGTTTTAAGTATTTCTTGGTATTTGCAAGGTACATTGTACTTTCCTTTTCAATTAAAACGACACAGCATACAACTTACAGGGGGAAAGGGCTGTCAAGTTTCCACCAAGCAAATGCACGAGATTTGGCTAAATTGTAAAGATCAAAGAGGAAAAAACGATATATCCAAGGAAAATGCCTCCAAATAAGCATGAAAATGTGTGAGTCTGCTTGAGACTTGACAGCACTGAACTTATTGTATGGTCACATACTTAAGCAACGGTACTCAAAATATCAAAAGTATCTAAAAACCTGTTAAAACCATAAAGCCCCTTCATATTTTCAAAAAGTGTTTTAGTGCACGAATTATTCAGCAAATGAAATTCTTATAATTGATAATCAGCACTGCCTGACTGCTGTCATTGGGAAATTGTGATTAAGTACCTAAAGAACAAACATTATTTCTAGTTTATCCTGCATAATGACGATCACGAAGACGCTTGATGAACTTTAATAGTGAAGGGATACAGGCAGTCCCTTCTATCTGGTAAATGAAATCAAATAGGCTCGCATTATTGACAAGCTTTTCCTGCGAAGGAACTCGAAAGTGGTCTACACCAGTAATATGAGGCAATGCCCTCTGTCAATAACAGTAGATAAATCAATACAGTCAAACCTTGTTAAGTCACATTCAAAGGGACCGGATGAAAGTATTCGATTACAATACTATCAATACACAAATATTTCTAAACATGCTAAAGGTCATTCACTATAAATTATGAAATCACTCGTGGAAAGATAAGTCCTGAGTGATCACTGATGAGGGTCGTCTGCTTAGCATTCAGTTATTGTAAGTTTGTCATAATTGTCTTTAGCACGTCTGGATGGAGACAATACATCTGTTGCTCAGTTTCCACTATAAAATTTCACAATTTTTTAATCAGTATTCTATTTTGAACTGGTGCATTACATATGCTTGGATTTGCAGTTGCAATTGCACAAAAAATATCATTACCTTTTCACGGATTTAAAAAAAAAATAGTCATTTACAGCTAATTAAAACATTAACATGATTTACATGATTAACAAACTGTTTCGTCCTTGCCAAAGGGACGCTTAACATACATAATATGTGTTTTCAGCCGTATATCACCTTCACTGGTGATCCAATGGATGGATCTGTTGTAGAGTTGTCACTTGTTTAGAAGTACTTATCAAATAATTATTTCTGTGACTGCATCTTACGATCCTTTAGGACAGATAATTTAGCTAATCTGCAATCAATTCCATCTTCATGCCTAATATATCATGTACTGTGTTACAACTCTAGATTCTACTGACGAGGAACGGTAACACTAGGCCACCGAAAGCTGAATTTTTAGTTCATTCTAGGTGGCAGAGTGTTCTAGAGTGCTGGACAAAGTGCAGGTGGTGTTGTCTTGATATCCCAGTAGCATGAGTTCGAATCCCAGCAAGGGAAGAACAAAAATTTGCTTCCGCAAATTTGCAGATTTAACATTGTTGTGCTGATATTTAGAGTAGTTTAACAATGTATAAATGTTCATATAATTGGACATGTATATATTGGCTGTTAGACAGTTTTTAAAACAATATTGGTTATTAATTTGGTGATGTAAAGCGGGCAGGCAGTTGTGTTGTCAGGCAGACAGGCAGCTGCCCAACTGTGTGTGTGCAATAACTTGAAAATGTTTTGATGAAATCTTTTCAAGTTTAGATATGTTGTTTCCTGTTATTGATTGAAAGTCAAGTTCAGTTTTCAAGATTTCAGCTTTTGTTGTTGAGTTGTAGACCTTTAGTAGCAAAAAGTGATATTTGGAGCGTTGTCTGTGCAATAACTTGAAAACACTATGACGAAATCTTTTCAAATTTAAATATGTTGTTTCCTGTGGTCAATTAAGTCCTTTAAGTATTGAAAAGTGATACTTAGATTGATTTTGGCTTTGCCATTTCTGAACCCTACAAGAATTCATTTTTTTTTTTTACTTGATCCTGTTTGGGGGTTAAGATTTGCAAATATAATGCTAATTGATGTAGGTGAAATTGGAATATATTATAAATTGTCAATTAAGTCACAAATGTAATGGATAATTGATTGTATTAAGTACCATGATGATCATGTCAAGACATTAGTATTGGCTTTTTTTTATCATTTCAATATACGTTTATAACAGAACTATTAAAATTGAAAAATCTAATTTACTGGTTAATGATTTTGGTATTCGATATTTGGTCCTTCTGACATTGACAACACTACTTCTTATAAAAATTTTACGCCTTCAAGTGTACAGAATGTTGCGAAACACACCAGCTTGAGGTGAGGTTATTGGTAAAATTTTGCCTGAATAGGGCTTGATAAGGGATAATGAGGCTGGATAAATCAGAAAAAATGCCCCTGACAAAAATCCAAAATGGGATTACAGTTTTCAAGTTCCTTCAGTTTTAATGTTTATAGTTCATTGATCGATGGCTGCTTTTTCTTTCAGTGTCAGGTAGTGTTAGGAATCAGCTTTAAAACTGTAATCCATTTGTCAGAATAATGGAACAGCAACTTGAGGGAGCTCTGTTTCAATTTTGGATTATAATTGGATTTTTATTTATGTGCCATTTATGTAAGAATTTAGTAACATAGTTTTCCTTATGTTATACAGTGTTCTAGCCAGAAACTGAGGTCAGAGGTGTCTATTAACATGATTAAAGGAGCACTTTTGGCTTGCTATCATTTTTACTACAGTTTTTTCGTTTACATTGACAAATTTATATAAATAGCCCCCTTCAGGTAAATTATCAAAACTAAAGTTCCTTCTTGCAGATATATGTAATGTGTCATATGCCTTATCCAAATAAAATTGTTTTGCCCTCTTGCCTTTTAAGGGTTTATTATAGGCCATATGCATTCAATAAGCCAGATGTATAGATGTCTGAGATATAAAAAATCATCTAGAATTATACTAAGTTAGTTAGGGTGTCAATTGTTTTAATAAGCAATTTCATACTCTAAATTTGACAACAAAATACATTTGGATATTTAAGGTCTAACAGTGGTTCTGAATCTTCTTTAGTGGGACAGAGTCTAACGGACTAAGTTAGTTAGATTAATGTTCTACAGAACATCTTAATGTCCTAAGTGGGATGGCATTTTATTGCAAATTAACAGTTTACTTATAATTTCAATATCAACATCTAAAATAATTCTGATAAAAATAACAATATTAATTAAAATAAAAATAAAAAACATTTTTGAGTCAAACAAATGAAAAAAGTCCTTGATATTCAATAAATATACTTTCCGTGTAAATAGAAGAGAAGAAAAGTGGAAACATTTCCTTGCAATTCACCAAGAAAATATGCAGATATAGAACAAAAATTGATGGCAAAAAGTTTTGTTTACAGGGACAAATGAGCACAATCTTGAAAATTACCTGAAAAGAACCACTTTATATTATTCAAGACAAATGTACATGCTTATATTCATGATATTATAGCAGTTGTATAATTTTATAAATATGATACATTTTAACAAAGTTTTTGTAAAGTACAGGTTATTTCCAGGATTAAACACAGCTAAAAAGTCAGGTAAATTACCGGTAAATTCACGTAAATGTAATACCTGTTATTAGTGCAAAGGTAATACATGTACATTTTTAATTTTAGTTTCCTGTGTATAATTTGGAGTTGAGTATGACATCCATTATCACTGAACTAGTATACATATTTGTTTAGGGGCCAGTTGAAGGACGCCTTCGGGTGCGGGAGTTTCTCGCTGCATTGAAGACCCATTGGTGGCCTTCGGCTGTTGTCTGCTCTATGGTCGGGTTGTTGTTTCTTTGACACATTCCCCATTTCCATTCTCAATTTTACTTGTCAAAATTCAAATTTGTGCAAATGTGATAGTCTACTACCTTTTAAAATAGTTATTAATTTTTTCACTTAAAATTATTTTTAGATACAAAAAATTCAAAGCCTTCCTTATTTTCATTGAAATGATTATATCTAGCATTTAAACAGTGAAATAAGTTGGTTTATCTTTTCAATTATCAGTGACAACATATTTCAGAGAAAACCCACTTTAAGAGGAAATAACACCACATGTATTAAAAATATTTATAACATGAAAATTCTCCTAAATGTGTTCCTGTTTCACCACCTTTACTAATATCATATTTTATGTTAAATTCAGTGTTTGAGTGGTCAGAAATCAGGCAGTTGGTTTTTATGCCCCCGTCGCTAGACAAAGGGGGCATTAAGTGTTACCCTTGTCCGTCCCATCAGTTCGTCAGGTACGTCCACAAAATTGGTTAACGTTCTCTAATTTTAGTTTGCCTCAACCAAATGTTATAAAACTTACACTGTTCATGAGTTATGCCCCTTTAGAAGTTGCTAGAATTTTTCGTCATTTAGTGTTACCCTTGTCTGTCCCGTCTGTTCGTCGCATACATCCCCAAAATTGATCATGAGTTATGCCCCTTTATAAAAATAAAAATTGCTGAATTTTTCGTTTCTGTTATCTAACTTTAGTTTACCTAAACCAAATGTTATGAATCTCATACACAACGCTTATTACCACAAAACGCAGGTCAAGTATGAATTTGGATAATGTCACTTTAACTGTTCTTGAGTTATGTCCCTTTATAATGTTATATGCAAGCGGAGGCATTATCTGACTGTCCCATGGACACATTCCCTATTTATTTTCGTTTGAATTGTTTAACATTTTGTCATGTCAGATCCTTCTATCAGCATGATCAAGGTTTATAGCTGGCTATAAGGTATGGGTATTTCCTCATTGTTGAAGGCTGTACATCAACCTACATGTATAGTTGCTTAAAACCACATCACTTCGATATGTGGGAATTGGTTAAGACATCTGTGACATCATGCCATATAGCCTTCACTGTGTCCTGATATATACATGCAAGATGAAATAATATTATATTCTAAAGGCATATATTTTGGCACAACAAATGGCCTTCTTTATTTTCCGATTAAAAAGACTAACTTTTTTTGTGGTTTAAGTAGTTATTTTTCTAGAGGGTAAATATTATTGACCACCATCCTCAGATGGAATGTTGGTTCAATATATTTTTTCAGAATAATGTTTGATTGTATTGTTGAGTCAAACATGAAGAATAATTTTATCATACTTTGTACTATTTTATTTATTGAACTATGCAAATTATACCTGTGTTTAACATTGAAATATAACTTATACATTAAATGGAACCATTATATCTTATATATGCTAGTGTGTTATTTTCAGTTGGTTAAATGTTAGAATTATTTGTATGGAAATTAGCATTATTATATACAGTGAATTGCAACAATTATGTTATAATCATTTATCTTTTATTTTCTTTTTGTTCAGTTGAAATACAGATCTATTTATTGATATGGCGTCTCAGTCTGCCAAGATATTGGTAGCAGCCATAGACTTTGGGACCACCTACTCAGGTTATGCCTTCTCATTCCGTCATGACTTTGAACAAGATGCATGTAAAATATCTTCACACAACTGGCCTGCTGCTTCCAGGGGTTTGGTCTCCTTAAAAACACCAACATCCATATTACTGAACCCTCAGGAGGAGTTTGATTGTTTTGGTTATGATGCTGAAGATAGATACACAGCACTTGCCAATGAAGATCTACACAAAAATTGGTTTTACTTTAGAAGGTTTAAGATGATGCTTCATGGGTCATTGGTAAATATTGTTGTATTAGATACTTAAGACTTACAACAAAAAATTAATCATGATTACTAAAGCATGCCAGACATTTCAGCATGTGTTCTCTTGAAAGGTTAATTTGGTACAGACTGAACTGAATTCAAGACCGAATTGGCATAAAATTGCCTCATTTTGAGTTAGAGTGAATGAATTTTTCTATAATTTTGATATAATTTGTCCTGCAAGTAGTACACTAAGCTGTAAAAATCTTATTGAGAAAGTGCAGGTGCTATGTTTTGTTTTTATTTGCATTGATTGTTCTAAAGAAATGCACTACAAATTAACTCTGATCTCAGGCCTCCTGTCAAAGTCATAATTTATAACCTTGAGTAAATATGTAACATTTATTATAAATTATAAATTATGATCAGCAATTGTGATATACATGACAATTTGAGAAACACTTTTGAGAATAAATTTTAGACTTTTCTCTAAACAAAAACATGGTTACAGATATGTATATCTATATTTAAACATGGTGTTGTTAATAAAGCACAATAAAAGCCACTTCATATTAAATTATAAGAGAAATTGAAGATTTTTATGTAAAAATTTTAGATTTATAGGGGAGATAATGTGTCATTATCAGAGCTTTTATAAACCAATTTGGCTGTTTTATTGTCAAATAAACTAAGTTTTATATCAGATATGTTCCAGTTCTCATAACCACAATCCTGCCCCCTTTTTCCTGAATGTGACCCATCGAATTAGACTTATCACCGGTGTGCATGAGCAACACGACGGGTGCCACATGCGGAGCAGGATCTGCTTACCCTTCTGGAGCACCTAAGATCAAACCCAGTTTTTGGTGGGGTTCATGTTGCTCAGTCTTTAGTTTTCTGTGTTGTGTTTAAGTACTGTAGTTTGTCTGTTGTTTTTATACCCCCTCTTTAAAAAAGTGGGGGTATACTGTTTTACCTCTGTCTGTCTGTCCATCCGTCAGTTCATCAGTCAGTCAGTCAGTCCGTCCGTCCGTCCCATGAATATTTTTCGTCGCATTTTTCTCAGGAACTTCATTACAAGGATTTCTGAAATTTGGTTTCAGGGTTTATATGAGTCAGCTATACCGTGTGATGCGTTTTCAGATTCATCACTCAACAACTTCCTGTTTACCATATACTTTTAGCGGGCGGGGGTATCATTAGTGAGCAGTAGCTCACACATTCACTTGTTTTTTTTCTTTTTTAGCCATGGCGTTGTCAGTTAATTTTCAACTTATGAGTTTGAATGTCCCTTTAGTATCTTTGGCTTCTCTTTTAATACAACTCAAAATTGTCAGATCACTTTTCTTCCAATTTACATTTAGTTAAATTATTAACTCTTATAATACTGAAATTTTGCTATTAAGGAACAAACAGGGTATACTGTTAGCTATTGCTCACTCATCATACCCCTTTATTGTCGAGCCTGCAACTTTTGTCGTAAAAGCAAGACATAGCGATCCTACATTCCGTCGTTGACAGTGGCGGCGTCCACAAATTTTCACCCTGTGGTTAAAGTTTTTGAAATTTTAATAACTTTCTTAAACTATCCTGGATTTCAACCAAACGGGGACAGAACCTAGTTTATGATCATAAGATAGTATCCAAAATTAATTTTTGTAAAAAAAAAATCCTGTTTATCCGTATTTTACTTATAAATGGACTTAGTTTTTCTGCCAGTTAACATTACATTCACTCTGTGGTTAAAAGTTTTTAAAATTTTAATAACCTTCTTAAAAATGTTAAACTATTCTGGATTTCTACCAAACTCGGACAGAATTAAGCTAGTTTATGATCATAAGATAGTATCCAGAATTAATTTTTGTAAAAAAAAAAATCCTGTTTATCCGTATTTTACTTATAAATGGACTTAGTTTTTCTGCCAGTTAACATTACATTCACTCTGTGGTTTAAAGTTTTTAAAATTTTAATAACTTTCTTAAACTATTCTGGATTTCTACCAAACTTGGACAGAAGCTTGTCTATGATATATTCATAAGATAGTATCCAGAAGTAAATTTTGTAAAAAAAAAAAATCCTATTTATCCGTATTTTACTTATAAATGGACTTAGTTTTTGATTCAGCCATGCTGGATCTATGCGATCACTCTGTTTTTGGAGATGGTGCAGAATACTAAGTTGAAGACATATCTTGAAACTAATTATGTGTTTTTATGACTTGCAGAAACTTTCTACACCATTATAATCATCAACTGCCAACTTTTAACATGTCATTTGCCCTTAAATTAAGAAAAGATTGGTTGAACAACCCTTTTATTTTAGATATACACTTGCATATAGTTCCTTTGTAAATCAAAATTTATAATGATTTACTATTTAGGAATTAATTTGAAAAAGTATTTGTACGTCAATTGAATCAGTTGATAAGAATTTTGAAAGTATCATATTAGTATCTTATGCTTGTGTAAATTATTGTTCAATGAAATTTAGGGCAACATGTGTATTAATACATGTAATATATCTAAGTTGATTCCCACAATTCTTTCCATAGGCAAGTAAGGGTCAGTATGATTATCAACTGTCATGATTTTCAAATAATTACACTCAAAGGTGTAAGTATTAATTGGAAACAACCCCAGTCTTAATTCACCACAGTTAATATCTCTTGACCTGTTACATAATTAAATAGACACAATTTATTACACACCTAACTGAATACACACATTCTTGACCTCAATAGTTAACCTACAAATGTATTATTTATTTTTATCTACACTACATTAAAATTTTCTGTTAATTTTGCTAGCTAGCTGAATGATTAATCAGATGTGTTTTTTTTCAAAGAAAAGACAAACATTGTAAAAAATATGTATAAAAAATGCAAGCAAATTTTATTTCACTTGTAAAAACAGTGTCATTATTATCTGACATAAGTCAATAATCAAGTTCTAATTAATTAGTTACAATTATCAGAAATTTGGTTGAAACAATAAACAAAATTGCATAACTCTTACCTGAGCATTTTCTGCAATAAAATTTATTTGTTTGTTCTACATTTATATCCCATTATATTGCTATTTGACAGTAATTGGAAATATCTCAGCATTAGGTATTTGTACATTTATAAATTTGAATACAGGAAATGTATTTTTTCTTAGTGAAGAATGAACACCAATTTAGATAAAAAATAGTTATTATTTTTTTAATTTTTGTTGTTGAGAAAGTGCATTTCCAAGGCCTCTTTCTGAAAATTATTAAACCAGTTACTATAAATGGCATATTAAAAATATATGACTTGTTTGAAGATTTCCTTTTCTATTCCTGTCAATACCATTAGATTGCAAATATTTATAAAAAAAAAATGTGACAGAGTCTAAAATATCTATCAATATATCTATCAATATTTGCATCAATATTGCGAAATTCCCTCCCTTTTGACAATAACATAGAAATTTTACAGTAAGATTGGAAATGAAAAGAGAATAAAATGTTGAAAAAAAGTATGGTCAGAATGAATATCAGACTAGCATTGAATATGGCTGGATCACAACATCGACGATGTTTTGATTCTTCCAGTTAACATTACATACAGTCTGCAGTTAAAGTTTTTATACGCTCGTTTACGGGACGTATTATTAAAACATTTATTAGATTCATAAACCATCCTGGATTTTTACCAAACTTGGACAGAAGCTTCTTACAATCAAAAGATAGTATCTAGAGGAAAATTTTAAATAATTTTTTCCCCATTTTTGTTGAGCCTATGACTAACAGCAAAAGTAGGCGAGACACTGGGTTCCGCGGAACCCTTACGAATTTTATAACAAAAAGGTATGACTGTTAGTTGATGAGTAGAATGTGAAGAGAATTCTATACATGTATATGTGCATGAAATTTTAAAAATATAAGTTTTTTTTAACAAAGAGGAAGTAGAACATTCAGGGATCTATTATGTATCACATGGTATTGCCTAACCAGATTCCACATACCAAGAAAGATCAGGGGTATAGTTACATGTCTCAGAGATTGTGAAACAGGATTTTCAATTCAAAATATATCTTTGTTGTCCCCTACACAACACATTGCAGAGGACAGGAATATTAGGCATCCGTTTGTTTGTCAGTTTGTATGTCTGTCTTGTAAGCGGACTCAAGTGTACAATTCTTGCCAGATTTTCATGAAATTTATCAAAGGTTATTTCAGCAATTTCTCAGACCAGTTGAAAAAATAGTGCCAATCTATTATAATTAAAGAACTTATGCCCATTGGAAATGAAAATTATATAGAAAAATGCATTGTAAGCTTACATTTCTTGTAACATTTCTTTAAAATATGTATCAAAGGTTTATATCAGCAATGTCATGGATTAAAAGAACATAAAAAAAACTACCACAATAGAAGGGGCAATATTTCATTCACCATGTTGTTCACTTGTGTTCATTCGTCCAATAAATATTTCCATCATACTTTCCTCATGTACAACTAAACAGAATGACTTCATATTTGGTCAGCATCTTGACATTACTGAATTGTAACATGTGAGCACTTTTTTTTTAATCTCATGTTTGCTGATACTTTCAATTTCCCAATATGTTGAATGAACTTAAAAAAAATTCGTCGCATTTCTCCAGTACTACAGAACACAATGAGTTCATATTTGGGCAACAGTTTTGTAGTGATGAGTTGTAAGGTGCAAATGATTTTACATACTTCCTGTTTTCAAATACTTTGAATTACAAGTCAGGGTATGCTTCAATGACAAAACATGCATTTTTTATTGGAATTACATGTATTGTTCTTGGACAGATAAAATATATATATGTATCTGTAGGGGACATTGGAACACTGTTCTTTTATTTGTATCTTGTATTACAGGGGATAAAGAGAGATGTAAAAGTGAAAACATTTGATAGCCAGAAAGAGTTACCAGCTATGAAAATCTTTTCTGTTGCAATCAAATATCTAAAGGATCATCTAATGGAAACATTAAATAAGAGAAATACAGGTGTACGTCGAGATGATATCCAATGGGTCCTTACTGTTCCTGCTATCTGGAATGACCCTGCAAAGCAGTTTATGCGAGAGGCAGCAGAAAAGGTAAACATATGAGTATCTTACCTGGTTAAATGGCTTTAGCCAAGGACAGCTAGTTATTAGCATTTGACAAAAACTGCATTTGTATCTCTCCTGCAATAAATTTTAGTGACGGTAGACATATTATTGAAAATCTTAATTTTTTTTTCTGCACCAGCATTATTATCAACAACTATGTAAACAAAAAAAAACACACCTCAGACACAGGGCTTCCAAAATTATTTTTAGCTAGCCAGACATTTTATATATTATCCCGATTTTAATCCCTTAAGACTAAATAAACAAAAGGCAATTATGGTAATCAGTTGCCGAGTTGGCCATCCGAATGATTGATATTTAAAAAAAACGATATTAAACTATCTTTGATTCAAATTCAAAGTTCTGACATAAACTGTTAAATTGGCAGTGCATCATCCGAAGTGTGCAACATCAGCGTACTAATATCTGCCTTAGACTCTTTATTTGTGCAAAATAACGTTGTCAAAAACTTTACTTTCGTTTTTATACGACCGCAAAAATTTTTGCGGTCGTATATTGGTATGACGTTGGCGTCGTCGTCCGAAGACACATTGGTTTTCGCACTCTAACTTTAGTTTAAGTGAATTGATCTCTATGAAATTTTACCATAAGGTTCAATACCACAAAAGGAAGGTTGGGATTGATTTTGGGGGTTATGGTACCAACAGTTAAGGAATTAGGGGCCAAAAATAAGCATTTTTGTAACTTCCAGACATAACTTGTGTGTTAGTGTATGGATCTCTCTGACATTGTACCACAAGGTTACATATCACAAAGGGAATGCTGTGATTGATTTTGGGGGTAATCGCCTCAAAATTTTAGGAATTAGGGGCCAAAAAAGGGGCAAAAAACAAACATTTTTCTAGTTTCCAGACAATAACTTGTGTTCAAGTGTATGGATATTTCTGAAATTGTACTACAAGGTTCCATATCACAAAGGGAAAGCTGGAATTGAGTTTGGGGGTAATTGCCCGAACGTTTAGGAATTGGGGGCCAAAAAACACATTTTTCTAGTTTCCAGACAATAACTTGTGTTCAAGTGTATGGATCTCTCTGAAATTGTATTTCAAGGTACCATACCACAAAGGGAAGGCTGGAATTGAGTTTGGGGGTGATGAATCATAAGGGGGTTCAAAAAATTTGGGGGGGGGGGATTTTTTTTTTTTTCCTTTTTTTTCTTTTTTTTCTTTTAAAATTTTCCATTTTAAGTTGGTTATTTCTGATTTATATTTAAAAGCAAATAATAATGATATGGTAGGAGATAAACACCAAACAGGATGTGTAAATTATTATATAATAAGTATTGTGCAATAGCAAGAAATTTTCAATTGCACAGTATTGCACAATAGCAAGAAATCTTCAATTGCACAGTATTGCGCAATAGCAAGAAATCTTCAATTGCACAGTATTGCGCAATAGCAAGAAATATCCAATAGCACAATATTGCGCAATAGCAAGAAATTGTCAATTGTGCAGTATTGTGCAATAGCAAGAAATATTCAATTGCACAGTATTGTGCAAAAGAAGATACTTCGTATAAATTGCTTATTTCTTGACCAATTTCAATGGGGTTTTATTCTTGAATTCTTGGGGTTCTTTAATAGGCTGAATCTAACCGTGTATTAAGTTGGATTTTGGGCCCCGTTTTTAAATTGGTCCACATTGAGGTTCAAAGGGTCCAAAATGAAACTTTGTTTGATTTCATCAAAAATTGAAATATTGGGGTTCTTTGATATGCCGAATCTAACCGTGTATTTAGATTCTTAATTTTTGGTTCTGTTTTCAAATTGGTCTACATTAAGGTCCAAAGGGTCCAAAATTAAACTAAGTTTGATTTTAACAAAAATTGAATTCTTAGGGTTCTTTGATATGCTGAATCTAAACATGTATTAAGATTTTTGATTATGGGCCCAGTTTTCTAGTTGGTCCAAATCGGGGTCCAAAATTAAACTTTGTTTGATTTCAACAAAAATTGAATATATGGGGTTCTTTGATATGCTGAATCTAACCATGTATTTAGATTTTTGATTTTTAGGCCCCGTTATCAACTTTGTCCACATTGAGGTCAAAAGGGTCCAAAATTAAACTTTGTTTGATTTCATCAAAAATTGAATTCTTGGGGTTCTTTGATATGCTGAATCTAACCATGTATTTAGATTTTGGATATTGGACCATAATAGGTGAATGTCCAATTTAAAATTTTTAAGTTCTTAGACCACATTCATTCTGTGTCAGAAACCTATGCTGTGTCAAATATTTAATCACAATCCAAATTCAGAGCTGTATCAAGCTTGAATGTTGTGTCCATACTTGCCCCAACTGTTCAGGGTTCGACCTCTGCGGTCGTATCAAGCTGCGCCCTGCGGAGCATTTTATTAAATCTGAAATCGGATGTAATCTTGACAATGGTAAAACATGGACCAGAGACGGATACGTAAATTCCGTGTACGTTTGCAAAGCATGAATGAGTGTAAGTAGCTCATTCTACGTTATTTCTTCAAGAAAATATTCGAAATAAACGTGAGATAAAGGTATCAATGACAATTTAAGCATTTTTTTAAGAAATTAGGATGCATAATTAAATTCACACCTGCGCACATGCACATGCGCACACATGTACTAGTTCAAACAGAGACATGTCTCTGGTTCAAACAACGTGGTTATGACGATTTTTCATTTTCACCTCTTTAATTTTTTCATCAAATCTTATTTGTTAATGTATTTCTGATAATCTGAATCTTTTTGACTAAATTAATTAGATGCAAACCGGTGAAATGTACGAAAATAACTTTGAATAGACCGATCAATGTCCGGTTCAAAATAGTTTACCTGTCACCTGAACAGGTAAATTTCAGCTGTTCGACAACTAATTAGCCTTGATTAAAATGAGAAGGTATTAAAGTAGGGGTTGTTTTGATAGTACTTAATGATCATGTCACTTTTATGACTGGAAATGTGTGGCTGTTAAAGGCAAAAGGTTGGGTCAAAAAGATCGTGAGTTATGTTAAAATGACCGCCTCTTAAGAAAGCCTTGAAATCTAAAAAGTAGATGACCGTTTCGTGCTTTGCCAAGCCGGACTTTTACCGGATATAATACAAATGTCTGGAATATATGACCGTTTTGGAAGCCTTGCTCAGACATAATATTCACCAGCGTGAACCTCACCCTAAACAGGTGTGAACTCCAATGGCACCTATCATTTTGCTTTGTGAAAAGTACATTTCTTGAAATGATGCCATTAAAGAGGAAAATAAGAGTTGGGTAATGGCTGCAACAAATGGAACATATCAGTGGACATTTTTAATACAGATATTTTGTATTAGTCAACAATTTAAAAGTGTTATTAAAATTTTTAAAGTGATGATTTCACTTTAACCATTAAGAAATCTTAAAGCTTTCTTGTAAGATAAACTTCTAAAAGGAAGCACAAGTCGAGGAATATTTTATCATGTATATCAATTGGCAAAAATATACTCTGTAGGAAGGAAACAATGGTGCTGAATTGATGCTACATAGAAATGGGAAAATTGGTATTACTTGCTATTAAGCAAACCTAAAATGGCCATGTGAGCTATTGCCACCACTTGTGGTTCGTTGTTGCAACTTTTTTTTCAATCTTCTTATCTTAATCTACTGAGTTTTCTAACTGCAGTTTTCAGCTTACATATAAAAAATTTAAACAGAACAAATCTGACAGCAGGCCACAGACCACAATTAAATTCTCTATTAGTTCTTTATAACGTTTTGTTTCATTAAAAAAAATGCTCCGGTTCTTTTTGTCAAATATTTTGTGTGTGTAAAGTACAGTACTAGTCCAAACATATATCAAACATTCAGAAATATCGCTCCCCAGCATCTTACAATTTTAGCCAATACACATCCATACCCCTATGGACAAGTCAAGAGATGTTCCGAAAACTGTAAATATCACCTTTTTGCACCTGGCCTAATTACTCTTTCCATATCAAAATCAGTTAAAATACAACATCCAAAAGTTTATTTCACCTCTCTTCTTTCATTTCCATCCAAAAAAATCTAAGAAATGAGTGAGGAAGGGAAAGAAAAAAATTAAGAAAAAATACACTCTAATTAAAAGGAACTATATTCGTGGACAACGAAAAGCGGGATCATTAATTGTGGTCTTTGGCCTATTAGGGGTCTAAACCTTGACCAATTCTAATAAAACTTGGTATGATTTAAGCTTAGTGTACTATGAAACAGTTTACAAAGTTTCAAAGCCATATGATACCAATTATAAAAATTGTGGCATTTTTTATATCTGAACTTTGGGTGCTGAATTGTGGCGTTGAATTAGAATAATTTCAACTATCAAATTTGGGCTTCTAAAAACCAAAATATACCAAAACTTACACTTTTTAATGTCTCTATGTATAAGTTATCACCTATTAAAAGCAACAGATAGCATACTTCATGTTTCAGACTTATAAAAAATGGCCAGAAGTAAATTTCATATGGGCCTGTGCCAAAAAATAGAGGTTTTCAAATGAAGTGAGGCCTTATATGCAATGTAATATTTTTCACTTACCACAATTTTCTGAAGTTGCTAAGTTATAAAAAAACCTTTTACATGTTATAAATGTACTTTTAATGGAAATATAAGTTTCAAATAGCATAACACATGTGAATAAAATGGTCTTCAGCAATGTCAAGCTTAAAAAAACAGGTTGTCAATTTAGGTCGTTCCCCACATTTGCATATTAAAAAGCATATAAATGATATGGGAGATGAAGATATGCTTCCTTTTGCTCAAATCTTTGCTCAGATATGATAAAACATGGAGCCTGGATGTAACAAGACTGTCACTTTCAACTATATATGTAGACAGTATGATCTAATGCAAAGTTATTTACTTTACTTTTTAAAACCGGCATGAAATTTCAGCCTCAAAAGGCCAATATTTTAACCACTAGCTATCAAACAAAAGAAAATAAAGGTAGTCTGTGAAACAGACAAGGTCAAACAACCAGTAATAAGTGCTTTTGATACAGTTTCAGTGAAATCTGCTAAAAGGAATTCAACTTGTATGTGCATAGAACCTCATTTTTCACTTGCTTCATACTGACCGTTAGACTAGGACCATTAAAGCAGCACATTTTGCACTCTTATTCTGATTTTATCTACTTTTTTTGTATGTTTAGTGTTCAAAAATGAGTTAAACATCTACATTAGATACCACAAACACAAGTAGAAAATCAGAAAAACCTGTGAGAGAGAAAGTAAGCATGCTACTTTTGTAAAAATATTGAAACAACTGAAAAAGTTCAATTTTGGGCATGTAGGCTGAAATGTCACTTTTTTACAAAATTTCTATCAAATAAAAGTGGAAATCATTTATTCTCATGTAGTTTGACAAATTAATACCAATATATCATTCAGGGAAGTTGTCAAAGTACAAATTCAATATTTCCTGAATTTCACCTCTTAGGCCACAGACCACAATTAAATTCTCTATTAGTTCTTTATAACGTTTTGTTTCATTAAAAAAAATGCTCCGGTTCTTTTTGTCAAATATTTTGTGTGTGTAAAGTACAGTACTAGTCCAAACATATATCAAACATTCAGAAATATCGCTCCCCAGCATCTTACAATTTTAGCCAATACACATCCATACCCCTATGGACAAGTCAAGAGATGTTCCGAAAACTGTAAATATCACCTTTTTGCACCTGGCCTAATTACTCTTTCCATATCAAAATCAGTTAAAATACAACATCCAAAAGTTTATTTCACCTCTCTTCTTTCATTTCCATCCAAAAAAATCTAAGAAATGAGTGAGGAAGGGAAAGAAAAAAAATTAAGAAAAAATACACTCTAATTAAAAGGAACTATATTCGTGGACAACGAAAACCGGGATCATTAATTGTGGTCTTTGGCCAGCAAATTTGAGGAAAAATTATCAACCAGTCAAGGTCTATCCATTCAAAAATTTTCAGAAAGATCTGGCAACCCATTTTTGAGTTATTGCCCCTGAAATTTCTGCTGTTTTTTTTTGATAATCTCACAGTTTTGGTTATTATTTTAATTTATGAGTTTGATTTTCCCTTTGGCATCTTTCGTTTCTCTTTCATAAAGAGAAACTTCAAAAAGTAAAAATTACCAGAAAATCAAGATCTTGAAATACTTCATGCCCCTTATAGAAGTTATTGCCCTTGATTCAAATATAAATTTACAGAAAATATGCAAATGACTATTAAACCTTATTATACTCTTTTTGGTGATTGTGAATACCATAAAGGCATTTCATAGATTTCTAAGAGTTTCAAGTAACAAAGAGCACAATCATGGTAGTACAAATGTAACCAGTAAGATTAAAGTAATACAATTTTGTTTAACAAATATTACTACAAACCAAAAATATTGATGAAAAAAGGAAAATCATGCAGTTTTAGAGTTTTATGGCTTCAACCCACATCATCGTATGTTTTCAAATTTTAAAACACTGTTGATACATGATACAACATTTAATAGGACAAAATAAATGCCTTTTTGTAGGAGAAACTCAAAAACTTCACCAAGAACATAATTATCAAGTTTTAATTATCTATTGGTCCAAGGACACAGTTATCGTCCTTTGATTTTCATTGTCTACAAATATAGTCCCTAGTGTGGACAATGTATAACTTGCAAATTTTTTTCATACACTTTCCAAATTTATTTCTTTATATTTTATACATGAAATATTAAGTAAGGAGATGATATTACATGTTAAAAAAATTTGGGTGCTGAATCTTTGTGTTAAGTAGTTATTTGCTCAAGTTAAAAAAGGTCAAAAACTAGTATGTCTGAAGCTGTCAAACTGAATTTTAGACCCCCTTAACATAGAATTGTCAATATTTTGATTAAGAGCTGGCAGACTTTTCTATAATTTTGACATTAGTTGTCCCAATAGTAGTACACTGTAAAAATCTTTTTGAGATAGAGCAGGTGCGATTTTTATACGACCGCAAAAAATTTTTTTTTTGCGTTTGTATAATGCTATGATGTCGTCATCGTTGTCCGAAGACACATTTGGTTTCCGGAAAATAACTTTAGTTTAAGTGAATGGATCTTTATGAAATTTTACCAGAAGGTTCAGTACCACAAAAGGAAGGTTGGGATTGATTATGGGGGTTATGTTACCAACAGTTTATGAATAAGGGGCCAAAAACAAGCATTTTTGTAGTTTCCGGACAATAACTCGTGTGTAAGTGTATGGATCTCTCTGAAATTGTACCACAAGGTTCCATATCACAATAGGAAGGCCAGGATTGAGTTTGGGGGTAATTGCCCCAAACATTCAGGAATTAGGGACAAGAAAGAGGCCAAAAACAAGCTTTTTTCTTTTGCACAGTATTGCACAATAGCAAGAAATCTTCAATTGTACAGTATTGCGCAATAACACAGAATTGCCTAACATCACAGTATTGCGCATTAGAACAGCATGAACAGTATTGCGCAAATAGCACAGTATTGTGCAATAGCAAGAAATCTTCAATTGCACAGTGTTGCTCAATAGCACAGTATTGCACAATAGCAAGAAATCTTCAATTGCACAGTATTGTGCAATAGCACAGTATTGTACAATAGCAATTAAATTTTTGGTGTTTTTTTATATGCTGAATCTAACCATGTTGTTAGATTTTGGATATCAGACCATTCTAGGTAAATAAAATGTCCCATTTCAAATTTTTAAGATCTTTGACCACATTTATTTGGTGTTATGTCAAAAATTTTATCACAATCAAAATTCAGACAGTATCAAGCTTGAATGTTGTGTCTAAACTTGCCCCAACTGTTCAGGGTTCGACCTCTGCGGTGGTATCAGGCTGCGCTCAGCGAAGCATTTTATTTTAATTTGAATTTATTGTCTGAAAGAAATGCACTATGAAATAACTGTGTCCTCAGGCCTATTGGAATGCCAATAATATATGAGGATGATGGATAGGCAAAGAAAAGTTGGTACATTTGTACCTATTTCAACTGGTCCTACATACTTCAACCAAGATACATAAAACATTACAAAGATTGCACAAATATATTGAAGTTATGCAGTCCTGCTATTATTGGATTGTTTTAGAAAATTGTCCCAAGACTTGGTTAGTCATTTGTCATCCAAATTACAAACAAAAATGTCCATTGCTTATCTATACATTATTATAAGCATGTTTTTGTCATGTAATTAAATTGATTATTTATTGATTTTAGGCAGGTATTGATGATTTAATCATTTCATTAGAACCAGAGGCAGCCTCTTTGTTTTGTAAATACATGCCAATAGAGAAGGGAACAGATGACTTCAAGACATTCCAACCAGGAAATAAATACATTGTATTAGACTGTGGAGGTGAGAGATATTTATAGGAGAGGGTGTATTTTGTGTTGGTATATTGTTCATGTTGTGCCATTTGTTTTAACAAGTTAAAAACACTAAATATTTTTTTAATGGTCATTTATCAAAAAAGCATCAATGTTTGGTAGGATATTTTAACCATTGAAATTTGATTTAGGCAGTCAAAACAATTCTTTTTCAGCAATCCACTGGGACGATCCAATGTATTTACCACCATTACCAATTACCCTATTTCCCTATTTGATTTTTCCTTTGATTCCAATTGAAATGATATGTCTTTTAAAACATAAAAGAAGAGATAATAGGAAATGGCTGTCTATTGTCTACTCATGATGACATCGAAAGCCCAATTCTTAAAAAGAATCATGCCTGGATCACTGGTACACATTATTCTAATTATAAGCCTGTTTGTCTTTGCACTTATATACCAATTTAAAAGTCTTTTGTTTGACCTTGATTGAATCCTGGAACACCTGCACACTAGTTCAAACATTCAAGCTTATTATGCCCCCCCCCCTGAAAAAACATTTCTGTTTGTCTTTCCATCCATTGGAATGTGTGTCAAAAACAAATAGTTTCTGGATGGTAACTTGAGTTTACCTTGCTTGATTGATTACTACAGATGGAAGACAAAAAAAAGGAGAAGTGTATTATTTTGGGCAAATAGGGTCACTGTTCCTAAAAAAGAACTTTTATAGGAATTTGTGTTTCCCTTGCCTAATACAAATTAAAGATATTTGGAAGGGGTAGATGCCTACTAATTGTTGGGTAAATAAAACAAAGTTACAGCTAACTGTTACTTAAAATAGTAAGATAGTAAGCGGTTAGTTTGGTAAGTACCATATTTGGCCCTGAATATCGAGCCTACTCCTTTTTGAAAAAAGTTTGTTACCTTGAATTTGTAACTTAATTTTATATTTTTAGCAATATTATTGGCCATTTGCCCCACACCTGGCAGGTTAATCAATTGTTTAATGTTGTCTCCAAAAATGTTTTTTCTCTGTATATTGGTTCTTTGGTGAAAGTATTGGTAATACAATTTTTGGTTTCCAGATACTAGTATTCAACTTTTTATACTCCCTAGAGCATAAAGTCCATGCTGAATCTTGCATACCTGCCAACTTTTCAAATTCTCTATGGGGTATTTTAATTGCAAGAGGACCTAATGCTCCTCTTATATTGTCATACCCTTTAACTCATTTGAATGCTTGTTTTGAGGTGTTTATTTTATATAATAAAGAATTTTAAAATTCAAGTCAACACCTCTTATGGGGGATATCCCCCATAACGCGGGATAGTTGGCAGGTCTGATTCTTGTTTTTGGATTATAACTCAAGTATCCCATTATGGATTGTAATTATAACATATAAAAACAAGAAGATGTGGTGTAATTGCCATTGAGACAACTCTCCACCTGAGACCAAATGCCATCGAGGTTAACAGCTGTAGGTCACCGTGCAGTCTTCAACAATGAGCAAAACCCATACCGACATAGTCGGCTATAAATGACAAATTTAAAACAATTCAAATGAGAACACCAACGGCCTGATTTATGTACTAAATAATGAATGAAAAACAAATATGATATACAGCAACAAAGGACAATTTATATATATATATATAATAGGGAAAATTAAGAGGTATTGCAAGTTTGTTTACCTTAAGGATCATTAATTATTGAATTTTTGGTTTTATGTTTTTTGTACCTTTAAGGAAATAAATTTAAAGTATCAAATGGCTACTTTATTGTAGGCGGTACTGTGGATATTACTGTTCACCAGGTACAACAAGACAAGACATTAAAGGAGCTTTTCAAGGCAAGCGGTGGAGCTTGGGGAGGTACCCAAGTTGATGAAGCCTTCAAGCAACTCATTATCAAAATTGTAGGCAGCCCAGTTTATCTAAATTTTTGTGAGAAAAATGCAGCAGATTTTGTAGACATGTTTAGAGAATTTGAATTAAAAAAGAGAGGCTTTAGTGGGGAAGGGAATAAACAAATAACAATCAAAATTCCTGTTTCTTTACAAGAAACATTTGAAGAAGATACCGGTGAAACAATTCAAGAGGTCTTGGGTCAGACCTCATTATCAGGAAAATTGAAATGGGCTGGTGATAAACTACGAATCAGCTCCATTCTATTTGCCACATTTTTTGACAAGGCAACAACCAACATAATTGAGCACTTGAGAAAATTGCTGAAAGAACCAGAAGTTGTAGGAACTACTAACATTATCATGGTAGGGGGGTTTTCTGAATCTCCTTTGATACAGAGAAAGGTAAAAGAAGAATTTCCAAAGATGCATGTATTGATCCCTGCAGAGGCTGGGCTTTCAGTGTTAAAGGGAGCTGTCATATTCGGACATCTTCCAAAAACAATTTCTTCTCGTAAGGCAAAATATACCTATGGGTTAGCAACAATGACAAAATTTATCAAAGGAAAACACAGGGAGGACAAAAAAGAAACAATTGGCAATCAAGTTAAATGCAAGGACATTTTTAGTATTCATGTGGAGAAAGGACAAACCTTAGAACTAGATGAAGCACAAAGTGACCGAAGTTACAATCCAGTAGACCCTGAACAAAAGGAAATTATATTTCAGTTTTACATTTCTGATAGTGATGATCCTATGTATGTCACTGATTCTGGCTGTACCCATATTGGTAAGATGGAGGTGAAAATCCCAGACACATCCGGTGGACTTGATAGGCAGGTGACAGTTCAGTTGATATTTGGTGGAACTGAACTGAAGGTCAAAGCCATCATACAAAAGACAAAAAAAGAAGTTATTGCAAAATTACAATTTCTTGACAAAGATTAGTGCTCAAATGAATCTTTCTTATTACTGCTTAAATGGTTTTTTCCCTTTTACTTGAGGCTTTTTTCTTTTTTCAAAAGAGAAAAAAATAAGATCATACAGTTGTTTTCTTGTATGTTTTGGTCTGAGATGTAGGATATTTATTTAAGAATAAAGCTAAGACTAAATTTCAATTTTCAGTTTGAAGCAGACATGTTAAAGATAGTTAACTTTATTATAAATTATAAAAGTAATGCCTTTTATGATTTACTAATCTGAAGTTTTCAACGAACATTTGAAAAAGAAAATATTCCTAAGTGCTAGACCTATAGCTTAAAACCTACATTTAATCACCTTGTATAGAATTTTGTATTGGATGAAACTAATGTGTTATCCAAAGAATTTATTGTAATACTTCATTTAAAAAATATTGTGATATCATATCATATCATATCATATGTAAATATGTTTTTTTTTTCTTTATAGGAATGATTGAGTGATTAGATAAATAAAATATTTGATAACAGCAATGAAAACAATCTTATAGCTATCCTATATTCTGTTGTCATCTTTATCAGCGGAGCATTAACATTTATTTAGGTTCAATCTGTTTTTTTTAGACATCAACAACTTTTTTCAAACCTTCAAGGAATTTTATGAAATTTGGACAGACACTTTTTTATGACAAAAACACAATATCCAGAGCAAAATTTTGAATATATGTCTCTCCATGTTTCATATTTTTCTGATAAATGGACTTTTTGCTTACAGAACTAACATTTAGATAAATCTATGGTTAAAGAGAGTACACCTTTTGTGTAATCAACTCCTCCTGCAGTTTTCAACCCAGATCACTGAAACTTCATAGGAAGATTGCACATATTTTGAAGTTGTGCACCTGCTATTATTTTTTTATGCCCCCGCCGTAGCGGAGGGGGCATTAAGTTTTACCCTTGTCCGTCTGTACGTACGTCCCAAAATTGGTTTCCGTTCTCTAACTTTTGTTTACCTTAACCAAATGTTATGAAACTTATACACAATGTTTATTATCACAAAACACAGATCAAGTTTGAATTTTGGTGGCGTCACTTTTACCGTTCTAGAGTTATGCTCTTTACAAATGGAAAAATTGCTGAATTTTTCGTTTCCGTTCTCTAACTTTAGTTTGCCTCAACCAAATGTTATGAAACTTATACACAATGCTTATGACCACAAAACAGAGAACAAGTTTGAATTTTGGTGGCGTCACTTTTACTGTTCTAGAGTTATGCCCCTTTACAAATGGAAAAATTGCTGAATTTTTCGTTTCCGTTCTCTAATTTTAGTTTGCCTTAACCAAATGTTATGAAACTTATACACAATGATTATGACCACAAAACACAGATCAAATTTGAATTTTGGTGGCGTCACTTTAACCGTTCTAGAGTTATGCCCCTTTACAAATGGAAAAATTGAAAAAAAAATTATTTTCTTCTAAATATTAAGTAATTTTTAAAATTGGAGTTATCTTCCTTTGTCCATGATTATAGTTGAATCAACTACAATCAATGCTTTATACAATGCAATGTTTAATTTTAACTTCCACTGATAAAACACAGATCAAGTTGAATTTGGGTAGTGTCACTCTAACCATTATTGAGTTATGCCCCTTTATAAATCGAAAGATTGCAAAATTTTTAGTTTCCATTCTGTTACTTAAATTTGCCCCAACCAAACATTATGAAACCTATACACAATATTCAATACCACAAAACTAAGATCAAGTACAAATTTTTTGTTTCCGTTTTCTAACTTTAGTTTGTCTCAACAAAATGTTATGAAACTTATACACAATGCTTATTACTGCATAATACAGATTGAGTACGAAATTTGGTGGCGACACTTTTACCATTCTTGAGTTATGTCCCTTTATAAACACAAAAATTGCTGAATTTTTCGTTTCCGTTCTCTAACTTTAGTTTGTCTCAACCAAATGTTATAAAACTTATACACAACCGTTCTAGAGTTATGCGTGTTTACAAATAGAAAAATTGTGAATTTTTAGTTTCTGTTCTCTAATTAAGTTAGCCTCAACCAAATGTTATGAGACTTACACACAATGCTTATTACCACAAAACTCAGATCCAGTTCAAATTTGGGTAGCGTCACTTTTACCGTTCTTGAGTTATGTCCCTTTATAACCATATGATATGCAAGCGGGGGCATCATCTATGTCCACATGTGGACACTATCCACATTTATTTTCAAATGCTATTATTATATTTTTTTCCTAGGCAAGTTAGAGTACTGATACAGTACCACTACAATTGCATTGGCAACTGTCATGATTTACAAACAATTACACTCAAATTATTAATTGGAATCAACTCCACTCTAATGCAAGCTTAATTGTCCACAAGGTATTTGTACATATAACTGAATACAGGAAATGTTGGGTTTTGCTTGATGAATGAACACGAGTTTAAATAAAGAATAGTTATTTAAATTTTGTTATTGGAAAAGTGGATTTTCAATGCCCCTTTCTGGAAATTATTTAGTCAAACTTTAATAAAAAAAAATACTACTCCTTAAAAGATTTTATTATGTCAAAATCATTACAGTGAAAAATGTTTATGGAAAAAGATGTAAAAAATCAATGTACTTCTACAATTGAAATATCAGAAGAATTGACATCATTATTGAGAAATTCTCCCATCTTTGGACAGTAGAATATAAATTTTATAGTAAGATTATGGAAATGAAAATAAATGAAATAAAATATTAGATATAAGATAAGAAAAAATGTCTGACTAACTACAAAATTGACTGGATCAGTGATGATGCTTTGATATCAGACTTCGGAAAATCAAAATTTATGAAAGAAGGTACCAGTTTTCAACTTCTACAGTTATCAACTCAGATCCATAAGACTTCTCAGAAAGGTTGTACACATGCTGAAGTTGTGCACTTGCTGTTATGGAATTGTTTAAGGTAAAGGCTTTGGAGCTTAGTTTTTTCCAGCAAAATTTACAACCTCTGTGTAATTGCAATTGCATTTTAAACAGTTTACATTAATAAGTCACAAATATTGCAACCTGGCCAATTTTAACTTTGACCCATTTATTTGCAATTAATTCAGTAATAGTGTACCAATCCTTTAAATTGAAATTTGAACACTTGAATATTCTTTGATACAAATCAATGGATGGTATGGATTAAGGATTAACTCCAACTCTGAATTTGCTCTTATATTCCATGTATTATAGAACTACCATGATACATAAAAGTATTACACATTTTTCAGAGCTACTTGATAAAAAAGTAATTATAACACAATTACTCTACATAATTTAAAAGTTTCAAATTTTTTTTATAGCCTTGTATGCAGGCTTTGGCAAAACCAAAAAATCAGGTATCCACAAAGATACAATTTTTCCTCAATGCTAGAAAATCAGTATCCACGAAAATAAATGAATCCACAGCATTACAAAAATTAGGAATTTTTCAGTACTCTATCTATTTTTTTTACAAGTTTACTTTTACCAATATGACAGGCTTTTCCATTGATTTTTTTAAAAAGTAGAAAAAAGTTAATAGTAAGTTATTGTGTATGTTTTTGTTTATGTCCAAGAAATTATTTATTTATCCTTCTAAAGTTTTGTGTATATGGCACTGATATAATGATTTGACTACTTTAGCAAGATTGCATTGTTTACTTAGAAGTGCTGATATATTTACTATGAATAGAAAATGTGTATTTCTCAATTAAATAGCCATCACACTGTTCAATTAAAAAGACATGTTGTAAATAGAGAACTAAGAAATCACTCATTGTATTTTTATACGACCGCAAAAAAATTTTTGTGGTCGTATATTGGTATGACGTTGGCGTCGTCGTCTGGCGTCGTCCGAAGACACATTGGTTTTCGCACTCTAACTTTAGTTTAAGTGAATGGATCTCTATGAAATTTTACCACAAGGTTCAATACCACAAAAGGAAGGACGGGATTGATTTTGGGGGTTATGGTACCAACAGTAAAGGAATTAGGGGCCAAAAAGGGGCCAAAAATAAGCATTTTTGTAACTTCCAGACATAACTTGTGTGTTAGTGTATGGATCTCTCTGACATTGTACCACAAGGTTCCATATCACAAAAGGAATGCTGGGATTGATTTTGGGGGTAATTGCCTCAAAATTTTAGGAATTAGGGACCAAAAAAGGGGCAAAAAACAAGCATTTTTCTAGTTTCATGACAATAACTTGTGTGTAAGTGTATGGATCTTTCTGAAATTGTACTACAAGGTTCCATATCACAAAGGGAAAGCTGGAATTGAGTTTGGGGGTAATTTGCCGAAACGTTTAGGAATTGGGGGCCAAAAAGGGGCCAAAAATAAGCATTTTTCTAGTTTCCAGACAATAACTTGTGTTCAAGTGTATGGATCTCTCTGAAATTGTACTGCAATGTACCATACCACAAAGAGAAGGCTGGGATTGATGATGGGGGTAATTGCCTCAATATTTTAGGAATTAGGGGCCAAAAAGGGGCAAAAAACAAGCATTTTTCTAGTTTCAGGACAATAACTTGTGTGTAAGTGTATGGATCTTTCTGAAATTGTACTACAAGGTTCCATATCACAAAGGGAAAGCTGGGTTTGAGTTTGGGGGTAATTGCCCTAAACGTTTAGGAATTTGGGACCAAAAAGGGGCCAAAAAACACATTTTCCTAGTTTCCAGACAATAACTTGTGTTCAAGTGTATGGATCTCTCTGAAATTGTACTGCAAGGTACCATACCACAAAGGGAAGGCTGGGATTAAGTTTGGGGGTGATGAATCATAAGGGGGTTAAAAAAATTGGGGGGGGGGGATTTTTTTTTTTTTTCCTTTTTTTTTTCTTTTAAAATTTTCCATTTTAAGTTGGTTATTTCTGATTTATATTTAAAAGCAAATAATAATGATATGGTAGGTGATACACACCAAACAGGATGTGTAAATTATTATATAATAAGTATTGTGCAATAGCAAGAAATTTTCAATTGCACAGTATTGCACAATAGCAAGAAATCTTCAATTGCACAGTATTGCGCAATAGCAAGAAATCTTCAATTGCACAGTATTGCGCAATAGCAAGAAATATCAAATAGCACAATATTGTGCAATAGCAAGAAATTGTCAATTGTACAGTATTGCACAATAGCAAGAAATATTTAATTGCACAGTATTGTGCAAAAGAAGATACTTCGTATAAATTGCTTATTTCTTGACCAATTTCAATGGGGTTTTATTCTTGAATTCTTGGGGTTCTTTAATATGCTGAATCTAACCGTGTATTTAGTTTTTGGATTTTGGGCCCCGTTTTTAAATTGGTCCACATTGAGGTCCAAAGGGTCCAAAATGAAACTTTGTTTGATTTCATCAAAAATTGAATTATTGGGGTTCTTTGATATGCCGAATCTAACCGTGTATTTAGATTCTTAATTTTTGGTTCCGTTTTCAAATTGGTCTACATTAATGTCCAAAGGGTCCAAAATTAAACTTAGTTTGATTTTAACAAAAATTGAATTCTTAGGGTTCTTTGATATGCTGAATCTAAACATGTATTTAGATTTTTGATTATGGGCCCAGTTTTCAAGTTGGTCCAAATCGGGGTCCAAAATTAAACTTTGTTTGATTTCAACAAAAATTGAATATATGGGGTTCTTTGATATGCTGAATTTAACCATGTATTTAGATTTTTGATTTTTTGGGCCCCGTTATCAACTTTGTCCACATTGAGGTCAAAAGGGTCCAAAATTAAACTTTGTTTGATTTCATCAAAAATTGAATTCTTGGGGTTCTTTGAAATGCTGAATCTAACCATGTATTTAGATTTTGGATATTGGACCATAATAGGTGAATGTCCAATTTAAAATTTTTAAGTTCTTAGACCACATTCATTCTGTGTCAGAAACCTATGCTGTGTCAAATATTTAATCACAATCCAAATGCAAAGCTGTATCAAGCTTGAATGTTGTATCCATACTTGCCCCAACTGTTCAGGGTTCGACCTCTGCGGTCGTATCAAGCTGCGCCCTGGGGAGCATTTTATTTTATTGTAGTATTATGTTTTTGTAAAGATGCTTATATTTTTAACAAACCGCCATCAATCTTACAGGTACTTCAGTAGATGGCAAATTATAAAAAAGATAATATGAGTCTCACCAAAAATATATCATTTTCATTTCACTTTTTTTTTTTACAATGAAGAAGGTGTTCTAAGGGCTCTTTTGCCCTAAAAAATAAAATATCACAAAATCATCTGATTTATTCCTAAAGATAATTCAAATGTATGTGATAGATTGGAGTTTGCTTTATGCCGCAATGCTATATGGCAGCGATCATACGTATGTGCAAAGTTTTAACAATATGATTTTTAAAGAAATATATATATTCACATAGATTTCAAAGTCAAAAGACGTCATCAATTTATTTTTCTACACAAGTTGCATAGTTTAACATATATTTGTGAGTGAGAAATATTAAGCACATGCAAGTACCAAATAACAGTTACATGAGAGGTGTTGTTCATACAGACTAACATTTTACATGTAATGGTAAATTTTTTTAAGTTGATACTTTCTTGTGATCCATATTAGCAGGACTAAAACAAAACTATTTGAAAAAACCAACCAAAATTGACAGGTAGAAGGGACTTTTCATTGAGGTCACAACTACATTTATTTTGAAATGATCGTAAACTACCTGTTATTTGTATTGTATTACCTCAACTTTGAAAAAGACATAAATGTAAATAAAAATTTACATTTTCAAATTTCATTGACAAATTAGACTCTTATGTCACCCTGTCAGTGACAATTTGTTTTATTATTTTTAACACCATTCTTTTGATTTATCCAATTGTTTTGTGTGTGAAATCTTTACATGTGATTTTACTGGGTAAATGAATTATGTATATTGGGAAATGATTATGAAAACCTTTTTTTTTAAATTGTAAGGTTAAGGGTGAATTTATTTATGTCTATGTAAAAAGTAAAATCACAAAAATACTGAACTCCATTTTGTAAATGAGACAAAAGTAATTGAAGTCAAAACAGTGTGGAGCTAGTAAAACTATTTAGCTTTCCTTAGTGTATAGATTTTTGTCTTTGATTTGGTTGGTTAAATAGAAAATCACAGTTACTTTTCATGGTATTGATGATCATTGAGTATTTCTGAGTTTTATGCAGATCTTGAGTGTCATCCCTACTAATGTTCCACTAACATAGAAGGCTAGTGATAAGTATACAATGCATAGTTACATTGGCAAGAACAATTAATATTTTTTGCATGCATGTTGTATAAAGTGCCTTATTCATCAGTTAATATGATAAATGCTTTAATGTATTAGGGAATTGAGATTCCCTGTTAGGCTGTAATTAGTTGTTTACATTGAATTATATTAATGTCTTTCAAATGTTGCCTGAATAACACATTCTATTTTCCTCTCTCATTACTAGAATATATATATATTTTGTCAGGATTAAGGTTAAGAAACATCTGGGCAACACATATTTTAATTCAAACATGACTATATATATTCATTTCTGTAATAAAGGATTAATGTTCCTTTGAAGATTCATCTTTTTCAAGAAATTCTCTTGTAAAAAATAATTTTCACTTCATAGTATGTATTGTTGAGAAAAAACTACTACTGCTGAGTATTTTTTTTGATTTTTTTTTTAGTTCAAATGATCAATAACCATTCAATTAATATAAAAGAGATAACAAGAGAGTGTTTGATAGAGTTTATGATAAAAATGGGCAACCATGCTTTGTGAATACATATACACAGGAAAAATTACAACATATGTTTTTCATATGATTTTTACAAACATATGTTTTTCATATGTTCAAAAACATGTGTTTTCATATCGGGCCTAAACATATGTTTCCATATGTTTTCAAACATATGAAAAACATATGTTGCAATTTTTCCTATGTAACATGTACATGAATTACCAAATTGAAACTACTTCATTATTTTTTTTGGTCAATACATTCTCCCAATATCTTATGATAATAATATAGTTGAAAACTGTTATGATTTTTATAGTTGTTTTGATTAAAGAAATTTGTCAAATTTTTGTTTGTTGCTTTTTCCGCAGGATTAGAAAATTAACATTTACTTATGGTATGCATTGGTAATGTTTACGGGTAGACAAAAGATATTCACCAATCTAATACCGTATCAATTATAATAAATCATCAATTGCTTAAAACAAGGGTAGAATGATGGATGTCACTTCACTTGTGAAACAGAAACAACTGACCCTTCTTTGTCACTTTAGTCCTATTTTGGTCTTTTCAAGGGAATTGCTATCATGAGACTGCCATATTCGTGATCAAGGTAAAGGGGTCATCATATCTTATACTATTTAAAAAAAAAATTATAGATGGATGTAAATAAATTGCAGTTAATTAAAACATTTTAAATAATGTTACTATTTTCTGTTAATTGTTACAATATAGTTTTTATACGCCCGTTTACGGGATGTATTATGGTATACCTCTGTCCGTCCGTCTGTCCGTCCGTCATCAACATGTCGGACATTAACTCAAAAACGCTTTAACCAATTTGCATAAAACTTTGGGGAATTGTTCATATCTATTGACGTGAGCTCCCTTTCGTTTTTTATAAATTTTAGATTTTACGTTTCCGAGTTCAGGGGTTTTATTAATTAAAAAAAGGGTGATTTTCCAGTTTTCGGACAAGAACTCAAAAATGCTTTCAGCAGTTCTCATGAAACTTTGCTGAATTGTTTATGTCTATTGACCTAAGCTCCCTTTCAATTTTTATAAATTTTAGATTTTACATTTCCGAGTTATGGGGTTTTATTCATTAAAAAAGGGGGTATTTTCCAGTTTTGGGACAATAACTTAAAAATGCTTTCAGCAGTTCTCATGAACCTTTGGTGAATTGTTTATATCTATTGACTTAAGCTCCCTTTCAATTTTTATAAATTTCTGATATGACAGAGAAGTTATTGAACTTTATTCTTTCAAAACGCTACGGGCGTAGAAATACTACAATATTAAAATCAAAAATAAAATAAAGTATGACACATTTTGAATGCTGGATCCAACTGGTACTTATGTGTATAATATACTTTACATCAAGTTTTCCTGTTCCACAGTAGAATGGAAGAATTTCATTGACTGTTTTCTCATTAATGTGCAAAAGCAAAAAAAAAAAGCATATCACAATATCAATTTTACAGGTATTTTAATACATTTATATGTTTGTTGTATAAAAATTTTGAACTCTCTTTGCCTATTCTTTTGTAAATAGTAATTACAGACCTAATAATTGTCGCATGAATTTACAGCATGTGGCATATTTAGATGGACATGTTTGGATGATTAGGTTCAGAACTTATTATCTATTTATTCTTGAAAGGGTGTCTGCTAAGAAGATAATTAACATTAGTATCGTTGTGAGAAAATGGATAGATATATCCATATACAGCATAATTAAAAATTTTAAAAATCAACATTCCTTATTTTCTTGAACAAATAATATATTTTGTCCCAGGCCACTGATGGACCCTTTTTGATGTGCAAATTATCAAATGATTGACCAAACTGATTACCCCTCTGGAGCACTTGAGATCACCTCCGGTTTTGGGTAAAGATTGCATGAAATGCTATCAAAACCCTATGGTACTGACTTCATATTCAAATTTTCCAAGGTTTATCACCACCTTTGAGATACACAAAATATAGTGCATTGATCAAAACATTCTATACATCCTGTCTATATATATTTCCAGATATTTATCAATGCAATACCGGTATATGCTCAGATATTCAAGTCACAAATTTATGCTATACTTGTCAAGAAAATTACATAACTTTTGCAAGATGAAGGAATCTAATATCTGTTCTAGAAATTGTTAAAAGTCATCTTTAAAAATTGGAGTTATCTTCTTTTGTCCAGAACTGTAGTTGAATCAACTACAACCAATGCTTTAAACAAGGCAATATTTGATTTTACTTCCTACTGATAAATTAAAGCAATCTTTATTTACCCTTCAGTGCTTACAAGCACTTTGATTGTGAGTTTCGTGTTTCTTAGTCTTTTGTTTTCTGTGATGTTTTTTTATACTATTGTTTGTCTTTCTGCCATGGCGTTGTCAGTTTATTTTGGACTTATGAGTTTGAATGTCCCTTTTGGTATCTTTTGTAGCTGTTTCATTTAAACAATTTGTATTTCTTAATTACACTTTTACTGATTCTAAAACAAATGATTAGTGGGTTTGAGATTTAAGTGACTAAAAATAGAACAATATATTATAATAATAAGGATGTATGGCTGTTTACGTCCAGTGGCAAAATAAATGCCTATTGAGAATGTTTTATGATAATGAACTTAGCAGTTCACACTAGACCGACTGGCTGAGCCAAATATTTAAGGTTTTGTTCATAAGGTAGTGCAGTCTGACACATTATTCTGACTCCAGTCTTTGCATTGACTGTGCAATGTCGCAGGCTTAGCGGACAAGCAGCAAATACCAATCTTAAATATCCGGTTGGTTTGACCTACTGGATATTGAACCCACGACCTCCTGCAGTTGAGGTGAGCATACTACCACAAAATCCTCAAGATGTCAAATTAAAGCGAAGGTTTGAAAAGCTAAATTGACTTATTGACTCAAATTTTATGAAATGCAATAAAATGGGAAACCTAACGGATGCAACAATTCTCAAAAAGTAAATGTAAAAAAATCCCAACTGTCAGACCAAACATTGGATGGATTATCTTTTTTTGCGATGATTTTATATTTCCGAAAAATGCGTTAGAATAAAATAAAACGTGTTTTGAATTTTGTGCTTGTGTGCATCATTTCCTGATTTCACAATTAATATAATGATTTTTTTGTCAGTGGGCAGCCCTGAATAATAAATACACGCAACATTTTCTGAGTTTAAAGTATTGCCTTTTCAGTACCCTACCGACGAAGTCGAAGGGGACTTTAGGTTTGCACTCCGTCTGTCTGTCTGTCTGTCAGTCCGGCAAATCAGTTTTCCACACTTTTTTTCTTCATGCTTGAAGATATTGATTTGATATTTGGTGTATTGTTTTATCATGACAAGTTACAGATCAAGTTTGAATTTTGATCCGGTCTGATGATTTTGTGCAGAGTTATGGTCCTTGGACTTAGAAAAATCACTCAAATAATCAGTTTTCTGCACTTTTTTTTGTCATTCTTGAAGATATTGATTTGATAATTGGTATATTGTTTTATCATGACAAGTTACAGTTCAAGTTTGAATTTTGTTCCGGTGTGATGATTTTGTGCAGAGTTATGGTCCTTGGACTTAGAAAATTCACTCAAATAATCAGTTTTCTGCACTTTTTTTGTCATGCTTGAAGATATTGATTTGAAAATTGGTATATAGTTTTATCATGACAAGTTACAGATCAAGTTCAAATTTTGTTCCGGTGTGATGATTTTGTGCAGAGTTATGGTCCGTAGACTTAGAAAATTCACTTAAATAATCCGTTTTCAACACTTTTTTTCATCGTGCTTGAAGATATTGACTTGATATTTGTTATATAGTTTACACCATGACAAGTTATAGATCAAGTTGGAATTTTGTTCCAATACTATGAATTTTTAACCGGTAGAGGACTATGGATTGCCATGCAATACTCAAAGAATTCTTTGTTTAAAGATGATTTTTATCAACTTTAGGGTCGTATATTGAAACAAAAATGGATTGACGGATGTCAAGTTGGTTCAATATTCAACATTCAACATTCAAAATTTTTTTTTTTGTTGAACATTTTTTTTTTTAATTTTTTTTTTTTTTTTTTCAACATTCATTTTCAACATTGAACGTTCGATTTCAACATTCAACATTTTTTTTTTTTAAATCTTTTTTTTGTTAACCATTTTGTTTTCCAATTTGCTTGAAGATATTGATTTGAAAATTGGTATATAGTTTTATCATGACAAGTTCAAATTTTGTTCCGGTGTGATGATTTTGTGCAGAGTTATGGTCCTTAGACTTAGAAAATTCACTAAAATAATCAGTTTTCAACACTTTTTTTCATCATGCTTGAAGATATTGACTTGATATTTGTTATATAGTTTACACCATGACAAGTTATAGATCAAGTTAGAATTTTGTTCCAAAACAATGAATTTTTAACCGGTAGGGGACTATGTATTGCCATGCAATACTCAAAGAATGCTTGTTTAAAGATGATTTTTATCAACTTTAGGGTCGTATATTGAAACAAAAATGGATTGACGGATGTCAAGTTGGTTCAATATTCAACATTAAACATTCAAAATTTTTTTTGTTTAACATTTTTTTTTCAATTTTTTTTTTTTTTTCTTTTTTTCAACATTCATATTTAAAATAGAACGTTCGATTTCAACATTCAACATTTTTTTTTTAAATCTTTTTTTTGTTTTCCAATTTTTTTTTTTTTTTTTTTTTTGCCAACATTCGGTTTCAACATTCAACATTCGATTTTCAACATTCAACATTCAACATTCATTTTCAACTTTCAACATTCAACATTCGTTTTCAACATTCAACATTCGTTTAAAAAAAAAAAAAAAAAAAAAAAGAATTGGAAAAAA